TGCTGTCCAGAGCTCGTTCTACATACTAGTAGGTAATAGATGCAGTTGGAATAGGAGGTATGGACATGTGGGTTGTGCTGCAAACTCGCGTCAACTGGTCAACAAGACTGCACTTGTCATTGACCGAAAACCAGGGAAAAAGGTTTGCTAAGCGACCCCCCCGTTGCTGTGCGTCTGCGGGGTATTTTCGTCCCTTCTTTCAGCCATTCCCTGACAGTGGATGCCACGAGGGTTGGAGGGAAGGGTCTGCAAGAGGAGAGCACAGGACACCCTAGGGACAGCATTCTTTGTTGCCAGACAGTCTGCAACACCGTTTCATTCAGACTTGTTCCTCCGGGATGCTGGACAAGACAGAGTGATCATGAGGAAACCGTCGAAACCGTCGCCCTTTGTGGTGATTTCGACAAGTGTTTTGCTAAGCGTCTTATATGGCCGAGGTAGTATGGATCGTCGCCTCATGGCACAGAAGAGGAATGGGACGCCATCCGCTGATCTCCCCTCGTCGTTCCCTCCTTGATGGAGCTCACGAAGCACACGTGCAAAATTATCTCCGGTGCCGGACTGCGTTTGCGATGAAGGCGCGCGAAGAACCTTCCGCCGTGAGTATCCAGGCATCCAGGTTTGAAAACACGATTCTGGTGACCACGGCTATTTATGTGCGCCGATGCTGTGCCGTCGCTTCAAGGCAAGACCACGGCGCTGAAAGAGTGTGTAAGGCGAGGCGAGCAGGAGGAAAGCTGCTGGGGGACTGGCGCCGTGATCTGTGAGTATCTCTTGCAGGTGTGGGCCATCTTCCCGCTGCCCACGCTACCAAGGCTCAACCGGCTCATGGGCAGACGGCGACGGCCACCAACAGGATAGGCGGTGTTCCGACAGCCTTCTCTGAGGCTTCGGCCGAGGCAGCCATCTCAGGCACGGCACATGTGCTGCCAATTGCAACCGGTAAAGCGGGCAGCCGTTGCGGACAGGGGCCGGACGGGATGGGGATTGGGCGGGATGAATTGGAGACAGGGCCACAGGGTGCAGAGAGCGAATGCAGACAGATGCAGATGCACAGAAACGGTGGTTGGCTTTGGGTGACTTGCTGCCACAGCTTGCGACAAGCCCCATGTGCATCGTGATAGGGTACTCCATGCCGTCCGCCCCCTTTTTTCAGAATAGACGGCAAAAGTAACGTATGGGCGAGAGGCGGCACGGAGAATCTATCGGTAAGATGGAACAGTACTCTTTCGACTCACAACGGTGTCTTGACCACAGAGTCGAACAAACGAATCAATGTACACGGGCATGGGGTTGCGTAGCGGCTCTGAGGTATCCGTGCCGTGTTGTGAATTGATTGGGACTCAGACGTGCAATGGGTCATGTCATGCTGTTCGAGCGATGAAGGTAAGGCCTTGATGCTTGGGTGCGTCGTTTCAATTTCAGTCCCGGTCAACCTCAGAGCCTTGGGACGCCACTCCAGTGTTTTCGGCTCGCGACAAGCGAGGGAGAGGAGACATGGCCGATTGCACCCAAGGTGGCACGCTGGCCCGGGCACAGGAACATGGGAGAACGGCACGAGACGAAATACTAGAAACCGGAGTCGAGGTGGAAACGGAGAGCAATCGAACCCTGAGATGGTGGAGCCAACTGGAGCCGGGAGACAGGGCTTTGGCTCTGGCTCTGGCGTCCTTGTCTCGTCGTCTCGCTTGCAATGTTGCCTCGTCTCGCTTCTTGAATGGGTCGGCGGTTTCCAGGAGGTTGGGTGCAGGAAATGACATCAACCCGGGGAGGGGGATTCCGATGCGTGGGACCATTAGCCATGGCGTCGACGCCGCCCGTCTCTCTGTACCTATCTATCTGGACGTGGACTGCACAGCAAAACGAAACGCTGTGCACTATTGTACGGTTCTCTGTGGTGCCATGACCAAGCGATGACGGCGATGCACGCATCCGGATCCCGAGGACCAAGCCATTCGTGGACCGCATGTCAAACCCTTCTGGTCGGGTGCTGCGAGGTTGGATGTGCGCATTGAGGAGAAACACTCCCTGCGTCAAGGCTGGAGGAAGGAAAGGTAACCATCCGCTGCGGGTGCCGTGTCGTTTCTTTTTGCCTCGTCATTCCATAGTACCTAGACATGACCGAGATGTACATGGGAAAGCCAAAGTACATAGGGCGAGGAATCCCGTCACATGGGTTATGGTACGCGCCGTAGGGGCCAGACCAGACCAGACGGGACAGGCGGGAAGCGTGTGTGAGCGAGCTCATGATCCCCGTCAGGCTCAATTCCACGTTGACCGGACCGTTGTCGTGCCGTCCAATGTTTAGCCCCCTCCTCCTCGAACGCGGCGTCGAACTTATCCGCGAGTTTGAGCAGGCAGCAGAGGCAAAGGTTGAAATCAAGGTTAAAACCACCCAAAGGCAGCAGGGCCGTGCTTGTCCACAGCATCGAGACCGAGGAGGGAGGGATGCAGATGGTGGTGCAGACGGATGAGGTGACGTCTGCAAGTGGTTGGTTCATCGACATAAACCACTGAGGGAGAAGCAATTGCATACCTGCCTGCCTGCCTGCCATTGCGAACAAAATTGTACCTGGGTACGTACCACCTTCGTTCTTGCGGGTGGGTGCCCCTTGCACGCAAAAAAAAAAAAAAAAAAAGACTGGAACTACGGGGCTCTAACCGTGCGCGCGGTACGTCGCCAGCAAAACCCCTCAGAAACCGTGGCTGCCGCCCCTCGCCGTTGCCCTCGTTGTTCTTTCCGTGGGAGCTCAGCTCAGGTACGGATACGTGCCGACCATGGCCTGTTTGAACCAACCACGACGCCGGGACAAAGGAGGAATGGGTCTAGAAGACATCAGCCCGACAGGGTACGTACCTCGAGTCGCCGACAAAGGCTTCTCACTTCTTACATACTACCTACCTATTATTTGTGTACACTAGGTACGTACAAAGCATCGCTGCTAGCGCCTGGCCAGGGGGAGATTAGCGCCACTGGGCCACCAAGCAACCACGCGCTCCCGCGGCGTGCATCTCCCAGGTTGTGTCGTGCTGGGCGGGGCCAATGTGTGGTTTGTGTGTGTGCGTATCTATGTATGTGTAGTTTATGTTCCACACAGAGTAGTATAGCTATGCCCCATAGTCTCAGGCCAGTGTTCGGTATCGTGATGTGCCCGTTGCTCATTACCCATTACCCAGGTCCCATTACCCAGTCCCCATTGTCCATTGCCCATTCCCTGCCCAAAGACACTACTACCAACAAGACATCCAGGCGCCCTTTCATCCCGTCCACACCAGCAACGAGACGGACGGACAGCATGAGAGAGAGAGAGAGAGAGAGAGAAAGCGCGTGTGTGCTGAGGTCCGCGCGGTACCCCCGGCCGACGACGGGACCCATCCGGTCAGTCAGTCCATGAAGCTACCTAGTTGGTTGCTGTTACGATGTCCCTAGGGGGTCACTCTGTCTCCGACTCTCTGCTCGGAACTGTTAGGTAGATAGTGCTCACCTCATGCCCTGCTCCGTTCCGTGCCTGCTGATGCTATTGCTTCTGCCTCCTTAAGAGACCAAGCAGGTCCGTTGGTTGGACGGGCGGATGGATGGATGGATGATGCGTGATGAATGACATGGACCGCAACGCTCTGTGCCGCGTCTCCAATTGACCAACCATGCCACCCCCCCGGCCTCCTCCAAGCCTCCAATGCCCTTCCCTGCCCGCCTTCGTCCTTCTCTTCGTCCCCTGTCCCCGGTTTCCCACCTGACAGAGAGACAGGAAGACTGAGAGACGACTTTTGTCCGGTGCGAGGGGACAGAGCAGGGGGGTACGTACCTGCGCCTGTGTTGTGTGTACATCGCACTGCACCTGCCCTGCACTCTCTATCATCAACTCCCGCCTCACGGGCCACCGATTCACTTGGACTGCCCATTTCCCGGTCCTGTTCCTCGCTCCCCGTATCCATCTATCCTTGCCATTCTGGCCGCCTAGCCTGGCCTGGCCTTTCCGTACCTCACCTTGCGGTCCATCCGTTGCTTGCTTGCTTTTGTGTGTACTTTCGACTCACAACACCCACGCACACTTTCTCTATCTTTTTCGCACTCCCTTTCTCTTGCGTCGTTGCTTTCTCTCCTCTCCATCTCCACCATTCGGACCCTAACAGTTCCTTCTTCCTTCGACGACCTCGATCTCGCCCGAGACGGCCCATCCGGAGACGATCAACGAGAACAAGGAACCGACGCCCATTGCATACGAACGAGCGCCATCCTCCACCACAGCCCGACCTCTTTCGCCTCGACACGCCTGCCCTGTCTTGTGTCTGTCCGGGCGTCGAAGCACATTCCAGTCTCCCGCGCTCACTAGGCTCTCGAAATAAGGTCTCGGCGTCTTGGGACTATGCCCGTTGGACGCTTGTGCCAGCCTCTGCGTCTCTAATTTTGTCCCTAACCCTGACTCCGACTCCGTCTTTGTCACTGTCTCTACTGAGCGAGCGAAACCTTTGAGGTGCCTTGTTGCAAAACACTGCTACCGTTGCTCCCGCCGCCACCGCTGCCATTGCTTCTTTATGGCGTCAAAACGTACGTTCCACACACCATGCACCCTGAGCTCATCTTTGCCCCCGAGCGTCAGACCTAGATCTAGACTTGGACCCGAGCTGGTCCCTGGTTCTCACGGACCCGCGAGGGCCCAAGTCGAAATCTAGTATAGCACCATCACCCTACCACCCATGAGCGTACAACGCCGGGCCCTGCGTCCGGAGCCTAGAGCCTTGACACACAAACAAACGCGCCGCCCTTCTTGTCGTCGCCTGTCTTGCCTTGACTACCTTGCTGCCCTCGTTTTCCTCGTACCGAGCCTCATTTTCCCATGCATTGCTGTCGTCCCCGCCTAACCTTGTCTGAATGCATCTTACCCATTCGTATTGCTGTGTATCCCGACAGAGCTGACCGAATGCCTTTGCGACCAGTCAACGCAGCGAGCACCACCCGCTGCCCGCAGCTGTAAACGACGACGTGCGCAACACCGGCCATGGAGGCCATCGAACCGCGGTCCCCGCAAGACGGATCCGGCTTCAGCGTGCGCTCTCCCCAACGCGATCAGCCTCCGCGCAGCCCATTGAGCCCCAAAAGCACATTCACCCGCGGAACGAGGTTCGGAGGGTCGCCAAATTCGGGAACTGGAGGGAAGGAATCTCAGGGTCCCACTGCGGCAGTGGGAGCTGGATCTGGGGGGAAATGGCCCAACAAGACGCGCCCGCCGGGGCCCTCGACAAAACCGATTGTTCCAGTGACAGAAAGGATGTTGGAGGAGAGAAACCAGGTCCCCACGCGCCGCATGAGAGCCAACAGCTCCATCGACGACAAATTTGAGATCGCTCCCGACGGGAGCTCTGCTGGCCGCGAAGGAAGACAGTTCACCGTTGCCAACGTGGGGAACAATGGCCGGATATACTTGAGGTGGGCTCCCCTCTCTTGGTCACATGCGGTGACCGTTGGTTGATTCGACGCTGCCTACACGGGCAGGAATGATGAGACCTCACTGTAATCTCTTGTGTCTTCCGAAAACGTGCTAACAACAAACAGACCAACTGTCCGCCCCGCCAACCAGAGATACCCTCAGCCCAGTTTTGTCTTTCCTATAACGCCACCTGGGACTGCTGGTCTTGATGCCCTGACCGAGAAACAGAGGGAAGAAAACGGAAGTGAAATTCATCTGAGCCAGTGGGCGGCCACGCCACCGTCTCCTGCAACGGCTGCAACGGCTGCCAGCCCCCCGAGGCGAGCAGCAGTCGCAACTTTTCTGGCCACGCCCCGAGGCCTTCTCAACACCGACGTGCCCACTCCGACTCAACGGCTCATGACGGCGCCACAAGTCGAAACTCCGAGGCCGAAGGCTTCAAGATTGTCATCTCCAAGCCGGGCGATGAAAAGCGAGCAAAGACGACGGAAGATTTGGACGCGCCTCAAATTCCCTTGTTAGACATTGAGATTCCAAATTGGAAATTGGGCAACCCGCGATTCACCGCTAGAGGCACTCCATTCTTCAGAGGGTCGAGCTACGCCCCAACAGAGGAGTTTCCTCGCTCTAGCAACGTTTCTTTCCTGCACCGGTCCCAGGCCGGTGACCTCGCCTCAAATATCCCCGACTCAATAGCGTCCAAGAAGCCCAGTCCGATCTCGATTCCTCAAATACACCTGCCGCCCCTGGAACCCACGAGGTCCGCCGACCCCCTCAGTCCAGCTTCCATGAGAACGCCCCGGCTGCCCGCCCTCCGCTCTACCTACATGTCGACCCATCTGGTCATCGAACCCGCCATGTTCGATGCCCTCACCTTCAAGCCGACATGCGACGACAGATCGATAGTACGGTACTCCCCGTCGACCGGCGCAGTGACGGCTGCAACGCCTCCTCGGCTTGTCGCCGAGTTCACCTCTCCCAGCTTCCTCGATTACGAACTCATTTCCGATTTTTTCCTCACGTACCGAACCTTTCTAGAGGCAGGTGATCTTGTGAAGCTTCTCATGGCGCGTCTGCGATGGGCGCTGGGCCTAAACGACGAGATTGGAATGGTTGTACGGGTGCGAACGTTCGTCGCTATGCGGCATTGGATTCTGAACTACTTTATGGACGATTTCGTCATCGAATACGGTCTGCGCGTATCGTTTTGCAACCTTCTGAATGGCATGTTCGATGAGATGTCGACTGATCCTCGAGGCCGGAAAGTCCAGATGAAGATCCTGGCCGAGTTGAAGAAGTGTTGGCGACGAGTCTGCGCTCAGTTCTGGGATGGCCCCGAATTCGATCCTTCTCTTGGGCCGCACGTGCCGATTGCACCAGGCGGCATCGCCGGCCATCGAAATGCCAGCTTAGACCCGTCGTTCTGGGAGCGGGAGGACGCCGCCCCGCAGATTGATGGTCACTTTGCGCCGATTTTGGAAGACCAAGAACATACAAGCTTCCGTGCCGAAGTATCGCGCGCTGGGCATGTTGGGGACTCCACGGTCATGGATGACAGACCCGCTACACCGGAGAACCGCCATTTCCAGGAAATCGACAGGCGACACGCAGCCTCCCCAACGAGCATCGCCAGCATGGATATTATTTCCTGCTCCTTCCCGGGTAAGACCTCGAAGGGGGCTCAACATGGTAACAACTACACACTGGGTGCTCATCCCGTGGCACCCGCCAGTTCGGCGTATTCCAACGCGGGAGCGGTGGCCACGACACCACGAGCGTTGGTTGGAAAGCGCGTGCGAGCAGGTCATGGGCACAAGAGAAACGCAAGCTTGGCAGACTCGCTCAGAGAAAAGGACCCTGCCACTGAACAACCAAGCTTTCAAGACGCAGATTTTCTCATGTCGTTGCCATTTGCCGGCAGTCTTGTTCGGGGAAATCTGATGCCACCTGGCCAACCCTATGTTGATGTCATGTCCCCCAACGTCGCAGGTGATTTCCAACGACACACTACAATATTCCAGGTGCCCGGAGAACAGAGAAGCGCGTCGGCGATGTCTGGCCAAGGCATGAAGAAGCTGATTGGTAGCGTTCGACGAGCCCTCAGCACGAGAGGGCAGGGTGTCTCGCCAACACAAGGAAACTTCATCAACATATCTCCTATCGGACCTCGCGGAGCGACGACAAATCGACTGCCAGGTACCGCAATTGTTCCCCAAGCCAGGCCACAGCACAACGGAATCCGCCCCCCTGTGAGGATAGACCTTTTGGGTGCGGATATTGTCGAGGATTTCAAGAAGGCTGTCCGAGAAGACGCGGCCGCCGACGCCGCTGTCGAAGCCGGACGAAGGGCACACATGGACCCTGTTGCAAACGCCTTGCGCAATGCACTTTCGAGGGAAGGGCCCAACTATTCAGAAGCTCATGTGGTCTCCTCATTTGGAAGCGCTTCTGAGACCGACATTCCGAGGCCCGTGAGTGACATGGCCATAACGACGGGCAGCAAGTCAATTGTCATCGTCGACGATACGATCCCATTCTCCATCCCAACAATGCATGGGGCCTTACCAGCCAGCGAGTCCATTGAAGCGTTTGCTGATACCTTCCTGCCAACTGGTGCGGACCCGACACCACCGAACACTCCTCCCGGCCATTCGATGGGCACTCCGAGACGGTCGTCTTTTCTCCTCAATCAGCACGTCACCAGACCTTCAATTTCTGCGGATCCTTTGCCCCCGTTTGTGCCTGACTTAGCAACTTTGGGCAACGAGCAAAGCACGCGCCCGTCCACGGACACTGATCGCCCTTTCTCCGACTTCGTCGAGGGAACTCCCAGCAGACCTACCCTGACTAGATCGGCGAGGAAACACTCACGTCAGAAGTCAAGCAGGACTAACCGGTCTCTCGACTCGGCTATAATCCGTCGACGTACTGCTTCGTTCGGGAGCACCTTCAATCCTCGTTCGACTGTCAAGAGTTTTGACGCGACCACGTACACGGGTGGTTCTGTGGCCGACGAAGACGAGCCTAGCCCGGTACCTCCCCCTCTTCGTGTCTTGAGACGGCGGCCAGGCGGCAACCTACGGGCGGTGAACAATACTGGAGACTTGGATGCTCTGCCACTGCGTAAGTCGCGGTCTGCAGGCTCTCTCACGACTTACTCGGAGTCGATGCGAAGTTCTTCTTTGCAAAGCCCCAACCACGATACCAGCGCTTTTGTGGACGTTGTTTCGAGCGAATTTTCGCACCGAGCCGACGCAGATAACTTCTCCCTCGGTGCCATGGCGGAGCCATCAACAAAACGACAGGTTTCATTCTTTAGCACGCACTCGTCCAAACCGATCATGCGCCCCTCTTTCGAGGCGGAGGCACAGAAGCTTGCACAAATCCCCGACGACGAGGATGGCGGTGGAGTGGAATCGGCCTTGCTCAAGTTGGAAGGAAAGTATGAGAAGAAGACCTTCAAACTGTCCATGGAACCCTCGAACGCCCCGCTCCAGGGCGTAGACGGTCTTACCAAGGCCAAAAAGGTGCCCGAGGCTCAAAAGCAAGGCAAGAAGGAGCATCGTCATTTGCATGTCCTCCCCGGCGATCCAGTCTTGGTGCAGCAAGACGAAGAGTCCGAAGCCCATTCCAGCTTCCTCAATATCCCCCGAAGACCACGCACTGAGGCGAGCTTCTTGTCGGACAACTCCGCAGGATCGTACTGCTCTATACCCCTTCTGGAACGCGACCTAACGGACGATGGCCGTAGCAAAGCATCCGCCCCCGAATGGACCAATATGTCTATACTCCAGGGACCAGAGGACATCTCACCGGCAGAGACTCCACGACCAATGTACGAGGGTTCGTTGGACGGTTCCTCCTTCGAGTTCGTCCGAAAGACCGAGAGCATGGAGAGGATCACCTCGGACGATACGAAGGCCCCGCCCAGTGAGCAGTCATTCCTGGAAGATGACAGCGATGGAGATGACTTCGGCTCGGAGCTTTCCTCTGAGCTCTCGGCAGAGATGGTCGAACCGGAAGAGTTTGCCATGAACCAGACACAGCCTTTGCCCAACCGCAATAAACACCGCAGCGCTTCTATCCTGGAGTTCGATCCTCGCCCTCTGAGAGAGTCGACTATTGGCTCGTCAGACGGCCCTCCTTCGCCACCAATGACGCTTGTTCAGGCCCTCCAAATGTCGCCCGAAGCAGTCTTGATTCCAGCGCTTCACGAAGACCAAGTGTACCAGCAACGATCTCTGCTGCAGACCCCCGACACCGCTTCGGCGGCCGGAGCCCAAGCTAGGTCGTCATCTGATCCTACTGGCACTAAAGAGGCACTGCGCGGACAGCCTAGGTACCTCCAGGCGGAACGTGAATCGTCGCTGAGATTCTCTGTCCACCTGCCCTTCACCCTCGCTTTCGACTCGGAGATCCTGGCGCAGCAATTCACGCTGATTGAGAAGGACGCCCTCAACGAGATCGACTGGAGGGAGCTCATCGACATGGGTTGGAAGCACGCAACCAACAACGATTCGCGATCATGGGTAGACTTCCTGCGCAACACAGATGCCCACGGTGTTGAAGTCGTCATTGCGCGCTTCAACATCATGGTGAAATGGGCGTGCAGCGAGATTGTTCTCACCCAGAACATTGAGGAACGGGCCCGATGCATTATCAAATTCATCCACATCGCCGCCCACTGCCGCCGCTACCGCAACTTTGCTACCATGAGCCAGATTACCATCGCCCTGACTTCTATAGAGATATCTCGACTTACGAACACATGGGCCATGGTGCCGCCCTACGATATGCAGACTCTACGGGATCTCGAACATCTCATCTCACCCACACGCAACTTTTACAACCTGCGTGCGGAGATGGAGAGTGGCTCCGATACGGGTTGTATTCCTTTCGTAGGCATCTACACACACGATCTCCTTTTCAATGCCCAGCGCCCTTCCGAAATTGCTAGTTCGCCGACAACCGCACCCCTCGTCAACTTTGAGAGATGCAGGTACGCTGCCACCATTGTCAAGACGCTGTTGAGGCTGCTCGAGGCCAGTACGCTGTACCAATTCCAGCCGGTGGAGGGCATTACTGAGCGCTGCCTATGGATGAGCGCTCTGAGCGACGACGATATACGAATGCACTCTTATCGCCTCGAGTGAGCCAGATCGGTTTCATCACTGGTACCCATGGTCTTGCTTTCAAAGGCGGCTATCACGATCACCGAAAGACGCCCCTTACTAGTGGACTTGCGCCTCCCACGACCCACAACTTTCGCTCACGTTTCCTATCTTATACCTGTACACGCACATATTTCAACCTGGACGATCACCCGAGGTTTCTTCCAGCGGTCGTTGTTCACACCCTTCCCTGCTTTGAAGTGGCGTCTTCAAGGCAGTGGTCATATACCCTGTATTGATAATACCAGCATGATACCACACGAGCATTGAGGCTCGGGAATTGGAGGAGGAGAGGAGGATGCAGAGAAAAGATGACATCTGGCCGCGGCCGCGGCCGGCCATGCATGCATGCACATAGAAAGCGGTGGTCTATACCCTTACTTAACGTCATTTGAGCGAGCGAGCGGCCACACCGGCAAGCATAGGGAGTTGAGAGGGACATTGGAATTTTTTTTATTTTGGAACGGAAAGGGACATCCATGTTGGACTTCCTGGGCTTGAGGCTTCTCAGGCCATATTCAATACCCCCTTTGCATGTTAGAGTTTCACGTCGACTCGAACAGGCGGAGTAAATCAGACAAATGCCTTGACATCTCTCAACCTGTTTGGCCCGCATCCGTGACACGCAAACCGGGAATATGACGAAGCTCTCTACTGGATTATTTCGGGTCCTTGTCCGCAAGGCAAGAGAGCGAACTGTGCAAAGAAGTGGTGATCTCGTCCTCTTCTGTCCACGCTGGTGAAAGCGCAACAATGCCAACCCCCCTAACTCTTTCTCACAGCTTCACGATGCTCAAGACTCTCTCCCCATCTCTTTGGCAGAGCCTACACCTAAACCAACGCCCCAGAAAACCTCGGAGCACTTCTTCACATGAAACGGCAACATGGCCTATCGTCGGCAGGGCCACTGTGTAAGAAAGCGTTGGATGAGGCTGGGCTTGGGTTGTTGATGGCCACTGAAGCAAGTAGGCGGGCGTGGGTTGCGAGAGGCTCCGGGGGTCCATGTGGGCGATGAATTGTTCTCGTGACGGGAGGGTTCCCAAGTGTTTCCATGCTGAAAAAGGAAGGGTGGAGTGACCATGAGATGAGGAAGAGTTGGAAGCGCAGTGATGCAGCACTTCTGACCCGGGTCAGTTAGGTGTGAAAGGCCGGGAAAAAACCTCGGTTGCCTCCGGTGAGGTTAAGAATGCAGTGAAACCAAAAAGTACCATGCCTCAGAAGCCGCAAAAAAAAAACCTGGTTGCCTCCGGTGGGGTTAACAATGCAGTGCATCATGAGCCTCACGCAACCCGCCGGTTGCCTAAATTTAGAGTCTATAAGCCGCATTTCATTGTCTTTATTTTTTCTTGGCTTTCTATTTTTAGCTTTTTACGGTCTATCACAGGAATCAGTTGTCAGCGCTGTGAATGGTGGGAGTGTTCGACGTCATGTGATGATGAGATGGGTTCCGTGGGGTTGGGATTGCAGTGTACCTTACTGCCATCAAGGTGGCTTGACGGCGGTGGGTGATGGTAGATGCCTGTGTTGCCTCTGTTACTCGAGGTGAGAGATTGATACTACTCGTAAGTGAAAATACATTCGGGGTTCATGATCAACTGATGGACAGCATAGAGGGAATTTAGCCGAAGATGGTCCATGGGTGCATGATCTGAGCTGAGAGTGGTTGATGCCATTTCCTGGTGACATCCTTGAAGAGCATCACGACCCATGACATGCCTTGGCCTGAATGAAGCGTTACCGGCTTCATGTGGCTGTGGGCACTGGCATAGTTGCGAGAGTCCCTGAGGCGGGTTGTTCGAAGAGGGAGTGGTTGCGCGATCCCATCCTTCGCGGGCAGAATAATGAATGCCTAGGGCCATCAATGTTCATGCCTTCTTTCACATGGTGAATTTCAAAATATCTGCGGTGGGGAAAAAAGAAGGAAACATTGCACGATTTCCTTAAAAAGGTGGATTCAGAGGCAGACGGCACAGGTGATGAAATGGGGTCGAGGCGTGGTCTGAGATGTCACCATGGGCTCGCTTCTGTCACATCTTGACACTACGGACTAACCGTGCGTTTGGAGTGCAACCTCTTACGACAGCAGAACCTTGCAAGGGCGTACAGGATGGGTCCCGAATGTCGAGAGAGATGTTTTGGCCCTGCCGTCTTCGAATCCGAGTATATGGAGGTCCTCCCGAGTCTCTCATCAACGTTATCAGACACAAGCGGGTGGCTGCCCGAAACTCTTCGGGCCAATGAATAGCCTTTTCTCAAAAGAATGCTGGTGCAACATGGCGGTGGCCTATACCGTTGTTAGACTTCTAGTGTCATCAGCTGCACTTCGGTGTCCCGGTTTCACGGCGTAAGCACGTATGTCGGGAGCTGTTGGGAACCAATGGGGATGACATAAGCCTATTATGAACAAGGCGAATTACAATGCAACTTGCGAGATGGAAAGCATTTGTACACCGAAAGATGGTTCCTAATGGGAGGCTTCTCGACAACACATATCACTTGGATGAAGGAGCTGACAACGTCGAATCACTGTACTTGGACAAGGGGAGAGAAGATGAGAGACCAACGACGGGGTTTGGTATTGCAAAGCAAGTCCTGCAACCCTGACCCAGTCCCCAAAACATTTGATGATTTTTTTCGACCAGGAGCCTTCGTCAACGGAACAAGAACCGGGCGGGATAACGATCAAGTCCACCCCTCTTGGCCACACAGGGCTTTCCCTCTCCCCAAAAGACATGCACAACAATCCGCGAAATGTGGTGGTTCTGCCGACTATTTCACACTTTCTTTTGGTTCGAGTATCTTTCCCTCATTAGTGCAAGCCAAGTTGAACCCGTTTTGCCCGAAGATTTTTGCTACCAGCGACGATCATATCTACCATTCCATGACCTTTTGTGATGCTGTTCCGCCGATTTTGTGGAATAGGTCCACCGTGTTTCGATGACCGATGACCTTCTTTTTAGCGTTCGTATGGGGGATATCCTTCGTTCATGCCGACACCTGATGAATCGCGGGAAATCTACCACTGAGACTCCTTGGGGGCAGCGGCAGCAGCCTCGCCAGCAGCGGCCCAGTCACCGGTGGGAGCGGCGCCAGCGGCAGCCCACTCGTCACCAGCACCGTCCCAGTTGGTGCCGGTCTGGGCACCAGTGAAGCCAGGAGCCTGGGCGTCCCAGTCACCAGTGGCGGGGAAGCCAGACTCGATGGCGGCAACACCCTCCTCCTCAACACCGGGGAGCTTCTCCTCCTCGACCTTCTCCTCGGCCTCGGCCTCAGGGTCGCGGTCTGTTCGCGTGCATGCGGTTAGTCTCGTGTTTCTCTTCCATGTTCTTCTTTCACTATCCTACACCTCGGGGAGCGGGGGAAAAACATACAGAAGTACAGATCGACCATGGTGTCCCAGGGGGTCTCGCGGTTGTAGATGGTGCCGCGAAGGCGGAGGACCTCACGGGCGAGCATCCACCAGACAAGACCGATGGAGTGACGACCCTTGTTGTTGGTGGGGATGGCAACGTCGACGTACTCGGTGGGGGAGTCGGTGTCGCAAAGAGCGATGACGGGGATGTTGACGTAGGAAGCCTCCTTGATGGCCTGGGCATCGGTACGGGGGTCGGTGACGATAATCAGGCGGGGCTCCTTGAAAGAGCGGGTGATGTAGTTGGTGAAGGAACCGGGGGTGAAGCGACCGGCAATGGCAACGGCGCCAGTGTGGGCGGCGAACTTGAGGACAGCGCGCTGGCCGTAGGGACGGGCAGAGATAACGCAAATGTCGGCCGGGTTGTCAACGGCGGCGATGATGCGGGCGGCCAGGACAATCTTCTCCCTGAAGAGCGCGAAGGTCAGCAATTGCGCGCCAATTTCTCCCTCACGCTCCCTCTACTCCCGGAGTAGCTTGAGCGCGCAAATGTTCTCTTACCAGGTCTTGCCAACGTTGATCACGTTGACACCGTCGGCACGGGTCTTCCAGAGGTAAGGCTCCATGTGAACCTGGAGGTTCTTGCTTCCCAGGTGGGCTTGAGCTGCAAGGAGCATCTCAATGTCCTGGGAAGTGGCATTGAAGATCGAGGGCAGGTTAGCGGGAGCCATCTTGGGCGGTTTCGGTCTTTCTTCCACGGGGAGACGGTGTCGGACGGTGGTGGTGCGGAGGGGAAGAAAGGGAAGACTGCGAAATCGTAAAGTTTCGAGATCGCGACAAAAAATTGACAAAATTGCTTGGTGCGGCAGGTGCGACTGTGCGACTGCTTGCCCTCATCGCGCTAAGGCCTTTAGCGGGGCTTTGATCGGTACGTAGCTCTTGGAGTTCCGTTCAATGCACGTGACGTGCAGGCTAACCTGCATCGAGCAATGGGTCCAGACCTGCTGAGGTAAGTCGAAAAGACCACTTCGCCTTACCTAAGCTATGCGGAAGACTGGGCCTTTGGTTCGGGAGTCTGGAGAAAAAAATAGGGCGAATCTTTACGCCGACGATCGTGTTGAACGGGAACTGTCGCCGCCATGCCTCCCAGATTACAGAGCCTGCAACGGCTAGGCACTGCTAGCTGTGAGCTCAGCTTCGCCTCAACACATGTAGAAACCAATTGAATGGCTAATTGATCGTCATAGTGTGCCTACGCCCGGCCGTGAGGCCAGCAACCCCGAGCTTCCTCCCCGTCATTCAAACCGCCAACATCTCCCAGCGCGAGAAGAAGCGCAAGGCGAAGCAGGACCCGTACCGGTATCAGCAGGCGCAGCAACGCAAGGCCGCGAACGAGAAGAGGCAGAGCGAGATTCAGGCGGAAAAGGACGCGAAATGGGGCGACCCAGTCCACGGCATCCCGACTCCCTTTGTCGAATCGTTCGACTCGGCCGGCCAGGCACCGACGACGAAGCTCGTCAAGGATGACAACGGCAACATCATCTCTGAGCCCCGCCCGCTCCCTACATCCCCGGGTCTTCTCAACCACCTCGTCACCAAGGATGAGCTCGAGCACGTGATACAGAAGGCCTATGTCCTGACGAAGCCCGTCAAGAGCGACGTTCGGGACTATGCAGACCCTGCGGCGGAGGAGCTGGCCGACAAGAAGCATGAGACGAATCACGCCAAGGCGGTCGAGGCTCTCAACCGCATCCTGTCGATGGACAATGCCAACTCCAAGATTCTTCTACACACCAACATCAAGAGATGTGTCGATGAGTTCGGCCGCCACAACACCGACGAGGTCCTACGACAGAAGCCCAAGTCCGCCCTTGCGGACCCTAACGCCCCGCCGGCGCCCGAGAGAGCTGGCCCAGACACGGGTAGCTCGGAGGTGCAGATCGCGATCCTGACCGCCAAGATCAGAAAGCTGGCGCAGGAGCTCTCGCAGAACCGCGGCTACAAGGACAAGCACAACAAGAGGAACCTGAGAGTGCTCTGCCACAGGAGGCAGAAGCTGCTCAAGTACATGGAGAAGAAGGAGAGAGGAAGCGAGCGGTGGACGCACCTGCTGGAGAAGCTGGGTCTGTCTCCGGCAACGTACCAGGAGCAGATCAGCTTCTAGGTGAATGGGCGAAAAGGTGAAGGGCGGAGGCGAAACCATGTGTAAAATTCAGACTTGTAATTGTCCTCTATGTACACTATAGCGATCGGTAAAGATGCTGATCTCCACGTCATGAACCTGAGCAACCTCCTTGCGCCGTTGTGACCTGCCATTAAACGATGAAACTGGTATTCTACAAAAGTACGATAACAGGACTGCTAAACATTAAACTCAGAACACACTGATGTAGTTGCCAATCCGGTCCTTCTGGTTTTGGGCTATGCATTCAGCAATCCAAGTGATGTTGCGGATTTCCTAATACTTTGTTAGCTTGGTCTTATTTCCCATTCGACTATCATGATCTCTTACCTGCTCGCGGAGCCTCACCCAGGCGTACACAATGGCAAAGGTGAACTGTTGGGTGAAAGCGTTCTTGGAGATCTCCATCTCCTTCTGGTAAAACATGTCCTCCAGGCTTCTGCCATCGGAGCTCGAGCCACCACCCAAGTTGCCGGGTCCCGAAGGGCCGCCACCGAGGCCAGCAGCCTCAAAGAAGCTCTTGTAGTCCGCCACACCGTCAACCGCGAGACGGACACCCTCGAAGTCATCAGCCCTGGAAAGCATCAGGGTTCCCTCGGGGTACAGCTTGCCGAAGTTGGGGTAGAGCTTCTTGCGGTCATTCTTGTTCAGCTCGGTGCCGAATGAGTTGAGCGTGATGTTGATCGCACGGCGGTCGGCCTCGAACTCCAGAATCTCCGACATGATGTCGGCAGTCGGCGAGCCAGCCATATCGGGGTGGGTGTTAACAAACTTGTGGAAGTCCTCCAAGTAGTTCTTGTATAAAGTGTTTCGGACGATCTCAATGTTCAGCTCGTCAAGGTCCTGGTGGCTAAGACTGCCCTTGAAATAAGCGGCAAGGGGCGTCTCGATAAGAACACTATTGTACAGTTCCTCAATGTTGGTCGCGACGCAGAGAACGGGCATGGTCTCGAACCAGCCGAGGGGGTGGCATCTCTCGAGAAGCTCGCGGGTGTCTCGTTCGTGGAGGGTACCGGTAATCAGCAGGGCGACGTTGTCGATCATGTAACCGTAGGTGAGGTAGTCCATAAACTGGGCAAGGGCACCGACGGCGTTGGCTCGAACATAGCGAAACTCGGAGACGAGCTTGTCGGTCGTCTTCGCGGCGAGAGCTGACGTCGAGGGGTTGGGGGGAGGTTACCGAGGAAGTCGCCGTACGCAGGACCGAGTTGCAGCTTAAGATCTAGAACCAAATCAGACATGCATCACGCTGAAATATCGATGAAAACTAACCATCGATGGTCTCGCACTGCGTCAGGTTGCTGTAGTTGGAGCTCGTGAGAAGACCATTCCTGTAGCCACGGACAATGCCCTCGATGTAGCTGCACCATGTCAGCCACCAGCCGCGCGCACGACAGCCATCACGGAGGCAGAACTCACCCGCTGTTGACGTTGAAGAAAAGACCCTCCATCTTGACGGGATTGTGGATGCTCGATTCGAGAGAGCTGGAGATGGTGACGCCGGTCGTGTGGAGGCGCAGACGGAGACAGCTTTGGTCGTTGACTTAAGGACTCACTCTCTTAGCCAAAGCAAGTCAAATGGCTGCACGCCAGCTGCCAGGTCCCAGTCTCAGCCAGCCGACCAGTCAACGTCCGCCCCCGAGCATTACGCTCTACAGCCACGCATTGACCCGCTGAGGCTGTGCACCTGTCCTCCCGTTTTTTTCTTCCATCGGCGAAACTGATTTTACGCGCTCCGAGCCATCCCACTTGCCAATTGGGTGTGGGGGCCCGCCCAAAGGTCTGCAGCATCGAAAAAAAATTGGTGGAGCTTAGTTCAGAAAAAAAATATTTCCAAACCATCAATCCGCTCTGGAAACCTGCCTCCGCCGACAACAACATTTACACCCACGAGCGGAGGAATTCACCCGAGGGAACCCACAGGCTAGATTTGAAGGGTTCTGACAGTATTCAACATGTCTCTCTTCGTTCTCGCCGAAACGCCGGCAGGGTACGTTTTGACTTGCAAGAAAAATAGAGTGGCAGAAACTTGTTCGAAGCTAACACAAAAAATAGCTACGGTCTGTTCAAGGCTGCCGACAAGAAGCTTCTGAAGCGCGATGAGCTCACTTCGGGTCCTACCTCTTCGGAGAAGATCAACGAGATGTAAGTCGCGTTCCCGAAAAGTCAATGGCAGTCGGTTTCCGCGAGACGCACGAGGCAGCGCACACGCGTTACAACTTTGCGGGCTGAATCGCGGAAAATGCTGCGTGTTAGTACAAACAAAGCTAATCGTTGCACAGGCTCAAGTTGAAGTCCTTCGTCAAGTTCGATAGCTCCGCCGTCGCCGTCGAGGAAGCCGCCGGTCTCAAGGAGGGTCGCGTCCCGCCATTGCTCGCCAACCTGCTCAAGGAGATCAAGGATGAGAAGAAGGCCACCATTGCCGTTGCCGACCTGAAGCTCGGTACTGCCATTGGCAAGCTTCCCGACTTGAACATTCAGGCTGTCTCCGAGGCCGCTTCCCAGGACCTGTTCCGTGCTGTTCGCGAGAACCTGTCGTCCCTCATTCCCGGCCTCACCACCGAGACCATGGACCGCATGGCCCTTGGTCTGTCCCACTCCATCTCGCGCCACAAGCTGAAGTTCTCTGCCGACAAGGTCGACGCGATGGTTGTTCAGGCGATCAAGCTGGTGGATGACCTCGACAAGGAGCTCAACGTCTACGCCATGCGCACCAAGGAATGGTACGGCTGGCACTTCCCCGAGCTTGCCAAGATCCTCAACGATAACCTGGTCTACGCCCGCCTTGTCGTTGCCGTGGGCATGCGTCAGGACTTCAACGAGGCCGACCTCTCCGACATCCTCCCCGAGGAGCTTGAGACCCCCGTCAAGACCGCTGCAGAGATTTCCATGGGAACTGAGATCACCCCTGAAGATTTGGAGAACATCCAGTTGTTGGCTCAGCAGGTCATCACCTACTCCGAGTACCGTGCTTCGCTCTCCAACTACTTGGAGACTCGCATGCGCGCTCTTGCCCCCAACTTGACCGCCCTCGTCGGCTACCTCGTCGGTGCTCGTCTTATCGCCCATGCTGGTTCTCTGATCAGCTTGGCCAAGGCTCCCTCGTCGACCATCCAGATTTTCGGTGCCGAGAAGGCTCTTTTCCGTGCTCTCAAGACCAAGCACGACACACCCAAGTATGGTATCATTTACCACTCTTCCCTCGTCGGCCAGGCTACTGGCAAGAACAAGGGAAAGATCGCCCGTTCCCTCGCTGCCAAGACTGCCCTTGGTCTGCGTGTTGACGCCCTTGGCGACATGGAGAACCAGGACGATGAGGAGGAGCGCAGCATTCTCGGCCTGACCAGCCGCATCAAGCTCGAGAACCTGCTCCGCAAGCTGGAGGGCAAGCCTCTTCTGCCCAAGGGTGTCGGTGTCGGCCCCGACGGCCAGCTCACCACCCCTGGCGGTTTCAACCTGAAGGAGTCCCGCAAGTACAACGCGGACGCCGACGGTGTCGAGGATGCTGAGACCAACGGCAAGCCTGAGAAGAAGTCTAAGAAGCTCATCCAGGTCGTCGACGAGGAGATGAAGGACGCTGACAGCGATGAGGAGGAGGATGAGGAGATGAACGATGCCAGCGAAGAGGAGAAGAGCAAAAAGGACAAGAAGAAGAAGGAAAAGAAGGACAAGAAGCGTGTCTCCATCGCGGCAGCCGAAACTCCCGTCAAGGAGAGCAAGAGCGTCAAGGGCACACCCGCGAAGCTGAGCGAAAAGGAGTACGAGCGCCTTGCCGAGGCCGCCGGTGTCAGCGTATCCAAGTTCAAGCGCAAGTTCGAGCGCGGCGATGTCCAGCTTGGCGAGGACGGCACGCCCGTTGTCTTCAGCAAGAAGGAGTTGAAGAAGCTCAAGAAGGGCGAGGACGAGGCTGACGAGACGCCGGTCAAGGCTGCCGACAGCGGCAAGAAGAAGCGCAAGCACGAGGACGACGAGACGCCCAAGAAGGAGAAGAAGCTGAAGAAGAAGCGCAGCTCCCTCGGTGCTTAGGGAGCCAAGCGGCGTCGCGTTTCTTATTCATAGACGGCACTTGGGCCTCATGTGCATCAACATATTGTTCAATGCGCTGTATGATACCTTGATCTCTCTGGCCGGCGTTTTGGGATGGACCTGGGGGGTTTATATGGTCTGATCATTGGATGGGCATAGTTTCTCTTTTACTGGCAGGAAAAAAATGCAATGTAATTGCTTGTTGAACTTTGCTACTTGTCTACTTGATCAGTCATGGCATGTCTCCTTGTGAATCAATTAGTATGTCTTGCTCGATTTGTGCTCTTCATTGCCAGAGCCTTCTTGTATTGGTACGGCTGGTTAATGACAATGTGCCACAAGGCTATTTCGTTTACTTTCCTCCATCTCACATGCTAGGGCTATGTAGTGGCCACACATTACACCACTAGATATCGCCTTGTTCCCAACATGCAGTGCGGACGGCACATTCAGACTTAAAAGCATTTGTACTGCTACCGATTCCAACCACCTGGATTCAACAACAAGCACAATGTTTCCTTCACTCAAGATCAAAGAGGAATGCAGCGACGAGTCTTCTCGTCCCGGCTGCAGATGGGCGGCTTTCCAGTCTTTAAGTTGCAGCACTGGTTCAAGTCAGCATCGAGAAGGCATACAGATAATGGCGTGTACTTACGCGGTAACCAGTGGGTCCAGGGCAATCGCCACTACAGGAATAGAGACGTCGTATTAGCCGGCATGCCTGTTGGTATTACATCAGAGCTGAGGGAGGAGCTCACGTAGAGTAAGTGCCGCTGCAGGATATGCTGTCCCTCTGACAAAAGCCGTTGCTGTTGCAATCCGGATAGAAGCAGCACTTTACGTCGTCTGGGTCATTGGGACAGAGGTTGGTCTTGGTGTAGCCGTTGAGAGACTTGCACTTGGTGACCTTCTGGCAAGTGCCATAGTTGCCCTGTAGAGTCAAGTCAATGAGAACGGGGTGCTATGAACAAGTAGACGGCGGTGTAAATCGGACCTTGCTGTCCTTGCAGTAGCTGCCGATGGCCGCCAGGGCACTGGAGAAGAAAAGGGCCGAGACGAGAGCTGAAGTTCTCATTGTGATTGTAGATTGGTGCGGATACAAGGTGAGTGCTGAGATTTGTTGTGTGATGGCTTTGACGAGGGGTTTTTGCAGCTTCGAAGGAAGTAAACGTCTTTTATAGTTGGGAACCATCATTTGGACAATGCCACAAGGCTCCATCCATACAGCTTTCAAAGATAAAGGATGCATCATGAGTTTCGATGTAAGCCACACGGGCCAAAACTCTCTGAATGACTAGCAACATCCAGAAGAGGGATTACAGCCTTGACCGGTTGACACCTAGACTATGAATCTTGTCACTGTAGCGGTGAGGATCAGACTATAAGCGTCAGCATCTAGACCGATATAGAACCTCAACAGTGTTACCGGAATGATTCGAGGATGCTGCCATTGGTTACTTTTTGTCAGTCCTCGTTAATTCGAGTAAAACCTCCGGTCTGTATGAGAGAACCCGACAGGCTGACTTGACGGGCGCTTGCACGAGACAATGTGAAGATACACTGGACTTTTAGGTGCATTAGTTTTTCCAATAACTTAGTGCCAATATGGAAGGAGGTTTGCCGTTGGAGAAGGCTGTCAAGTAAATTGCTTACACGGAGTCGGGGTAACGTGAAGGCTGGACCATGCAAAAAGCAAAAGAGGTGTTCAGCTGAAATGCAAGTCGAAACCCCTCGACAACCACAACCAATCGCTTGCAACCCTGCTATGGACAGGTTGTTAGTGTAGTTGGGTTACCCCTTACGGAACCCTCCAAGACATAGCTTATGTGTTTTGCAAGTATGTTGCAATGCGTCGCATAGGTGGAAGACAGTCGAGGCCAGTGTTTAGCGTGCTATGCGAGAAACAAGCCACAATGGAACTTTAGTCTATTTTCAGAGTTAGTTGTCTTTCCAGGCTTTTAGCTTGGAGTTGTCTAGCACGTAACCCCCAAGATTGGTTGATGACCTTGACGATGGTGTCTCGGTGAGCTGCATCTCACCGACAAGCGAGACACGTGACGCGCCTCGGTGGACCCACGTGATTCGAGGCGATGAACGCTGCCAGAGCATCACCACGTCCCATTTCTCACGAACGCGCACCTTGTCCAGCCCTCGGTATTAGAATCGTGCACCTCAAGCCTTGAGCTGGCAATGGAAGACCACCGGCGGGGGAACTTCCACGGCGGCCGCCCACGGCCTGACCTGCAGAGCCCGAACAGCTCAGCAACGGCCGTGACGGACTCGACCTCGAGGCCGATCACTCAGAGCAGTGGATGAACGATTACTATGACCGCCGAGCTACCAGGACTCATGGTCCAAACGGTGGGTTACGTCTTTCATTCCCCGAAAAGCCAGATCTATGATTACGTCAAAGGTCCTTCCAACATCTCATCTGCAGCCAATCTTTGGCACGGCAGCTGCAATTACACCCACCGACCGTAGCTGCTAGCTTCTCATCTAAATCACTTCATTTGCACTCCAAAGAAACAAGCGACGGAGCTTGCAGGCGTATTATTTGGTCGACGGACGAAGTAGACAGGGGTGGCCTCTTGTCGGCAGGGGTCTCAATCCGGTCGCGGTTTTGATGAGAAGTTCTGGCCCGTCATTGCAACCCAAAGACCAGGGCTTCGTTTGCTCTCATTCTGTCACGAAATTGTGCACCCTCGCAATACGTCTTCCCGAAGGAGCCCGCCGGCAAGAGCTTGTGTGGTTTGGGGTAGTTCGTCAGCAAATGAATGTGCGCAGGAGATTGATTGAGCACCGGGGCCATCTGCTGACCCGCCTGGTTCATGCGGCCCCGGCCGTAGACTTCAGACGACCTCCCAAGTGGGAGCCTGGCCATGGGGGTCTTGATTGTTTCAATTCGTGGTCAACGAAACCGCTGACTCATTTCAACCCCCAGGCAGCTCACATCCAGACGACCATATTTCCAGTGACGGCGAAGCCTTTCCGCCACAGCGCGTCGACTGGGAGGCCATGAGAGCCGGCGCCGACATGGAGGAGTATCTGCGAAACGCGCCGATCCCAGAGTATTCTGATGAGGAGGGCATCAGCATGCCCCTTGACGACCTCGGCGAAATATCCGGCACCGACACTAGCGTTGAGGACGGCGAGAATGGGGACCCCGTCGACGACCACCACGAAGAGCCCGAGTTCGACCCTCTCGCCGCCGGGCTGAAGGAGATCTCCAATCTAGGAAAGTTCACTGTCAGCAGCCACAAGCAAGGCAACGGCGTTGAGCAGCTGCGTAACGACAGTCTGAAGACATACTGGCAGTATGTGATTCTAGCTCCCAGGACTGGCAGCAGATTACTGACCGACAACAGATCCGATGGACCCCAACCTCATAAGCTGACGGTTTATTTCATCAAGCGGGTCGGTATCAGAGATATCCGCTTCTTCGTGGACTACAACGAGGACGAGTCCTATACACCCACCAAGATCATCTTCAAGTCCGGCACCAGTGAGAACAACCTCATTCAGTTCGCGACAATGGAGATGTCGCAACCCTCTGGCTGGCAGCAGGTTCCGGTTGCAGGCGCTGGCGGCGGCCCCGACGGCAACACGCTGGTCTCGTACGTGTTCCAGATGCAGATACTGGAGAACCATCAGAACGGAAAGGACACCCACCTGCGGTCCATCAAAATCTACGCGGCGGACACTGATGCCCCCAATGTCGACATGGACAGTGCGAACCATGTGAGTATGGTCTTTATTCATTTGTAGCTGTGCGACTGACAAGGCTGCTCAGCAGGTTGTGAATGAAGAGGTGGATGAGGAGCCCGCCGACCCTTGGGACCTTTCTGTGCTCGAAGCCGGCCTTATTGTTCCCGATTTCATGAAGGAGCCTGAAATCCGATGAGGAACCAAGGAGCCCCGGCGCCGGCATCTGGAGCTGAGAGCCCTACTTGCTAGCTTGAAGTCACAATCGTGGTTTGAAGGTCTGGGCTCACGACGTTGGCGATAGGAACCGGGGTGCGATGGGCAGCATAGGTTACTGCAACTTATTTTTACTGTAATGATACCCCAGAATCGGATGCGGAAAGGGCTCCTCCAGAGCCAGGATCAAGGCGGCACGGTGACAGTCCAAAGCTGGACATCCCAGAAGAGCCGTCAGTATTCGTGTGGTCAACATGGTGGCCCTCTGTATTAACAAACTTATCCCTGCATAGCTATGGACATCTTTCACACCACTTCGTGCCTATGCAATTTGTTGGGGTGCCTGGTCAAAGACTCCTCAAGGTATCCTGCATATACCATCTAGCGCGAGCGGCTGAGGTATGGCGTCCAGTTGAATGGCACCACCCGTTGTACCCCCTGCAAGGCCGGGCGAATTATGTCCCATTCTGACAATGGTATTTCTGCACCAGGAGTCACACGTGATGCCATTCTGATATCTCGAGGTATTCAGCCATGTTCACTAAGGTCGCCTGTTTTACTACTGGAGAGAATGAACCAACTCTGACTTCATTGAGACGTTTGCGACACCGAAGACGTCGACATGGTCGGACAAGACAGCTCCTACCGGTATCAGCCCCTGCCTCCCATTGCAGAACAGGGTCGAACACCGCCGTTTACACGCCTGCTCTTCCTGCACCCAGGCTTGGGTGAGGACCCATTCGAGGCGCAACTGCAGATTGTCAACATCGAAGATGCGCCTCCCTATGAGGCGTTGTCTTATACCTGGGGGAAACCCACTGACAAGCCGAGGGATTACATATGGCTACAGGGCCACCCTTTGCCCATCAAGCCAAACCTAGAGGACGCACTCCGCTCCCTGCGCTTGCCGACGCAGGTGCGCCGGCTATGGATCGACGCTCTTTGCATTGACCAGTCGGACTTGGACGAGCGCTCTCGCCAGGTCCAGTACATGAGACTGGTTTATAAACACGCCGCTCGCGTGATTGTCTGGTTAGGTCTCAAAACCGCTGGGACTCAAGAGGCATTCATGGCTGCGGAGAGGCTTGCGAGGATCAGAGAATACACTCATCCCGGTCCGAACACCGAGCAACTTGATCCCAATGCGGTCCAGGAACTGATGAGCAGCATGGTTGACGAGTTACCCGAGACCTGCATGGTCCATCTGGACGAGGTGTTTGAACGGCAGTACTTCAGTCGATGTTGGTGTGTACAGGAAGTCGTAGCATCGACCTGGGCGATCGCCAAGATTGAGGATCTGGAGATGTCCTTCTTCGACCTCATCGCGTCACTAGTCATCCTTGCCCGCTGGAAAGGGGAGATCTCGATCCACCGGCCCTACGAGCTGTGGAACCTGATCCTGATGCGTCGTCAGCCGAACACGGACCAGAGCCGTCCCGAAGTTGAGGGCTCAATTGGCTCGTTCCTCGGCCTGCTCGAACTGACGCGGACGCTGCAGGCGACCGACGAGCGCGACAAGGTGTTTTCTCTCCTGGGCATCTGCGACGAGGGGCTGAACCCCGTGCTGGCGCTGACGCAGGTCTTTGACAACAATGACAGCTGGCGCATCCGACTGATCCGTCGGGGCCTCACGCGGGTCAACAACTTCGTTAACGGGCTCGCGCCGGATCTGAACTTTGGCCGACCAAGGGCCCTGCGGCCGGATTATAAAAGGGAGACGGTGCTGGTCTACTGCGACCTGACGCGGTTTCTCATGCGAAAGCAGCCGAGGATCTTGGACGTCCTCGACCATGTACAGCATAACGAAGATCCAGGTCTTGGGGAGTACCCGTCGTGGGTGCCGAAGTGGTTCGACCGGAGGACCTGCTTCGTATTCAAGGGGGCGTATCTCGCCGGCTTCTGTGATGGGCACTTCCGGTACTTTGCTGAGCTACATGATATTCCGGTCCGCGACGATCCCGTATGGCCAAAGGTTCTGTCCCTGGATGGGTATCACGTAGATCTGGTGCAGAAGACCAGCGAGACGTTCGAGTTTGGGTGGGGGTCGCGGGCGACGGCATCGGCTATCGTGGATGCCTGGGAGCAGCTCTTCGATGTGCCCATTGCGCCCAGAAGCGGGTGGAAATATCGAGACGGCAGCCTGCTTGACGTAGCATTCTGCAAGGCCGTTTTGGCCAGCGTCCTCGGACTGATCATTGGATACAGTCATCTTCTTACCCAGAAACATGGGGGCTCAACCCACTCTTCGACGACCGCACGCGGAAGCCACTCAAGGAGTTAGATCAGGAGGTTCTAGACCTTGCGGAGACGTTCCTTACGCAAATAGCCGAGTTTGGTCTCCCGCTGACGGCGGACGAGTTCGGACATGCAGGGCGGGAGGAGAAGTTGCAGATCTTTGGTGCCGGGGCACGAACATATTCGAACAATCGCCGGGCATTCGTGACTCGCAATGGACGTGTGGGCATTGGACCCAAGATGATGCAGCCGGGCGATGAGGTTGTCGTCCTCTTCGGGGGCGCATGCCGTTCGTCGCACGGCCGCGGGGAAATCATCGACTCCTGGTCGGAAGCTGTTATCTGGTTGACGATGAGTTGATGTGGGGGCAGGTAACCGAGAAGGTGAGGTTCAACCGTGGCGGTCCTCCGCGGGTGACCTTTGAGTTCCATTAAGTCGCTGTTGCGAAGACAACCGTTTCACCTCAAAGGCCGTAGGGCTCACCTCAAAGGCCGCGGGGCAGCCATTGTCTTCCCTCTTCCTATCGCGGGGTAACTTTGAAGGCGCATTCTACAGTAAGAACATCTCATCAAGGTGGGCCGGGCCGAGGCCTGGCTACTATAGGCGTTTGAGCTAACGCCTCTTTAAGCTCCCTGGACCTGGTGCCAGCAAAGGCCGAAGGTGATTTCTAGAATCGGGGTAGTCCAGTCGGAGCTTCTCCGCTGCCGTCCAAACCTTGTTTCTGACAAGGTCTAAAGTATGGGACGGCACCCTTGATTGACCGAAAGCAGAAGCGAACGTGGAAGGTCACGTAAACTAAATAACCTAGCTCATGCCTAGCTCTCTCCGCATCACGGAGACTCTGATCCGTCAACAGACTCAAGCTTTTGGGCTCAGCTGATTTGAAAAGACCGTAGGAGTAATCTTAGGAACCGCGATACGAAGCTTTGGGAGCTTTAGGAGTGAAACGGCCGCGAATGCGAGGCGCAGAATGCGAGCGACCGATAGAATCGAATCTACATGTTTCCCGTATGATGTCATGTAGCAGACAGTCTCTATTATATATATCTTTTCAGAAACTCCTGGCTGCCGAGCTCCTGCGATTGTGATTCATGACTCAATAAACTAGAAGAGCACCACTGCCACCTACTCGAGATGCATATTTTTGTCGTCCCGGCGTCACCCAAGACTGGGCAGGCCACAATTCGAGCCCTTCTCAATGATACATCTTGTCCATCTGTGACGGGTGTCTACAGAGACTTGGGAAGGGTGCCTGCCGAGTTCCGAACCCACCCGTGGTTCACGGCCATCAAGGGCGACGTCGCCAATGTCGGGACCCTCAAATTTGCCGGCGCAGACGCTGTCGTGACCATCACCCCACCGCTGTTCTCCCAGGCCAAACCGATAGCGAGGGCACGGGACATGGCCGCGAATATCAAGTACGCCATTGGCAGGGCGGGGGACTCGGTGAGGAGGTTGGTGTATGTGTCTAGCGTGGGGGCTCACTTGGAATATGGCACGGTAAGTCTGGTCCATGTCGTTCAGACGAACAGCTCTTGGGGGTTTGGCCGAGTAACACGAAACATAGGGCGAGATCAAGACCAACTATGAGGCCGAGCAGGCTCTCACCGGCGCCGCCCCCGAAGTGGTCTTCGTCCGGTGCGCCTTTTTCATGGAGAACTGGGCGACCGCGCTTGAGACACTCAATGCCGAGCCGCCCTTCATTTACTCCGTGCTGTGCCCTGAAGACTTTCACATGCCCATGGTAAGTTTTGAGGGGCGGTTGCCCCGACTGACAATATAACGAGTGAATGATTGCTGATTTGCATGACATCAAAGGTGTCAGTGAACGACATTGGCCGGACGTGCGCGGCGCAAGTCCTCGCGGCGGGGTCGCCGCTGCGGCGTAACCCTCGTGTCTTTGACTTACTGGGCCCGCGGCCGTACTCAGCGCGGGATGTGCAGAGAGCTATTGAGGCGGTCCTCCAGAAAGAGGTCGAGTTAAGGGTAGTGGAAGACGAGCAATTGGAGGGATTTTTCGCCCAAGTCTTCAGAGAGCCAATGGCGGGCATGTTTGTGGAGATGACGAGGAGCTATCTGCCGGGTGGTATCATAGAGGCGGATATGTATGAAGGGCTCAGGGTGTGGAGGGGGACAGATACTCTGGAAGAGGTTGTGAGAGAGTTGATTTCGGGTTGAGAGTTTGATGAGGAACCGCAGAACGTTGTCACGGCGTGGTTGAGGACGAAAAGCTGGTGGAAGGAAGACAGGGAACGGGAGGTACTCAAGTCCTGAAATTGTGGCCTTTGTCAACAATAACAAGACCCGCCTTGCTAGCTCAATCGGTAGAGCGTGAGACTCTTAATCTCAAGGTTGCGGGTTCGACCCCCGCGTGAGGCTCAAATCCTCGCCGCGATTGGCAAAGCCACTCTTACGGGTTCTTAGTCTTTTTCATTTTTGCTGCATTTGTGGGGTGTTAATCCCTTAAAAATTTCTTGTTCGTTATCGCGGCGCCTTCTGCATGCTAAGTTGATGGGTTGAGTAAGACCTGCATACCCGGGCTGTGTTTTTGATTTCCCTACAGAACCTTCTATTTTTATTTTTTAGTAGCAGTCCTTTGATTTGTCCGTGTGATTGCGCTTTCCGTGTCAGTCTGGTCAGCGTTGTTCTCGCGGGAGTTGTCCAATTGAGCCGGAGCCGAAGCCGAAGCCGAAACTGATCAAGCCGAGAGGGGGCTGGCCTATGAATGACGATATAAGACACGTTACCCCTCGCACCGCGCATGATGATATGGGAGCTGTTCCAATGGTTGCCTTCAGTCAGAAAAGGCAGTCTAATATGACTCTGACTCATCCATGTTTGGTTGTACCAGAGCATTGTGCATTTGTTCGTCCTATTCTATCTCGGCTTGGGAAGCAAGACATCTCGGAGTATAAGGATTCACACCCTGCTTCCGTCCTTCCATTCGGCTCAACCCACAATCCACGCTTGTAGGGATCTCTCGGGGCGGCCCACACCCCAAGCCTAGGGCCTTTTTTCTTTTCTTTCAACAAAGCACCAAACTTTTGTATACCAGTTGCGACTTCGCTCGCAGCCAGCACGCGGGACTCTGCGCGTTCACAAGGAACCCAGCTTCAGAAATCTAGAAGCAAGATGAATCTTACGAAGATACATCAACTCGCAAACTACTTGGCCTTTGCTGCTGGACTGAAAAGAAAAGAAAAAGGTAGACGGTCACAAAATGGACACAGTGGACCCCTAGAAGCACGTCTTACACCCCCACCAGCCAGCGCTGAACCCGGAGATGTCCCCGTCAGGACATCGCAGCGGTAGGACACGGGAGCGGAAGCCCCATACAACAAGCTACATGGATTCCCGTCTAGTGGCCGGACCGCCCCTTGCGTCGTGCCCACGATGCGCGAGGTTCCCGTTGGTTGCTGGACGGGCTAGATTCTTTTCGCTAGAGGACTTGGGGAGCAGGTCTGCTCCTCGTCACAATTTTGATCCACTGAAGGGCACTTTTGCCCAACAAGCCCCGTCAGCATGCCGGCTTTCTCTGAAAGCCATGCTCGGCTTGAAGTCCCCCTTCCGCGGCTCGAAAGGTCGGCTCGACCAGATTTAATATGAACTCAACGTCCGCCTTCGCGTCCTGTCCCTTGAGGCCTCTCTCTCCTTCCCTTGGAACACTACCTGTCTAGCTGATTTCTGTCATACCCCTCCGGCTTAACATGGCGACAACGAAGAGCCAGGACAGTGATTCCGACGGCGTCTCGCAGATCATCATGTCATCGGATAGGGAGAAGGCTCAGGCAACGCCGCAAGCAAGTGACGATGAGCCGGTGCAAGATGCTGCAGAGGAGTTGCCCATGGACCAAGGCGTCGTCGCCTGGCTCCAGGTCCTCGGAAGCTGGATCCTCTTCGCCAACACCTGGTAAGTCGCCCACCGAGATAGAACAGGCTTGCGTCAAACCCATGAGCAGTCGCGCTGACTTCCCCCTCAAGGGGTCTCTCCAACTCTTTTGGCGTCTTCCAGGCGTACTACTCCAACGAGCTCCTGCCGGACACGAATCCCTCGACCATTTCCTGGATCGGCTCCATCCAGATCTTCCTGATGATGCTCATCGGCGTGTGCGCCGGTTGGCTTCTCGACGCGGGCTACCTCCGCTTCATCCTCATCTGCGGCACCACCATGACATCCCTGGGTCTCTTTATGCTTAGCCTGTGCACGCAGTATTGGCAAATCCTTCTTGCGCAGGCGTTTTGCGTCGGCACGGGCAGCGGCTTGCTGGGGTTGACGAGCGTTGCCGTGATTCCGCTGTATTTCCGGCGGAGGAGGATGGTTGCGACAGGCATTGCCGCCACGGGGAGCAGTTTGGGTGAGTCCTCATGGCTTTGTGATGTTGGTGAAGCAAGGACGGTTGCTGACGCGTGTTCCCAGCGGGTATCGTGTACCCTATCATGGAGAGGCGCCTCATCGCCTCTATCGGCTTCCCTTGGGCCGTTAGGGTGTTTGCATTCATCGTGACTGGAAGTCTACTGGTTTGCATCGCCATTATGCGCCTTCGGCCGAACCTCAAGCGCCGCGGCGCCCTCTTCCGCCTGAAGCACTTCCAGGACATCCCCTACATTACCTTTTGCATCGGTAAGTCTGAAAACCCACTTCTGATCTCCCATACGTCACCCCTGCTTACAGCTGCCCAGCCTTCGCGTTGATGATCGGTTCCGTCTACGTCCCTTTCTTCTACGTAGATGCGTACGCCATCCGCCTAGGTGTCGATTCAGACACCTCCTTCTACCTCCTGAGCGCCATGAACGCGGCAAGCCTCTTTGGTCGCCTAGCCCCGAACTGGCTCGCCGACAAGTATGGCGGCATGACCATCATGCTGCCCTGCTGCATCGGCTCCGCTGTGGTGCTCTTCCTCTTCCGTTTCGTGCACGACCTGCCGGGGCTCATCGCGATCTCCATCGTCTACGGGTTCATCTCGGGCGGCATGGTCTCGCTGCCGCCGGCCACGATTGCGAACCTGACGGACGACCTATCCGAGTACGGGACGCGGATGGGCATGGGGTACACTATTGCAAGCTTGGGAGCGTTGATCGGGAACCCGATCGGAGGCGCGGCGCAGAGGCCGCAGGGAGACAGGGCAGCGGATGTGCAAAGGGAGTTTCAGGGGACGTGGATCTTTGCTGGGGGGTTCATGCTCGCGGCGGTTATTTCGATGGTGATCTCGAAGTATTTGAGAACTGGGTCGGTCCTGAGAGGGAAGTGCTGATGCGCAATGAGGAGAAATGTGACCTGTCAGCGTCACGATTTGCCTAGCTCATAATCCAAATTTGAAGTTTATATCGTATGAAAGCAAACTGTGATCCTTGCTCGGAATATCTGAGGACAAAACATTACGACAGCAGCGTGAACCTGGCTCTGTTGCGAAGAGGAAGACATCTCGTTTGCAAAAGCATCCAGATGACTTTTTTGGGAGCCTCTGCTGGGAAATAAAAGTTGACTACAAAGACCCAAGTACCGAGAGACCGTTGTCTGCACCCACTGCCGCTTAGCACCGCATCCAAGAGTGCACCGCCTCAATAAGCAAGCGTTTAAAGCACACTCTGCTGACGATCTGAACCACAACTATATAAGTCGGTCGCCCCCCACAACTGAAACTCGACGCAGCTTGTAGAAGACAGGCCCACTGCATATCGCTATGTAAAATGGAGTTGCCAACAATAGTAATTGACAATGGGTCAGTACACAAACTCAATCCGAACCACAGTCGTCTACTGAACGCACCATGATCCAGATCTGGGTTCATGAAAGCTGGTTACGGGGGTGATCGAACACCCTCGACGGTATTCCGTAATTACGAGCCCAAAGACTTTTTTGCACCTTTCTTATCCTAACCCATTTCCCTAGCTACACTCATTCAATATCCTACCAGGACGCCACTGAACGAGGAAACAGATGAGTGGAAGGTAAGAGGGGCTCACGTATCCAAACACACCAATGTTTGAGAAGTTTACAGATAGTTGGTCGGCCGTCAGTCCATATACAACGTTGGCCATACAGTCGACCTCAACGACTCACACATATCCCTCCGCGGCGCCCGTCAGCCAATCGAGGCGGGGGGTTATGTGACCAGCTGGGAAGACATGGAGAAACTCTGGAAACATGTCTTTTTCGAGCTGGGAACCTCGGTCCCGCTATCTCACTCAATACTCATGACGGAACCCTTATACGCCTCCAACGGCCAGCGGTACCAGAACTCCAAGCGGTCCCCGTTGATAACCTCGTCCTGACGAACAATCCCCAGCCAGCGTCAACTATCCCACGTATTCGAATCCCTCTCGGCGCCGGCGTACTACACGACCCTCCCTGCGCTCCTCTCAACCTACGCCGCCAACCTTCCCACCGCGCTCGTCATCGACTCGGGCTTCGCCGGCACCGCCACCGTGCCGATCTACGAACACACCCCGATCCGCTGCCGTGCCCGCCGCAACGAAATCAGCGGCCAGGCGATTGACGACTGGCTCCAGCTGGCTCTGGTCAGAGAAGCCGGGCTCGAACAGCAGTCTACCAACGTGTGGGAGGACGTCATTCGGCTATTTAAGTTTGAGCGGTGCCTCGTCGCGGGCGATTTCGAGAAGGAGTTGAAAGAATGGACGAGGCGTGAGGAAGCTGGGGAGGGCGAAACGTGGGAGTTGCCCGATGGAAGGAGAGTGCGGCTCGACCGCCCGCTGGGTCTATGGGCAGGGGAAGTATTGCTTAATCCCGGGATCCTGGGGCTCGACACCGGCGGTTTGCAACACGATGCTTTCAACGTCGTAAGGAGATGCGACAAGGCTCTACGGGAGGGGTTGTATGCTAACATTTTGCTCGTGAGTCTCTTGAGGCCAGCTTCTGCTCGGGCGTGTTGGATGCTAACGACGTCGCAGGCTGGAGGGAATTCCATGTTTGCTGGTTTCGGCGACAGACTGAGAAGCTGCCTCGAAGACACGGAAGCAAAAGGAACCAGGGTAAACGTCATCGCCCCGCGAAACAGGGCGTTTTCGGCGTGGGCCGGGGGCTCGATGCTGAGTGAGCTATCCACGTTTGGGAACATGTGTATTTTGAGAGCGGAGTATGAAGAGGTTGGCCCCTGGATAGTTGACAGAAAATGCCTATAATCTTACCCACCTCCTTCACAAGTCGTAGGAAGCAGGAGTACTCATCGCTGCTTATCATGGGTCATCACCAGCGCCAGTGTCGTGCTGTAGGACCAACAGGCTGCTGGGCAGGATATCATCACCTGCAATCATGCATACGGTCCTTCCGTCTTCTTTGCGCCGTGGTACGCCATGACAACCTGCTGCCTCAGGGGAAAAAAAAAGAAATCCCCCGCGAGAAGCGTCCCTGAATTTGAACAAAACCGCATATCCGTTGCGCTTCTCATGTTGAATTCGACGCTCCCCATATTACCATTCATTATCTTCAGCCACATTACCCCCCTACTTAAGATCGGATATTCGTTTTCAGTACATCATGGTCATTATTTGCTGTTGCTCCCGTAGCCGCTGCGCGTTTCTTTCGGCAAGGATTCTCTTTACTCGTCGTCGGCCGGTGTTGATGAAGTGGTATTGTGGCGGATACTCCTGCTCGACGGCCTGCGGGTAGGTCCAGTAAACGAGGAAGGCCAGGACCATGTTGCCGAACCGGCCGGCCGGCGTCAGCCTGGGCTTCTTCCGCGCAAAGTGTCGCCATTCGAGGGTGAGGATGATGTTGCCGAGGAAGTTCAAGAGACGAAAGGCCCTATTTCTGTGAGTGGTAGTCGACACTGGGTAGGAATGAGACGCAACGTACATGTTCAACACGATGAAGATCATGGTCACCAAGACCCTCCGATCCCAGGCTCCGACGACGCCGCCTTCCACGTCGTTAACTAGAATATAAAGAGGCAAACACCAGAGGGCGAGTATCGCGGCTTCGAGTATGCCAGTAAAGTGATACGTGCGCTTGTGCTCGCCTCTAACGACAAGGAAAGCCAAGCACCACCACAGCAAAACGAAGTTGACCTGCTCGAGTCAGAAAAGCATCTCATGTGAGACTTGCAAGACTTACGATGGCTGGCACCAAGACCAAGATCTCGTCCCTGAAAAACCTCCAGCATAGCCCGGAGGCGACGATACCGAGACTCAACTGGATCCAACCCAAGACGAAATACACGAGGAGAACGTTGTTGTAATGACTATAGCAGTCCTTATGAAACTCGGGCTGATTGGGCGACGGGGTGCTCGCGACGGGATACCCGCACCACCGACAGATCCACACGCTGGCGTAGTTCCCCAGAGCGACCTTCTTGCCCACAGCCAGCTCGTCCTCCTGGTACGCACAGTCGACGCACTTGCTGGCGAGCGGGTAGCGCGGGTGGTTATAGTCTGCCCAGAGCAGGCTTCCGCGGGTGGGGTCGTACTTCAAGCAAATATAGCAGTGCGCCAGCAGGGCGAGGCGGAACTGTTCGCCAAAGAGGTCGCGGATCGTCTGCTTTGTGAGGAAGTTGCGGTAGAAGCGGCACGTGCGGCGCAGGTTCTCAAGCTCGCCGAACTCGAGGTAGTCGATGATCATAAGGTGCAGCTCGGGTGGAAGGTCCATCAGGCTGTTGCCGGTCCTGGGGCCAAGGCTGCGGGAGCGGCGGCGGGGGTCCAAGGAGGCGACTTTTTCGATGACCGAGTCACGCCGGGAGCGGGACGTCCGGGGTCGGCCACTCCGGCCACTCTGGGGTCGGATCGAGCCGCCATCTTTGCCAGAGATTTGCTGCTCGAGGTCGAGGGGGAGGGGCGACTCGAGAGGCGAGGGTAAGTACTGAGCCGGCGAGGCGGCGGCCGAGAGGTTGAGCGGCTGAGGGGACGGAGAATTAGGGTGAACCTGAGGTGCGAAGGATATGGCAGATGGAGTGAATGAGGGAGAGAGCTGAGCCGTGTTGGGTGAGTGAAGTACAGCCGATGGGGGTGACAACGGCGACACGGACTGAGACTGGGTGCCTGGGACGGTGAGAGTCTGGGTAGTGATGTTGTTGGTTAAGGTCTGAGCATCGGAGGCGGATGAGGTGCCGGTTGAGTGAGGGGAGAGAGCTTGAGGCGATGCATCATCGGGAGTGGGGTGCTGGGCCGACGGGCCGAGCGTCAGCGTAGGGAGGACATGGTTATTAGGCGCAGTGTGAGCAGGCGATGATGAGGCCGGCTCCGGTGCAGTCGGGGTGAAGGGCGGCGGCGACGCAAGCGGCACGGCCGTGTACTGTGAATGAGCAGCCGGGTGAACCGGAAGCTGGGCTTCGAGATCGGGCTGGGCGTTCGGAGCGGGCGCGGGTGGTGGTGCATGTGCGGTGGCCTCGGCGGTGCCAGACGAAGTGGTCAAGGATGGGGCGGACGACGAAGCAGCTGAAGAAGTATCAGACGAATGCTGACCTCGCTGAACCTTCCTGCGGACGCCGCGCGCAGCACGGGAGATTCCCCTGCCGAACGAGCGGACGACCTCATCCATAGTAAGCCCGGCACGGGGAGAGGTTGGACGAGGGTTCAAGGGCGATGCACCGCCAGCGGGATATGTGCCGTCGCACACAGGATATGTGGTGTTGCGGGTCGGATGGCGACCGGGGATCCCCTCGTCACAGAGGGTTGAAACTGGTTGGAACCCGGCGTGCTACAGAGAGGGCCGATGTGAAACGGGCCTATAAGCCGCGCCGGGAATCCCAGGCCGAAAGATGGGGCGATGCCGAGGGATGGAGGTAACAAGAGTGCGGTGAGAGTGAAGAGTGTGAGTTCGATGGGCGAACAAGTAGGTTGATCAGCGGGTAAAGGGTCGGCCGGTCTTAGCCAACCTCTGCAATCGTAGCCTCGGTGGCCGTAAATCGATAGGACATTGTTCTGGTTCGGAAGAGAAGATGGAAGGTAAAGGAAGGGAAAGGGGGGGAGAAGACAGAAAGCAGAAGAAGAAGAAGAGGGAAAGAAGATGGGGGCGGCGGCGGTGGTGGAGGATGGTCGAGTATTGATCGGTCTGTGATGTGGTAGCCCGCCTTGGGCTCTTTTTTCTCGTTTCTTCTTCGTTTCCCTCTTATGACCAGCGGGCTTGATTCGACCTGGTCTGATGCAGGGTTGCTTTCTCGCTCCTGGATTTTGGGGTTCCGTTCGGTTGGATGCAGCAAGCGCAAAGTTTCCCAGGACCAGAATGCGGTAGAGAAGCACTAAAGAAAAGACAGGAGAGTCAGTCAACTCTTGTCCTGCGCAAGACACCGCAAGTGGTCTCACCTTTTTAGAGCCACATGTAACGAACGGGCTGGAACGGGCGACCGCCACGCAGCGATCATAGGGAGGCTGGTTGGTTGCTAAGGGTCCGCTGAGAGGAGAGGCCGAGACTTGGTACGGCGCGCGTGTTCCGGCGCAAACGCGGTGGAAATGGTGCGCCCTGGGGATTGGATCTGAAGAGGGGAAGAGGGAGGCAAGAGGGCCAATAGTGACCTGGGGGGTACGCAATCCACGTATTGGCGGTGGGCAACGAGCCAAGTACCTCGGCAGTCCAAGATACCCCGGGAGTTGGAGGTGGGGTTCCGGTCCGTGGGCTGCCGTCTAGCGTTCGGGCGTCAACAGTAGGGTCGGTCGAACGAGAGTGGTATGGACATTTGCTGATCTAGCCAGCCGAACGACGGCTTGTCTTTTTGAAATGCGGTGGAGAAATTTTCGATCGAGGAGGAAAGACGAGAGAAGTTGGTCGAGTATTCTCAGAGTGCAGTGCAGAACAAGGAGACAAGAGGAAACCCCCAAACCTTGTCTTTAATCCTGCTGTTTGTCCGCAAACCTGTAGAGAGAGGACCCCTCCTTGTATTAAAAAAGACCTCTCTCTCCGAACAGGAGGTGATGCCAAGCCAGGAGGCCTTCCAGCATGGTACATCGCCTTGGACCGCTCAGATCAGCGACAGGCTTCGTCAAAACGTGGCCAAGCATCTCCATGTCCATCTTTAGCAACGTAGGGTCGATGGTGTTGGGCTTTGGGTGTGTCGCATGTTTCGAATACTAGGGGTTCCGCGGCCCCCTAGCTTACTTGCTTCCCTTCCCTTCCTTCCCTTACTACCCACATGCTTTACGCGGCCAGGACGGATCCCGGGACCTCCATGTGGTCTCGCGCAGAGCTCCGAGAGAAAAGCTCTGGACCACGCCGGTAGCCAGGGCCTACGCTGGAGCCATGGCCGGACAAGAATGGCTAGAATAAACCAAGCCATCCCGGCCTTCGTCAGGGAACGTTTCAAATGAGGCGAGCTTGTCAACGTCAACCATTGAGCGGCCAAAGCCATCCCCCGCATTCCGCCCATTTTAACGTTTTGTCATTTGGAAAGCTGTTGGCAATCTGGAAGGAACGCTTAGTGGCGGGAAGCGACGCCCAGTGACGGACCACGGGGTCGTGATGCCTGGTTGGAGTGTAGTGCAGTTGTTTTGCCGTCACATTTGGTGGCCGGTGGGATTGTCGTTATGCGGCAGTTCTGGCGACACGATCCACGTCTCCGATGCCCGATGAGAGATCAAGCTTTTACGAGCCGACGCGGCGAACGCGCATCATACGGAGCCAGCTGGGCAAAGACGGAACCTCACTCAAAGAGCCAAGACTATGACCAAGCAACGGCACAAAGTCGACGTAGAGAGGCGCGATGTAACCGAAGACGAGAAGGGTGAGGGGGCAAGAGGACGTTTCGGGTCCCCCGACTTGCAGGCCGGGCTTCAGGTGACATGGAAGATCAACGAACACAGAAAGATTGAGAGCTGTGTCGACCGGCCAACCAGCCAAGCATCCGGGCATTTGTGAGAGAGAATCTCCGCCATACCTACTGTGCCATCAGGTGACTCGAATTAGGTTGCACATAGTTTCGGACTTTGACAGAAATGCATGTGTACCCTGTATGCGACCTCTTACTGGTGCTGATGAGGGGACGAGGGAGCGTTGCAGATGGGGGAGAAGAGATGGAAGGGGAGGGGAAGGCACCTGGCACCGACTGATTTGCGCTCGGCCACCCCGCTCATCACTAGGGAATCGCCGGACATTTATGGGGCCGGCCATCCGAAGGGCAGCAGCAGCAGGGTGGATGAGACGGGACGGGACGGATGAGGTGACCAGGTGCTAGCCACATCACGTGATTTGACGCCACACTTTGCTCACCAGCCTCGTGCGGGACGCTTTCTCGGTCTGCGTTTTGCCTCGACATCAAGGTCAACATCAGCAACGATCCTGTCAAGATGACAGCACATCCCCTCCATGGCCCAAGGCAGGCTGCGGTATGATCCAGCCTGACAAGTAGGTCATTTCTCATTGCCTCCTGAGTTTCATTCGACCATCTCGCCGCAGTGCAGCGGGCTTGGCCAAGGCCTTCTGCTGGCATCCGCCGCAGAGCCTCACTTCAAGGTAAGGCCAAGGTATGTGCTTCTCTGCCACCACGGTATCTCCTGGCTTCCGGGCAGCTTGTTCAAGCTGAACAAGCGTTACTCTCTGCCGTTACCTCTCTTCTCCTATCAGAGCGACTCTGTTCTGGCCATTGCCATGTGCTACACATTCATCGGCGGCCTTTCCTGCCTCGCTCATCTCACTCATCCAGCCCGCCCGCCCCAAGGTTCCTGGCTCCTGCGGTTGCGGGCCGGGTTTACTTCGGCTAGCGCGACATTCCGGCAATAACATTCTGTCCATGAAATCTGGGCACCTGTCGCTAGCGTCATAACACAGCCCTCCACAGCAGAGCTCCATCCGACGAATAGGAGCGCCGAACAGCTCATCAGCAAACTCTGAGGGAGGCAGAAGCACCAGCATTCGCAGAAACAGCAGCAGCAACAGACTCTGGCCGTGCCGCGGACCGTGGACCGTGGACTGTGGACCGTGGACCTTCTCAGAAACGGGACGCAACAGACACAGCAGACACAGCAACAGCAGCAGCAGCAGCAGCACCCAGCACCTGTCGACTCCCCCCCCCCCCCCCCCCCCCCCCCCCCCCCAATCTCACCTCACCTACCACACCACACCGACCCGCGATTTTCTTGCTCGCACCGAAAGCTCCCTCGCTCCCATTCGCCCCCCTGTCCTCGACTCCTGCCGTCACCGACGAACAACAACAATCACCGTCAGCCTTCGAGCTAAATTTCTGCCATCTCCATCCACCTCCACCAAAGCTTCCCTCGACAACCCCTCCAACCCAAACCCGCAACAGCCATCTTCGAGTAGAGAAGCTCTTTTTTATAGATTTTTGCATTCGACAACGCGCATCCCCACTTCGACCGAATCATCGAATTTTATCCCCCTCTGGATTTATCGAGTCTCTTCGCGCTTCCGCATCAACATCAACAATGGCTGGCGGCAAGGGAAAGTCTGGCGGAAAGACGTCCGGAGGCAAGGCTGCGGCCGAGGTCCCCAAGAAGCAGCAGAGCCACTCTGCTCGTGCTGGTCTCCAGGTAAGTTGCGCTCTACTGATGATGCGCCGGTTTTGCACGTCGATTTTGGGGCCCCGATATCGAGCATCGACCGACACATGACACCCTTTTCGACGCGTCCAACTGCAAAACTCGACGAACCCAGCCTTTATCTATCGATTTTCGCCGCGCAGCGCCAGATGTCATCGACAACCATGTTGCGCGACCATTTTTTGCGTCGTCTACGTGGCATACGACGATGGACTGGATACTGTCGCGTGCACGATGCAGTCGGACTCGAAATCGATGGCGCAAAGACCGGATCGCGCGTAGCGATGAAAATTTCTCAAGCTAGCCGTCGCAGCTTGCTAACCACGGACTCTCCAGTTCCCCTGCGGTCGTGTCAAGCGTTTCCTCAAGGCCAACACCCAGAACAAGATGCGCGTCGGCGCCAAGGCTGCCGTCTATGTCACCGCTGTCCTCGAGTACCTGACTGCCGAAGTCCTCGAGCTTGCAGGCGTACGTTTCCTCTTCCCCGCGCATCCCGTTGACTCATCGCGGTTTCTGCCTGGACTCGTCACTAACACGCGTCCCTTAGAACGCCGCCAAGGATCTCAAGGTCAAGCGTATCACTCCCCGCCACCTCCAGCTCGCCATCCGTGGTGACGAGGAGCTCGACACCCTGATCCGTGCTACCATCGCCTTTGGTGGTGTTCTGCCACACATCAACCGCGCTCTTCTCCTCAAGGTCGAGCAAAAGAAGAAGGCCAAGGCGCTCGAGGCATAAATTCCCCGACAAGTCTCGCAACACAATCTACGTTGATATTCCCGGTTGGCTTTTTTTCAGGACGGTAGTTTGGGGTGCGGTTCGGTCTGAAGGGATGCTCTTTTTCCGCTTTCCTTAACACTAGTCAGAAACGATGACGATGCAGGTGTGTCCGGGGTTGATTAATCTGCCTCACAACGTCTGGAAACAAAAACAACAAAGAAGAGCATGCAGCGACTCAAGCGTTGTGCATGCTGGGTTTTCGGTCTTGGACGTTAACGGGGTACGGTGCTAAAAGAGGCCGCAGAGGACCCAAGGGAGCCTTGTTCATGAGGGGTGTGCAGAGCAGCCTGCGCACTCCAGGGCCTGCGCAGATTCGCCCCGAGTCTGGCACTCAACTCAACAGTGTATAACATTTCGAGGTTCCTGTTTCGGTTCCCAGCGAGGCACACGCGGATATGGCACTGGCTGATGGGCTTAGGTAGACGAATAAAACTGTAATGGGGGTGCAACATGTTGGTCTTTTTACTACGCGTGCTTTCTGATGTACATACTACACTTCTTTTATGGAGCACCATATCACCAGCCCACAGACTCTCATCTTGACGTCGTCAACCTTGTCGCGACCAGGATCCTAGGGTTATCATCGCCTCTCCACCCATCATCAGCCTTCCGGTTAGCACGCTCATCAGCGAGCCCGTACGTATCACGGGATTGGTGGTCTGACACTGCTCCAACCCCGGCTGCCCCTCCATCATCCTGATGAAGCTGTCATCCTCCTCTAGGGATCCACCTGCGACGGAGACGGGCCTGCCCTGATTCACTTCCACACCGGGACCAGGCACGGCCCGCCCGAGACATGGCGAGAGAGCCGGCGAACTAATCGGCGAAAGCCGCGCCTCCTCGTCGACGGTGGCAACGGACCTCCGCCCGACGTCCACCTTGCCGCGGCGCATCGTGCGCGAGTGGTGGCACTCGGAAGGGTACTCGCACTCTCGCCAGCAGTCCCGCCGCCGCGGCCGCCCGCACCGACCCTCGATGATCGGCGGTGATGAGCCCCTCGCGCTCTCGCGCCAGGTGGTCCACGCCCGCCAGCGTTGGTAGTCAAACTCCATCCGGCATGTCTTGCCCTTCCGCCGCCTTGGCCGGGTACACAGGCGGTGGCCGCAGTAGAGGCAGCGGCGTGCGCAGGCGAGGCGGTAGAGGGCGTTACAGTTGTGGCAGCGCCAGACCCAGGGGCGAGGGGACGGCGGCGGGCGGAAGAAGGTTGGGGGGAGCAGCGGATGGGACGTGGGATCTGAAGAGCCTGGAGGGCTCGAAGGCTCTGAGAGAGGGGTTCGGCGATTGTGGCCGGGAGGGGGTTGAGAGGTGGTGGTGGGTGGTGGTGGAGAGTTGGATGGCGATGCCTCGTGTGGGCTGCGACGTGGTTCGTCCGGGCGTAGAAACTCTTTGAATCGAAGCGGATCGGCCATTCTTGCTCTGGCGTTCAAGATTCTGTGTCTGGCTTGGCTCACGTCTCTGTTGTTGTTTGGTATAAAAAGGTATGTATAACTGATATCTGTCTGTCTGTTGCCTCTGCTCTGGAGAGTAAATTGATCAGAAATATCTTTAGCTAGGAGACTGACTGATGCTGAGCTGGGTAAGTGTGAACAGCCACCAGATACAAATCGAAAACGCAAGGGATCCGTATCTAGGTATATGGAGGAAAGCGGCAATCCGTCAAAGACATGCAAACATCACGCTGAATCACTTGAGAAGCGGTGGACGGTGCTGGGCAACACAGTGACCAATGAACAACAAACCCATACTAAACCTCAGCAAACGGGCTCGGGACTCAAGCACCGGCTCACAGTAGAATCATAACGTCCCATCCCCAGAATGACGGGTCGTTCAGCCGGCCGGCGGACCATAGTATGTATGACCCGGCCGCTGAGAAACAGGGCCATTTAAATCCCCTCACCTAGCAACACTACAAAGGCCGCGCGGCCTTTCACCGTCTCTGCGCTCAAAGCGTCTCGAGACGTTCGGATCGGGACGAGGTTCGGATCAAAGACGACGCAAGATCCCCTCTGACGGCTTCTTGGGAGACAAAAAGGCAACAAGGGACTCCGCTCTTACAGTCTCGACATGGAGGAGACCGACGCAGAAGAACACTGGTCCAACGCCCAGACTTCCATTCTTGCAAAGGTCCCCAGAGGCTGTCAGACAAAGAAGAATTTCGACGGACAGGTCCAGAACAGCGTATCGCAGAATCGACATGTGTCACGGACGAACCAATCCTAGTAATTCGGCGCTCAACCATCTCTCTACTCAATTAGTCAAGAAAACCTCATGGAAAACGTCATCATGGAAATTCATCATCGTGAGAACTCGAGCCTGAAACCAAACGCAGTATATTTGACAAGGCGCAAAACGGCACAGGGGCCCAATGTGTGCGGTTCTCCTCCTCTCCTCACATCGTTGTCCTCTTTCTTTCTCGTCGAATTATTCATGTGCCTGATGCACAGTACCACGCGCAGATAAAACGTCTGGCAGTCCGCTCACTCTGCCATCTCCCCCGCCCTTCTCTCATTTATCTCCTCAAACGTGAGATCATCCACTGATTCCGTTCCTTCATCTTCCCTCAAGATGCTCGCAAATGCATGGTGAAAATCAACAAAAAATAGCAAACTCTAACAATCAGGTCGTGAAAGACCGAACAAAACAGAAACAAGCAGCCCCAATGCAGCCTCAACGCCTACAATCCCACCGAGTGTCCCCAAAGACCATCCAAAGAGTGAACAGAGCTCGAGGGGACGACACCCTCATTATGGAACTGAGGGCGTGGTTAAAAGGACCCAGGGAAGGAAGGGGTTGGGACCCAAAACAAAACGACCAAAAAACGGGAAATGCCAGTGCGGAACAACGCCCCAAATCAGTTTCAACTTTTTTTTTTCTCGGTGAGCCGCTCATGGGCTGGTGTTGTTTCCAACTCGACACTCCAACCGGTTTTGGTCATGAGACCAAAAAGACTACATCCGTCTTGGGTGGCCTTGTTCAGGTGATGCCGGACCGTGATAATTAGGTGGGTATAGTCATGGTCGCCGAAGCATGTTCTCGTCATCCAAAAAAGAATCGGTTTTGTCGAGCATGCTGGTACAGCTATCTAGACATAAAATGGTCGTAACAGCGTATTCATCGTCAAGGGTGGTTCATATGCTTCCGCGCGCCATGAAAGGAGATATGGCGGGGAAACAGGAGGGTATAGGGGGACCGCCCATGGGCCTTTTAGCCATGTCGAAATGGTTGCCCATATCAAGTTATTTTTTCTTGTATCCAAGTTTCTTTTCCGTTCATCCTTCTCTGGTCGTGAAACAGCGATGAGCCGAGGGTTCCTTGCCGGGCGGGTGCCGTGAATCCAAAATTGGATGCCGCCACGGCGTTGGATTCTTCTATCCACCAAGTCCGAGACGGCCGAGCGAAACGTCATGACGCTGCCAAAGGCTCGTGTCCAACAAAATCATCATTATAAGCAATATGGGTGGTGTGGGGGGGAGAGTGTCCATCATGAAAATCAATGGCAGGTATAACACAGGGGGTTTTTCGATTACCGAGCCGGGGGAGGGGGCTTGGTGAACTCGTCGAATGTCGTTTGTAGTCTCTATGCGTCGCGAGTCATGAATCGTGTCCTCATTGTAACGGTTGTCGTGGCAGTCTCGGCGAGGTATTATGGATCTTGTCTAGTGGAATCGAGATGCGCCGGCGCTTCCAGCACGAGGTGCGTTGTCGGAAGAGTCTAGTGCTAATCAGCCTTGGGGTTCGATCAGGAGGTGAGGGAGGCATCGTGTAAACTAACCGCTTCCGCGCTGCATATGGCCGTTGGACCGGTTGCGGCCGCTGAAGCCGGCGGAGGTCTCCCACTCGGGGCCTCGGGGCTGCCTCTCGGGGGCGTTGCGGTTGCCGCTGTTGGCACCGGGGCGCTGGCTTCCAATGGCACCTGGGGTGCTGCGTGCCTGCGAGTGCGCGGCAGACTCGTAGGACCCAAGGTTGAGCCCGCCGAGCGAGCTGAGCAGGCTGCTGTCGGTCCCGGGAGTGCCAACCGTACCAGAAGTGGGCGTCAGGTTGGGCGTAGCAAGCTGACCCGACTGGTTTACGCCTCCGTTGTAGTCGCCGAAGCGGGCGTTCGAGTTGCTGGACTGCGGGATGTTGCCGATGCCGTTCATCGCCGTAAGGTAGCTCGAAGAGGACGCAGACGGGCTAGGGCTAAAAGAGCGCAGGTCCGCAAAGCTCTTGGCGGCACGAAGGTTAGCAAGGCCGTTTCCATCGGGGCTTCCGGGAAGCTCCAGAGTCGGGCCCTGGCGACCAATGGCGTGAGAGTAGTTGGTGCTGGCGCTGCGAGCCTCCCTGTCCGCGGCGAAGTCGAACGTCGCTGCCCTGCTAAGACCCTTCTTGTGGTAATCCAACCCGACAGCGGGTGAGTGGATCTGAGCCGTGGGCGACGGGAGCTGGCGCTTGACCACGTGGATCTGGCGCGACTCAGCCTCCCCAACCGAGTTGTGCTCGAGACCCATGTGGTGGGCCAGGATATGAATACGACGACGCTGCTCGGGTGCAACAGTGGAGGGGAAGATGAGAATCTCGCGGGAGGTGTCACGCTTGAAAAGGGTGAGCTCCGTGTAGAACTCCAGAGTCTCCGGGTCATTCAGGTCAATATCTCCTTCTGTTTCGTCAGTATACACGTATGGTACAGCCTGGAGGTATCAACTTACCCAGTGGACCACGGGGCGGGTTGCTGGACACGCTGTTGAGAGTCTGCAAAGAAGGCTGCTGGTGCAGCATCGGGGCACGGTGCTGCTCCTCCAGTTGGCCGCGTCTCTCCCTCTTCTCGCGCTCGATACGCTCTCGCTCGGCTTCCGGAAGCATCTTCTTGTATTCGACCCTCAACTTGCGGCCGTGAACTTCCATACCGTTCATGGCATCAATGACAATCTTGGTGTCTTCAGGAGACTGAAAATTGGCAAAGGCCAAACCGCGAAAGACGCCATTGTCAAAGTGGTAGTTGAAAGCGTAAGGCTGAGGAAGGTGCATCTCCAACATGACGGCAGCGAGTGTCTCCTTGCGCACGGCGAATGGAATGTTCTTGATGACAATCGCGGTGGGAATCAGCTGCTCCTCAGTTTGTGAGCTGGGTCGCATGTCGCCTTGTCCATCGTAGCGAAGGCCGTTCGACATTCCGTTGTTGAGGCCAGATCCATATGAGTTGTGCATACCAAGGCCTTGGTCGGTCCAGTTCTTCAAGTGTAGAGGTCAGAATACAGGTGCGATGCATTTTGCGGATTGATTAAAATAGGGGGAAAGGACTTACCGTGGGCAGGGCAGCCCGGCGATTGACGCTCCTCTGTCTGTTCGCGCCATTCATGGCGCCGTTGACGGTCGCAACACCGCCGGCATTGTAGTTCCAAGCCTGGCTGTTGTCCAGCATGTATCCCCCGGGCATTCCATTGGCCGACATTTGATCCATCGCTCTGGGGTTGTAACCGAGACGGTCGGAGGGGAACAGGGCAGAAGAGCCCAAACCGTTGTCGTAAGGACGCTGGGCCTGACGGGGTAGGGAGAGGCCAGATTGGAAGCCGCCCGCATACGCCCTCGAGGAGCTCGGTGAGCGATTGGCGGGGGCTGAGTAGTCGAGATACATGTCGTGTTGTTGCTGGCTCATTGTTTTCTTCGAGATCTAGTCCCGGTGACTGGCAGCTACTGGGTCGGGATCCAGCAACTGTGCAATGTGCCGACTAGAGTGATGGGGATTTGGTTGAGGAGGGAGTTGTTGGTATGCGGATGTGGTAGGGAGATGCAGGTTGGCAAGGGGCAGTTGGCGGATGCAGCAAAAAAAGCCCTCGACCAAAAAAAAAACCTGACGTGCTGTGGACGTGTGAACGGGGGGAAACAACGTCCTGAGGCCTGGTGGGCGATGCAGATGCAGTATGCGGAGCAGGAACAGAATGCAGTTTGCCAGACACGCAACGCAGCATGCAACAAAAAGTCGCAGGAATTATTCTTTTTTCGTCGTCGTTGTCGTCGTAGTCTTCTTCTTCTTCCGATAGACGGCCGTTCGCTCGTTGGAATCGCTCGTCGTTAGAGTCGTGCAAGACCCCCCGAGATGGGAAAGGAAACCGGGATGGGAGTATGCGAGCAGCAAAGGAGTCGCACACTGTGGCCAGGACGGAGAAGAGAAAAAAAATAGTATGTCGTGGCGGATGTTGTGTAGGGGCGTGGGAGAGTGAGATAAAAAAGTACGGTAAGGTAACCCCCGGGAAGACGTGGATGCGGGATTGGTATGTATTGAATTTGGATTGGATGCGGCGGGCTTTGCGGGATGGGCGCAGGTGGGTTGGTGCTTGCTTTTCGCTCGCTCGCTCGTTTCTCCGCCGAAGACGCAGCAGCAGAGACAGACGCCGTCGCAGACACGCGATCGCTTGGGTGTGCACCTTTAGGAGGTAAGGGCAGGTGCGTGCAAAGGCTGTGGCGGCGGTAGTGGTGGTGGTGGTGGTGGTAGGAGGCAAAATTGGAGATGTAGAGGATAGAGACGGAGAGAGAGAAGGGGGAGGTGGAGGAATTACGACAGGCGCTGCTTCTCGTTGCCTGGTGTTGAGGCTCAATGAAATCCAAGGGGCGAGGGAGAGGGAAAAGAGAGGGAAGAGGAGAGGGTTAAGGGGATTGTTAAGAGGATGGATGGGAAGATCGAGCGACGAGGGGAAAGAAAATGTTGCAGCAAAAAAAGAAGCTGAAGTGAGGAGGCTAAAAAGGGGAGCTTTCTCTTCTCTTTTTTTTTTTTCTCTTCCCCTTCCAGTATTTCTTTCCCCCTCGTCGTCGACGATGGATAGTGGACGCAGCTGATGAAGAGGCCCACTGTCAGGACGGGTACCAGCCAACGGGGGAGTGGGAGAAAATGGGTGTGGCAACGGCAGAAGGCGAAAAGAAGGCCAGGGCCCGGGGGGAGGGATCAGGGACGGTAAGGAGCGATGGGCGACAAGGGCAGCGAGAGACAGTGGGCTTCTCTCACTCTTCTGGGCTTTCCCGCCCAGAGGATAGAGAGTTCGGGGGGGGTAAGAGAGAGAGGAGGAGCAGGGCCGGAGACGACAGGACAGGGCCAGGGCCCATACGATGGGGTAGATTGACAGTGGCACCCTGCCTGCAGACTGTAGGGGGCGACCGACACTTTGCTCATTGACGAGAGAAATCCGACTGTCCAGAGTAGGTCGTAGTAGGTACTGAACATATCTCGCTGAGGGAATGAGTGACGGACAATGAAAATGGACACAAAACACACAAAACAAAACACGGGCCAGAAACGAATGGGCGGGCCAGAACCTGACACTGACAGGGCCACTAATGGCCCGTTCAACGCGACTGGCGGCGGGACTGTCACTCACGCCAGAAGGAAGTCGCCCCTGATGCAAAGGTACCGAGCTCAATGTACCTTTTCTCAACCCCCCTCCCATCTTTGGCGTTCTTAACAAATGGGGGGTTTTTATTTTATTTTTTATTCTTATTTCCCAACTCTTCTTGTCTCCGTCTTTGAGGGACGACTGAGTTGCGAGCTAGTCAGCGGTCGCCAGGCCAAACACAACAACGTACTGACCGTCTTATCTGGCCTGGATGTCCTGGCTTCCTTTGACTCGGCAAGGCCTCTCTCATCAAGCGAGTGCCATACACCACCACAAGGGACTTTCTTAACCGTTGTGCTAAGAAGCTAAGGCAAAGAGTCACCTCACCACCTGGCCTGTGCCTACCCAAGAAAATGGGGGTCCCACAGCTTCTAGGGCCAGTCGGCTCGCTGAAAGCAACGTGCGGAAACACAGCCAGCCAGCAGTCGGTCAAGGTCTGTTCTGTTATTGTGGTGGGCTCAGACAGTTGACCGGGTTGGCTTTGGCGCTGGCGGTGTCCCTTTTTGTGTCTGTCCCGTCCCTATACCACCCGTATCCGTCACGGCTAGGTTCTTTGGGTAGCGGGGGGCCGTTGACCGATGATTTGATGGCCGGAAAGTCAGGGCCCTGGGCTAAAATTGACTTGCAATATCATGGATGGGGCTATGGTCATGGCCATTACAGTCCGTCCCAGGCAGGCTGGGTACTGGGCGAAGACATGTCCCAAGGTCGGCAAACTTTGGCGAGCTTGCAAACAACCGAGTGCTCGAGAGGTCTTTCTGCTGATGTATCTCTCGGCTTTGTGTCGAGAGAGTGTTGTCAATGCGAGAAGGAGCTGCGTGTTGACGCCGGCACTGACTCTCTGACCCTCCAACTCCCCGGCTATGACAATGTCTGGCTCCAAGAGGGTCACCCGCCCGCCCGCCTATGGAGATGGAGCCCTGCCGTTATACCTAACTACCCGTCGTTGCCCTGTGCAAGCAAGCGGGAGGGCGAAAAAAGACGAGACCAGATCCCGCAAAGCCAGGTACCCCCGGCGAACTGTGTGCGGTGCGGTGTGCGTGGTAAGTGGATAGGGCGCTGCTAGCGGGCATGGGAGAGAGGGCTCGTCTCGTCTCGTCTCGTCTCGTGTTGTGCCGGTTTGTCGCGTGCAAGTTTTGTCACGTAGCCGTAGTCAAGTGAGAGGAGGAGGGACAAGGGGAAAACAAGTCAAAGCCTATGGATGGATCGTCTGGTACGTGACACCTCCGCGACTGTGAGGCACTTCGTGCCAAAAGCCGATGGGAAATGGAAGCTAAATGCCATGCCATGCTATGCTGTGCCCATGCTCGCTCGTGCCCATACCCTGGGTCTTGGATGCCAAATGGGCAAGGAGCCCGCCAGGTACCCCTTCGGAAGACAATCCATGGCGTAGGTGAAAATCGGGCCCGTCTCTCCAGACTTTTCACCTTCCATTTCTTCTTCCACCCTTGGCTCACTATCACCGACGGGGTTGGAGCATGGCCGTGGATATCAGTCGGCTCCGACGACCAGCTCACGATGGAACCGGAACAATTCCACAGCGGGGAGGGGGTCCTCGACGGATATTGGAGCTTCGCCTTCGCAGGGGCAGTTTGGAGTGGAGGAGTAGCAAAGTGAAGCGACAATGAGGCTCGGGGAGAAAAGGGGGAAGACGCGAAAGTGTCGCTGTTGATGAAGCCGAAACCCAAGCCCGAGTACATCAGTGGTCAGTGGTCGGTAGCCCGCCCCACGGAGTATCTGCACCGGGCGGCGGGAAAGGTCGTAGTTCGACAAGAGGGGCGTCACAAAATCTCTGTCCCGTCCATGTCTGTTTCTGTCCGGTGCTGCAAGAAACAGAGGCAGATAAGGTGGATGATATCGCAGGTACCATGTACCGGCGCAAGGGCGACGGGATGGATGCCGGGCTGCCATGAGCAGGAAGAGGGGCCAACGGCGGCCGTCATTACCTCATATCCCTCGAGAACCTTAGCTGCATTTCATCGTGGGGGGCGCGGTGCAATCCAGGACGCAAGGACTGGAAGGCACGGATGCGCGTGGAGTTCGTACTCGTAAGTGTAAAACGTGTCTGACTTCCTTCCGTGCAGATATTTTATATTCTATTTTATTTTAATTTCTCGCTACCTCCGTCCCCTCTTTCTGGAATTGGAGTGGTGCCTTCCCTGGAGGGAGGCAGGAAGGAAGGAAGAAAGAACGAAAGAAAAGGAAGCTGCCCTTGCCTTGGACGTAGGTACAGTCGCGGTCGCGGTCGCAGCCGCAGTCGCACCTTCTCACGATGCCATGGATGTTTCTGGTCGCATTCTGGGAAGGAGGGACGGGAAGGTGGCACGGGGACCACGGACGGCTACTATAGTAAGGTGTGGTACTGCCATGCCAGGACGAGGAAAGGTAGGGCCCAGAGCCCAGACTGTGGGCAGCGGCCAGCCAGCCAGCTAGACGCAGACAGACAAACAGGCACGGCAGGCACGCCGGGCAGGAAGACGCGGCGCTAACACAGTGTCAGCTGTGGACGGCGGCGGTTGTCACTGGTCGTTTGCTGCCGCACTGGCAGTCTGGCACCGGGCTAAAAAGAACGCCAACTCCGCAGTAGGGCCAGATGGGAAGAGGGAAGCAGCCTGTCTGGCCGTGCCCACCGGCTGCCATGGCCATCTGGCACCCTTCTTTCACCGATCGTGGAAGGCGATGGATCATGGAACCATCCGCCGTCGCCGTCCCGTGCGTTGCTAGGAAACACGCACAAAATCCACAAAATATCCCTCGACATCTGCACCCAAGCTGGTGCAGCCATGACTAGCCTGCCCAGCCAGACTGGCCAGAGACTGTGCGATCGCATCACAACGGACATGTCTGCACTGTCCAGCCTAACCGCAACGCACCCACGACCATCCAATGGGCGGAGAGGGTTCCCCAAGTAACAGGGGCGGGAGAATACTCACGATGGGCTATGATTCCAGGAAAAAGCGATGGCACCTCGACAGTGTGATACCTGGGCCCATCAGACGAACTCACGGCAGAGCAGGATGGTTCGTATTGTCCTTAGTTTGGGTGTCATCGGGTAGGTTTGTATGCGTTGCTGATTCTCTTGCCGGAAACATTGAGAGAGGGTTAGAGGGAACACCGTATCAGAATCAACCTTTCGGTGCCATCTTGCGAGTGTTTCCAACCAACATCGGAGTCAGCGGGCTGAATCGATTCGCAAGCAGTGAGGGGGTTTTGCAGTTTGACTTGCAGCAAACTGGAACCAAACTTTGATGCCCTGTCTGTTGCACAGTTGTCTTCACACTGTGCATTTCGGCCAATCAGATGCCGCCCAATAGGAGCAACAAGAAAGTCCTAACTATGTGTGTGCGCGTGCCTGCAGCAGCACCTGAGTTGTGTTGTGCAGAAAGTGGGAGAGGAAGGTGCACGACACTCCCCAGATGCAGGAGCTGCAGCCAATAAGAGTGGCCAAAATGCCGAACTTCTCCACGTTGGCTTCGGTACTCTCGCGCGCACCAATCCCAATGCATTCGAACCGGCAGGAGCGAGACAGCATTTGGGTCGGGCCTTGGCATTGGCCATGAACCTCGATATGTCCATTCGGCCTTCCATTGGGAGGAGTCTCGACACATCTTGCCGACTGCGCGCCATCTTTGTCCGTCTGTCGGCCTATCTGTTTCTCTGTCCGCACTCGACTCAGTCAACATCGTCACCCAGCTGCCCTTGGATTGCGTTGCCCGTCTCCAACCAGTTAAGCTCCCAACGACAATCGGCCTGCTTTCGCACGTGGCATTGCATGTTCCAACGTCATGGTGGAGTCTGCTTCTCCATCGTCTTCTCTACCTGTGCGTACAGGTACCTACGTCGCTACCCTCACAACAGCACGGCGGGACAGGTCAAACTGCGCCGTATCCGATATTGGAGACCTCGCCTAACTACATCGAATCACATTATGGCGCACCAACTGCCCTGGTTGGCCTCTCCTGCTTATGGAGACACCCAGCGCAATCGCAATCGCAATCGTAGCTCCTGCAGCAGGAAGAGGCGTGCGCACCCAAACCCAAGGCATTCGTTGCCCTGTGTCGAGATACGAAAGCGCCACATACAGGCGACATGAGGCTGCCGCTGAGACAGGCCAGACATGGACAAGCCTTGCGAGAAGCAGTTTGAAGCAGTCAACATGCCTTGAAATGTCACCTTCTCGAGCCCTTCACAGATGTCCGCCAAACGCCGCTCTCTTCTCTCGCCGCATTGCCCCTGCATTGTGCATAACCCCTTCTTAGAGGAGGGGCCTGGCCTTGCCATCTATGTCGCGATAAAGGCGCCCAAGATTCAAGGACGCTTGCTGCACAAATACTCCGCATCTCTCGCGTCGTTCCGTTTCACCAAAAGTGAGAGCACCATCGGCACGACCGCTTTGACGGGTCGATTTCCTGCTTGTTGCATCCATCCATTTGGCGATCCAGCACCTCGGACGTGGGATCCAATTCGCGTGGCACATTGCCCGGGGTCTTTGTCCCCCGTCACCATCATCGTCCACCATCAACTATCTCCCATCATTTCCCATCCCTCGATATGCTAGTACAGGTTACCAATAGGCCGTTTTGTTTGTTCGAGGCGCATCTATTCCATACACCAGGAACTTGAGTGGGAACATTTGTATCAATGCCTTTTAGCCAGGCCGTTTCGGTACATATTTCGACTCACAAAACTTGTCGAGTCGGCGGCCTCGACGTAACGCAAACATGCGCGTTCGTCCGCACCATCTGCAGCTGCAAATGCATCTCCTTGTAAGCTGCAGATCCAGCTCTGAGTGCACTACAATATTGAATGGCACACAGGCAGGGCACCAACAAGCAGCTGGCTGCTGCCATGCCGCCTTCAAAAGCAATTCCAGACACCCAAAGGAAACCGCAATACGAGTTGCTCATAGGTGCTGCCGCCACTCGAGTCTTCATCGACAGCAACCAGGTGCCTCCTCGCAAAGGAACCTCGCACGCCTGCCCTTGACGTCTTCGGGCCGTTACGCTGGACCCAGATCTACACGCCTAGTCCTCGCCGTTCCCCAACATGCCCCTAGCGGCCGTCAACGTCAAGGCAGCGAAGAGCCCGGCTGACGTCTCATTCGTGTCAGTCGTCGAGGAACACCTCAAGCCGGAGCGAGATCGACAAAAGGACACAAGCCCGGCGATGCTTCCACTGCTCCACTGCTTCGAAAGTTCCATGACACGGCTGCCGTCGCCTTGGTAATGTTCTAGGGTTCGCGAACCCCTATTTTCCCCCCTGGGCGCCGCCACGATGCTTGCAAAGCGCAAACAATGGTGGTGCTAGTAGTGCCCGCTACTTTTGATCATCACCTGCCCCCTTTTCGACGCTGGCAACTGGGGCTGTCGTGAAGGCCCAGCGACGCAATTTCCATCTCCCCGCTTGAGTCCAGTGGTTCCAACTTCCGGGTCTGCCGCAATCTTCCGTTGATTCTAGAAGGTCTTCACTCCGATACCTGTGCAATCGCCTGGAGAGTCCAAGATATTCACCCTGGCAACATTCACGATCGAGCCATGATCGAGTCTGGCCTGAGCTTCGGTCGACTTGAACTGTGTGCCACATGGAGTGATGGAACTCTGGGATGCACCGTCGCACAAAACCGCACACGCGCCATCGCGCGGCACTCGTCTTTCACAGAATGTGCCGGACCCTTGCGTCCCATGCTCCGCATCCCCGTCCGACACCCCTGCCGTTCATGAGATGCGAGATGGAGATGGAGCTTAATCTTACCCACCGACCGGTGCGCCGTCGCAGCCAATGTCTCCGGAGCCACCCCGACTCGCCAGTCTACCTTGCGATCTTCCAGGCTCACTAGGTTCGCTCTGCCTCCTTCGATCCTCACATAGAACCACGCGAGAACCCCGGGAACGAGATTCTCAACCCATTCACTGGCTTCCCAATTCAGGTATCCCGGGTCGGCCTCCAAAGTGTTGTGGGCAAACGCACCCCTCAAAATGGCCGGGGCGCACCCAAGGACGTTGCATCGAAGCAACAGTTCACTGCTTCATCATATGGGTGTTCAGGGTCACCAGTTCGTTCAACACCGACATTGAAGTTCATCCGGTACCATCTATTGGCCAACCCGGCAGCAAAAAGTACACAAGCCTACCACAACAACCCCCTTGGCTCTGCCCAATGGCGGTTAGGGGCTAATAGATTGTGGCTTTGCCGCCCATGAACCGGATTGTACAAAGCCATTCCCCGATGGCTGCCTTAGACCACGCCTTGTGGGCACATGGTTGCAATCATCTGCGAAATATGCGCCATCATCGCCACACAGCAATTTACAGCGACACATCCAGTGGACAGCGTCTGTACTGTACAGCAGGCATCCTCATCCCAGTTTTACACGAGACCATACAACTCAGACATGCAGGACGCGTTTTCGCCTAATTGCCCTCGGGAGCCCCCAGAAGTTTTGACAATATTAGTCCAGCGTCGTACTTCGGTACTCGCTGGCTCAGCTTGTTCAACATTCCACGAGGAATGACTTGACCGTAAACAGCAACAGCGGGCTTGTCACCCATGCACAAACATCTTGATGCCCTGTTGTTAGGCAGGTACCCCACGAGGGCGCCTCTTCAATACAGGACTTCGTGCAAGTGCCCTGTGTCTCGGCCATGGCTCCCTCACCGTCGCCAACCCCAGCCACAATTGCTGGCGCGCTCGTAATATGACCCTGGATCATCTTTTATTAGATGTTGAACTGCCGCCGAGTGATGGCCCTGGTTAACGGACGAGGTTCTCTCATGTTCCAAACGGCTTCCTCGAGCGGAGCTCCGAAGGGAAAGTGTGGCTTTCTCGATACCCATTCCACAAAATCCCATGGCCATCGCGAAATCATGTCAAACTAATGCGGCGCGCGAAGGGGCGTCTTTACACGGGATGTGCAAAGACGCATTCAATTCGCAGATGTGCTTTGCAGTGTATTGCATCGCAACAATATCGCACCATGCTTTCCGGCTACACGGTGTTGGCGATGCCCATGCTCGGTTCAGATCTGGCAGTCAGAGGAACCCCAGAGCGGCACTGGCTCCATCACGTTACGCCCAGACTTGACCGATCTAGAAGTCTCTGGAAGCAGGCGATGAATTTATGGTCATGTCTTCTAGGTGTTATGCAAGCAAATAAGCTTGGTTCGATGAACCGCAGATCGTCACGAACTTATGCTGACGAGACTCATCCTTATCCCACGTGATCGTTATGACACGCGGATGGGTGCTACATATTCCGCTTATGCACGGCGGGAAGCAAATATCACGCGGATGGGGCATGCCTGGGGTCCATGACCACGGTCCAGTCGAAGCTTCGTGTTCGAATTAGTATTACTTCCTAAGCGCAGTGTTACAGCCAGCACTGTATCTGGAAGCCTCCCATGAACCGAGAGTCGATAACTCTGTTGGCACACTCGCACATCGTTGCAAGCGATGAGCCTGTCAAACCTACTGTGTCGGTCTTTTGGGAAAATGAAGATGAGTCTAGAGGCTCATTACCTTGGCGGCCGATCGGTCATACGATAATCTCTGGTCTCAGCAACGTCCGCTCCTAAATGATTCTGCCTTCTCGGTGCGATGAGGGCAGTTAGCTGAGATTTCCGACAGGGACAAATCTACGGGTGGCCCATCGGCAGCCCAGTGCCGAGGAGTCGGAATCCCCTCCACCCTTGCGGGTCCCTCTGTTCTGCATTTCACGCTATGCTCGTTTGGCTGTTGGCAAGCATAACTTTGACTTGTGCCAGTCGACTGAACCTATGGTCGAGATTTACGACAACCTCCCCACCGATATCGCGGGCCAAAAAGAGCCACCACCCAAGAATCTTACTTTAGCACGGTTCCGCAGCAGAGCTACAAACACCCACGCTACCCGGCTATGTATGGAAATACTCTCCCGATTTGTGCCGTCGAGTCACCGGTGAACCGCCGCGATGTACCCGTAGACACGATCTCCAACGTCTTACAACGCCGCCCATCCTTCGTCGTCAGGCAAGGGTCCTGCCCGGTGACATCGTTGGGTCCGATTTTGAAAAGTCGAAGGGATCCTCAGTCCACTAACAGAAAAGCGACCCGGCGAAGGAGGCGAGGGGCTAAAGATGCCCCTGAGGCCTGACGTCGCCCCGTCCGGTCCAGTCTGACGGACCCTTTAGGCTTCAAGTGGACTCTTGGTTCCTACTTCTCACTCGTCGCAACCCCACCCACTCGCATTTCGCGCTTCGAGAAGCCGGGCTCCCGCGAAATGAGATCGTTGCGGCGTATTTGTGACCGCGAGCTTGCGCGGACGCGTTGAGGGGGAGGCCAAGGGGGTGTGGGAGGGCGTGGGTGGAGAAGGGCGTAGGTTTTGAACCATGTGAGGCTTTCGGAAGAGGCTCCGCGGGGGTTGTTGGCACTATAGGCAAATTTCCAGTCACAGAACATTTGATTTTGATGAGCGTCTCCAAACGTCACGTGGATGGTTGCCTCCTAGGTCCTAGCAAGGTCTCGAAGGGCAGTTTGATCAACCTCAAGAACGAGGCCGAAGGTCCTCGTGACCTCCCGAACCGTCCTGTACGTTACATTTATGCTGCCCGAGCAGCCTCGTCCAGATTGCTCTCGAGGCACCTTGTGAGATTGGAGGCGGGCTAAGAACGAAAGACAAAGTCCCGAATAGCATCTGGCAAGTGAATTTGTTGAGGAAAGGGCGCGGCGTTCGAGTCATGGGTAAATGAGGTATTCTATGTTTGTAAACCTTGAAGCGCGCTGCGTCAGCTCGTAAGCTCGCCATTCGCTACCAAGTACTCCTAGACTCTCCCGCTGCGTTGGGTTTGCTGGGGTCGCCGTGGTAGCAAAGCTTGACGGTGCCGCCTTTTTGGGATAGAGTATGAGCCGTCACATTCGTGTTGGTGCCTTGTGCTGTTGGCGCTAGGCGATGGTCGTATGATGAGATGAAAAGGGGGGGGATGAGGCAGTGTAAATGAGGCATGCGGTTACAACCGTCTTCCGGAGACATCTAGTGGAAGGATTGGCGTTGGCGAGTCTTGAGGGCTGTCGGTTGCCCCCTTCTAAAAGGGGGTTGAAGTTGTGGCCGTGGGACACAAGACCCAGCGTTATGCCGTGGTTACGTATGTAGCCGTCGACTTTGATGAACCCCTTTTCTAGCCCGGATCTTCCGGACGGGATGTTCCTCAACTTAACGTTGTCTATAGGAACGATCCCGAGGTGGCGAATTCGCCGCACTCGCCGGCTCTCAGGGGTTCCATGGCCCCGATCTGCTCGCAGGTTCTGCACCTTGACAGCCAACCAACTCTATCTTGGGTGCCTTGGACTTGGCCATCCCTCGTCAACATGAAAACAACTGGAAAGTTCTACCCCAGCATAGCGTTCTACAGGCTGGACGCGACCGGGAGGTGGAAGAGAGCATGAGACATACCCACGTTGCGAGTGACGTGTAGTTAGAAGGTTCGGACTGTCAAAGAAAACCCTGAGTAGTAATGACAGCGCCGGTTAAAAGTGACCGATGCCGGCTTCTCTGTTCCGTCGGGCGATTATGGAGCGTTCATATAACCATACAGCAGGGTAACCCGGAGAGATGTTGGATCTCGGTTACGTACACTTACACGCCAAGCAAGGATTCCATGGACTGACTACCCATGGAACATGCCATTCACCGAAAGAGATGCGAAGTCGGAGGCTTTCAAGGACTCCAAGCGCCGCTGATAGATATATATAACTGTATTGTTGTGTAGCCGGGCGAAAAGCTTACAAAGATAGAGGGTTTCTATGACTTGGCAAGATGGATTGTAGTTCGAGCCCCATCTCCTGGTTTTGAAGCCGTGCTTGATGTAGCATTGATGACTGGCTTAGGATGGAAATGCACGCGGCCTAATGCAACTGCTAAGATGCTGCTTGTTTCAAGCAAGATATGACATGTAACGTATATGGAGGCTGGCGATTCCGGGGGCTTAAAGCTATATGAGACCAACGGAACCCGAATCCCAATGGATCTATCCTTTTGCGACGATAGAGTAGGATTATCCTTTGCCGGTATATCCTTGAAGTATGTTTCATTTCTAGGTGAGCAGTTGACGCTACCGGTGCATGCCTGGAGCTTGGTCTCGATCGTCAGATGAGAGACGTTTACCAGGTGAAGTACACAAAGAAGGAGGGAGTATGTTGAGATTTGCGTAATTTCAACTAGCGCAGATGTATATGCCATGGCGTGGCTCACAGCACTTGTATGCAAAAGTCCATCCCCCCTTCTGTGGTCGATCCACGGACGAAAAGTTCTCACAACACCTGGTATCTTGACACGCAATCCCGTATGAGAAGCTTGCAGGATGGAAGGGTGAAACAGCAACATCCTTGTATGGTTCAAGCAGGAGAGCTACTATAGCTCGGTTTGGGCGCGCGGCCTCACGAGATATAAAACTAAAATCAGGATAGTAGTTTGAATTCAACAGGGCGCCTTATGGTTTTTTATTCGTATATAACCACTCTGCAACAAGCTACAATTAGGACTGAAACCAACGGATGATATCTCCACAACAGGCATATAACGCTATGATACCAGCCAACGATATGTCTGCGGACAAAATAAGGCTGAGTGACCTGCACGGCTGACGACCATGACGAGTGGTATGACGGCTTACCAGCATTGACTTATCGCAGTCTTGGGCCGAAGGCTCAGCTAGAGGAGCCAGGCCGACCTTCAAGGAGGCCACCGGGGTGATCACTATGGCGGCCGTCAACGGTGGTGACTAAACAGACATCAAAGAACAAATTGGTAACCGTGGGATATCACATCGTCATGGTGCTGGCCGGCTGGAGGAAGGCGTTCACTTCGTGGCGCACCGCCGCTCTAGCTCGAGATGAAACTAAGGATCCCCAAGCACAACCAGCCCAAGCGCAACCAGTGAACAGGCAGTGAGACTGCCTGATGCATTTATTCAGGATTTGTGTCGATTTCTGTTTATATCTGTGCTATACTCTGATTCGCGGCGTTGAGATAGTGCTCTTCGAAGATACTCTCAGAGCAGAGGGGGCGAGCCTATATTACGCATTGGCCAGACTACTTTCGCGTGGCGGTAGTGTGATGGTCTATGTTCGTAAAACTTCTGAGTCCATATTTTCAACTCTGGTAGAGATATAAAAAAAGGTAGGACATAAGGAAGAAAAGTAGTTTGGACTTAAGAAACTTGAACATAACTGGATATATCGTAGTTGTACAGAACGCAAGAGAATGAGGGGAATATAACATAAGCCGATCCAGTATAAGATATCCCTGACTTAACCCTTTTGTGTTGTCAGCCGGGCAGAACTTATCAACATCGTAAAACACCAAGAGCAAGGGCAGAAACGTCAACTGGATGTGCGGGTAGAAGCGAAAGCCACCGCATATGCTGGTGAGGCAAGGAACAGTACATCATGCGCTGACCCGTGAAGCGTGCTTAGAGCACACAGAGGCAGGGTCAACACAGGAATCATTGGTGGGTTGTCGCAAAAATATCCATGCGGCAACTGATATAGTGTGTGATGCCTTCAGCATGAAGACGGAGTCGATCCAATGGAAGTAGTCCGACTAGCACCATGAGTTCAAGGTCGGGTACAGTATTTCAGAGGCTCAATGAGTCAACATTTGATGTTGCATCGATCCACTGCGAATATTTCCAAAAAAAATTTTGAGAGCAACGTAGATTGAAACCCGAGGATAGAGGGTAAAGAGATGTGAAGCGGCCGTGAGTACTGAACGGCTAGAGCAACGAGGTTTCGAACAATGTGGTGTCTGAAACCTTGGCCACCGTAGCTAAGAGAAGAAAGGCTTTAAAAATATAGCAGATCATATGTAATGTCACAATTAAGTCATGATGTTACGCAAGGACCGGATATTTGAGGTGCAAATCCCAACCTCGGGACAACATCTAGTCAGTACTCAAGACCGTCAAGAGCATGATACCTGGCAACACCAGCACTATTGAACCAAGAAAAGCAGCGACGAATACAAGTCACAAGTCAGGGGAAAAGAGGCAAACTTTTCATTCGCGACGTGGTATCTTAGTTCATCGATCTAAGGCAAAGCAAAATCCCGCTACCTTGACTCCAGATGGCCAAATGCAAACGAAACCTTCAAAGGTCTCGATAAAAACCTTTCATCACAATAACGATGTCCTCTACCCAGGGCCGCCCCAGAGTCATCAGCCATGGCCCTTCCTGCGACCAGCCGACTATCTCCGTCTGGAACGGGTGGTTGTCGGCGCAGGCCCGAAGGCATCATCGTCAGAAATCTCATCATCGCTAATCTCAACCGCAGCCTGCGAAGTCGTAGCCTGCGAGAAGTTGAGCTTCGTCTGACGGCCCTTTGGCGCCGCACGCGCGGGTTGAGATCTTCTAGCGCGGGTCGGCGCCGGCGGTTCCTCGAATTCATCGTCCATCACTACGTCCTCTTCCTCGGATTCTTCCTCAAACACTGGCTTCTTGCGGCCTCGAGCAGGGGCCTTCTTTGCTGGCGCCTTCTTCGCCGGTGCTTTCTTCGCCGGGGCCGGCTTTGTAGCTCGGGTGGTGGCCGTCTTCTTGGCGGGTGCTGGACGAGCGGCTGGCACATCCTCCATGTCCATTAGGTCGTCGTCATCATCCTGTGTTTGTGCCCTTCGTGACCTGGCAGGTGCTTGAGACACGGTTTCGGTCTCAACCACACCGGGTTGATCCTCCCAGTGGCCATCCAGATCCGAATCCCACTCATCCGGCTTCGGCTTGACGGTGCGCTTCGTTGTTCTCTTCAGAGCGCCCTTTGAGAATTGCTCCTCAAGCTTGGCTCGATATGCCTCCATGGCGTTGTCGAGATCTTCCTCATCCGAGTCGAGGCTGAGCATCTGCTTCACTTGCCCGGCCAGAGACTCGCTGACAAACTCCTCCATTGCGTGCTTATCGTCTTTGTTGACGAACTGGTTAACGGCATCGCCAAAAGGTGCCGTCGGCAAGATTTTGAGAGACTGGGCCATCAAGAACTCCTGCACAAGGGCCTCGACCTTGACAGTGTCGAGACCCAATGTCTCCTCCAGCATCTCGGGAACGTCAGTGCCGGCATTGCGTCTAGAGGCACCGGCCTTCTTTCGATGGAAGTAGACAACATCATTGGTGTTGGCCACTTTGCCGATGAATCTGTTTGAAAACCGCTGAGGATTCTCGCAGTCGTATTGACCACCCTCGGGAGCGGTGTACTCTACCTTGAGACGAATCAACGGCAATGGGGGCTCCTCCTCGTCGTTGTCCTGAACGGCATACCACTCCTCGTTTGCCTCCTGGATCATCTCCTCGACCACCACCATTAGTCTCTTGGTGAGCTCCTGCCGGTTGTCCTTCTTGGTATGCAAGCCCTTGAAACGCGGGTCTGTCGCCAGCTGAATTTCTCTCGTGATGAAAGGTCGGACAGTCTTCAGAGGCAGTTTCTCGACCTTAAAGTCCTTCCCAGTGACGTTCAGGATGGCAACATGTTTCGGCACCGCCTCGCCCGGCACGAGCGACGTCGCTACCGAGGAACCCGGCTGCATGACATGGAAGCCCGTCTCGGGGTTTTGCTGGGGATCGATCAAGCATTCGTGCTCATGACCCCAGACAACGAGATCCATCCAGTCGGGCAGTACGTTCTCAGGGAGATATGATGTTGCTGTATGGGCGTGGTGGTTTTGATGAACAGTGAGCAGGTTGAACCAATCCGACTGCTGGACGCCCGGCCGAAACCACTTGACCTTATGGTCTCTGAAGGTACGGAACATGCGCTCATCACGGACGTTGCTCAACCCAAACAGCGCAAGCTTTGTCTGTCCCTTTTGCAGCAGCACCGGCTTCGCCTCGATGTTGTCGGCCTCGGCAATACGGCCAAAGTAGTTGACTAAGCCAGCCACTTGGAGCAAGTCCAGAGAGCAGAAGTGGCCCTCGCCGCTGGGGTCGTCGTGGTTTCCGTGAATCGAGAAGACGGGGATGGAGATGTTGATATCAGGGTCTTCGTAATTGACGTGGGGAAACGCACCCTCAAAGACTTCGTTCGCATCGCTGAGGAACTCGAGCTCGCAGGGCTTCATGCCGAGGCAGTTCTTCCGAAGACTGCGCATGACCTGGTACATGGACTTTCGGGAGGGTTTGTTGTCGTGAAAGAGGTCGCCGCCCAACAACACCATGTCGACCTGTGCTTCATGTCAGTCGACGAAGCACTCGGGGGTGAGGACAGTTCCGTACATCTTGACTCTTTGCGAGGTTCAGAATCTCGTCAAATGTCTTCCAACTGTCATCCTTGCGGATTGGGTCTCGCTCTTCGTAGCCGACGTGGTTGTCTGTCGCAACCAGAATGCGGATGGTATCCGCCTCTACACGCACGTGAGGTTAGACGTTGGTCGGTGATGAGTGGCCGAAGGGCATACCTGTAAAGTCGGGCATGATGTCGTGCAGACCAGCAATTGGCCCAGCTTGACGGTGTGTCGAGGACCCGTGGCTTGTCTCGATCGGTAGAGGGGTTGCTGCGACGAGCTGGTTGAGCTGACGGGAGAAAGATTCCGTTGCCGGGCGTGGGGGCGGCAGCTTAAGTGGCCGTCGCGCGGCGCGCCTCTTCAACAGGCAGCGACGCGAAGTTGCGAGCTGCCGCAACTCGCAATCACGTGGTGGGGGAGAAGAAGCGGGTCCGCGTGAAGGAGTGGCTGATGCCTTGGGTTCGGGCCGTTCGTGGCTGTCTCCGGTCCGGGCTTCACCGACTCAGGAACCAGGCACCAGCCACATGCAAGGTGAGCCCGGGCCGAAAAATAAGCTTACCATTAAGGATGTGCGTGCAGCACGCAAGCTTCTTCTCGCACCCTTCACCGCCTTCAAGCCTCCGCCTTCAAGCCTCCGCCTGCTGCCTACCCATGTTTGTTTGTTGCAATTTTGTACTGTCAGTTGCCTGACTTCATACATGCTCTGAGTCCAGAAAGACTCGGTTGCTCATATCCTTCATTGTTCTTGGGACCAACCGACAGGCTTGAAGTCCCGATCATGTCTCCTCTGTCTGCCAGGAGACACGCCGTACCATATAGGCTGCATTTGCTTTCTCTTTGATCGAATATTCGATCACCGTTTGGAAAGGGCGATGCAAATGTTTTCGCATGCGTCCAAGGCAGCGTCGCACCCCTCCCCCTAGTGGGTTCCCCTCCGAAGGTAGAACACTACCCATGACATCAAGCGAACGGTCATGTTTGAGGTCCTCTGCGTTCGCTGCTGTCCTTGACCCTGGCGTCGGACTTGTCGAAGCCATTGAGTAATGGCATACTTGGCTATCATCCAGCTCTCTGCGGGCTCTTAAGTTGTCTTGTCTTGTCTCGTCATGCCATGCCTCGGCCTGATCCAATTGCCGCGTCAGGCTCCGCAACTCTCAAAAGACCCAGTTGTCAGTGCCGTCGGCTAGCAAATGCCAGGCAAAGAAGCCCTGCCGATCGGTCACTCTACTGCTGTCAGTTTCCCAACCCGGCAATGGAGCCCAATAGTCTCTGGTCTTGGCAAAGCCAAGAGCCCTCGCACAAGCCTACACCGATTGTCCCCTCAATCAAATGGCTCCGGAAACAGAAGGTTGTTTTGACCTTGGGTGCTGTCTCTCGAGCGGAGTCTTATTCCGAGATCTTCGGTGGCGGAAAATTGCGGTTTTCCCACCAAGCTGACTCGAGACATGTCCATGGCCGCCGGGCTGAGTGCTTATACCTGTCGAACAGGAGTCGCTAAAGGACCTCGTATGAATGAAAAGTCGCTCATCCCTGAAGGCGGCAATACTGCCGCTTAATCCCAATTAGGGAGGTTCGACTGTATTGCCCTGGTTGGATGATTGGCCGTCTTGGCGGGAGCTTGGCATGCAGGTAGAACGGAGCCTTGAGCATCGCGATGCAACAGCACGCCCCTTAGCGCCGGCTTCCGAAGCTTACTCGTCCTTCCGCACATCTCGTCCTTCCAGATTCATCTCCGGTCGCCGCCCGGTCTCGCTGGACCCAGACCAGCAGGTCTCTTATCGCCGTCCTTCCTCCCTCCTTCAGCTGCCAATCTCCTTCTCCTCGGATCCGTCGCCTTCGCTCTGTTCGGTTCATGCAACGCGACGCTGCCCAAATGCCCGGCGAAGCGGAGCACACCACAGGCGGCAGAAGCATCGCCTTGGATTTTTAGTCCCTACCTTAATTTGCTCTTTGGCATGCCAAGTCATGGCTGACGAATGGACTCACAGCTTCTACCCCTGGAGGCCCCTCGAAGTTGCCCACCAACTCTCAATCAAGCTCATTTGCCTAGATTCGGGTGATGGAGGTTAGCCTCAAAGAGGAAGGCATCCAAGCTTACCCCGACATCGTTGACTCCCGTGCTCCATTGTCCTCGATCTTTGAGGTTGTACCTCCTCGTAATCTCGTTGTTGCCGACAGCCCCAATATCCGCCTTGAACTGATCCGGAAGGTCGCCACTCTCCACCTCTTGGCTCCAGAGTCATGTAGTCAGTCTACAGAAGGAAACTAGAGAGAGAGAGTGAGAGAGACTCAACAGGATGTCCTCGAGTATATATAATTCAGTTGTCTACCATCAAGGTTCTCTCTTCCTTTGCTCGCCATCCCTCTCAGCTCTCAAGCCCCCAGTCTCCCTCGTTCGACTTCGATCCAATCGGTTAGCTCTCCATCATGCAGGCCAAGTTCACTCTCGTTGCGGCCCTTGCCGCCATGGCCTCCGCCGCCGTTACTGGCGAGAGGGGCCGCTTCGGCTGTGGCACTCACGATCCCACCCCTGAGCACATTGCGATCTCCCAGAAGCTCGCCGAGGAGGAGGCTGCCAACGCCACCAGCGGCAACTTCAGACTGGCTGCTGCGGCTACCATCAATGTCCCCACCTACTTCCACGTTGTTGCCTCCTCCCAGACCGTGGCTAACGGCTACATCACCGTGAGCAGACTTGCACCTATCTATGAGTACAAGCCATGCTGACAATCTTAACAGGACAAGATGCTGTCTGACCAGCTGGCAGTCATGAACAAGGACTACGCCCCTCACGGCATCTCCTTCACCCTGGTCCAGACCACCCGCACTATCAACCCCACCTGGGCCCAGGATGGCAATGAGATGGCCATGAAGACTGCCCTCCGCAAGGGCAACTACGGCGCCCTCAACCTGTACTTCCTGCGGGAGGTCGGCGGTGACTTTGGCTACTGCTACTTCCCCACCACCGCTGCCGCCGGTTCCACCGCCTACATCCGCGATGGTTGCACCATCCTCTCCTCCACCGTTCCCGGTGGCAGTGAGACCAACTACAACCTTGGCAAGACCGTCACCCACGAGGTCGGCCACTGGTTCGGTCTCTACCACACCTTCCAGGGTGGTTGCACCGGCAGCGGTGACTCCATCGCCGACACCCCTGCTCAGGCCAGCTTCTCTACCGGATGCCCTACCGGCCGTGACTCTTGCCCCAGCCAGGCCGGCCTTGATCCCATCCACAACTACATGGACTACTCTTATGAGTGAGTAACCCCTGATTTTATCTGAGTTGACGATGGTTACTAACAAGATGGCAGCTCTTGCTACGAGGAGTTCACTCCCAACCAGCAGACTCGCATGTACAGCTTCTGGAACCAGTACCGTGCGCGTGGTTAAGCATTCACGCTCTCACGAGCAGATAGGTTGCATATGCTGATGCCTTGAGTGAGGAGTTGTGGAGCCTGGAGGAAGGTGGATGAATATTTATGACGTCTATGTCTATGACGAGGAGTGACTGGGAGCATGTCTATGAGAGCTGACGAGGACTTCTTGCATATACCTTAACCATTTTGAATACTATGGTAATAGTATTAATCAAATTAAAGCTCTTGGGAAGCAGTTCGACTGTCACCACCGCCATTTGCTTCCTCCTTTGATGTCTTGACGAGTTTCAAGCGTAATGCCGGGAAGCTGACCGCCGCCGCCTTCCCATCTGCGTCCAAGGTATAGACAACCTCGTCGAGGGCAGCGTTGCCATAAGTGAACCAACCTGCGCTTCCCCACGTCCACCCACACTTCTTCCCAACAACTGATGCTCGGCCCGAACTCTCACTCTCGATGTTTGAGAACACTGCGCGGAAGGAGGCCTCACCCTGGTCCTTGAGCCCCATAAACTGCAGATCCGCCCCCTGAAAGCCCAGGTTCTCACCCACGGTCGCGAAGAAGTCGGTACCGTTGTACACAAACTTCATCACCGTCAGACCGAGCCTGCCGGGGACCAGCGCCAACTCGACCGTCGAGTCTGATCCGTCCTCTGCCACGTAGGTGCCAGCCAGATCATCTCCAGCCGCTTCTCGAGCTGCCGCCTCTGCCGCCGGAACCCATTTCTCCAAGAGCAGCTCGCTGAGTATGTTGAAAGTCGAGTCCAGATCCCCATCTCCGCTAAATGAAGTTTTGGACGCCACCATCAGCGTGAAACCGATGTCGTGATCGGGGGAGAGGATGAGATAGGTAAGGTACGCAGCGACGCCGCCGTTCTTGGCGTAGATGTCCACGAGGCGTGTTTGTTCGGAGCCGGGAGTGAAGGGCAGGTCCATACGGAAAATTTCCCAGGGTCTTCCGATGGCGGTGTGGGTGTGTTGGCTGTGGGTTATCGGCCGGAGCCACTCTCGAGTTGTAGACGGCGGGAGAAGGGATGAGGAGAGGATGGAGCGGCCTATGGCGGAGAGGTCGCCTAGGGATGAGTAGATGCCGCCAGTTCTGAGATGGATCAGCATGGATGCCCAAGGCGGGGGTGCGATGTCCTACGGCGTGTAAGTGGCCAGACCCTCTTCAAAGTCATATCCTACGAGGTCCTTCATAGTTGAGGGATCGAGTTCAACGACGTTGGCGTTCGGGTCATCCTTGGGCGGAGACCAAAAAGACCGCGAGAGACCCAAGGGCTCCAGGATGCTAGTTTTAAACCCGTCTTCCATAGACTCCCCTGTGATGTTTTCGTACGCCCAGCCCAGGAGCTGCAAGGCTTCGTTGCTGTACACAGGCGTATGCCAAGTTGCTGTCGCAGGGTCCTGGCTCAGCATCAGACGGATAGCCTCTGCATTCAACCTATTAGACAAATCTCTTTCCTGAACATGACAGCGGGTTCTGAATACCTTCTCTCGTGCAAGCAGGCATGCCGGGTAGACCGCACTTGGCGACATCGGAATCGTTGAGACGAGGCAGGCCGATGCCTTCAACTCCAGGTACGCCGGATAGGTCGACGAATCCATCTAACCAGAATTAGCTGCCGGCTCAGAATTTTCTGAGGATGAGCGAAGCCCAAACTGTTTCGCTGAAGCCCGGCCATATGCCCCGCCAAAGCCCCGAGTGTCACTTCCGACCACTGCACCCGGTGCACCCTGTCTCCCGCCGAAAACTCCGCCAGCTCTGGAACGAACTTGGTGATCGGCTCATGCCAGTATGCAGGACCTAGTTTGACGAGGTAGGTGTACACGGTCAGTAGCTTCGACACGCTGCCAATGCGGTACAGCGTGTCTGCATTCAACACATCGCCGGCGAGAGTGCCATTGAGCTTAGTGCCGCGATGGTGGTGCTCGTAGAGGAACTCGTCCGAGTGCGCCGAGAAAACACCGACTGAGAATGAGGTGGTGGCGGTGTTCAGCTTGCCCAAATCTGTTTCGCCGGTCGCGATGGCATCATCGATAAGCTTCGCAAATGACTTTTTAGCGTCCTTGATCGCGCGGGACCTTTGAAGATCCGCAGGGGGGTAAGCCGGTCCCAGGAGAGGGCAGTTATTGAGTTTTCCTAGCTGGGCACTTGCCAGAGTCGCCAAAGCGATGGATACCGTCAAGAATGTAAACCGCATGACGTCCAAACCGGACTTCATGCAAATAAGGGTCGTGGAGATATGATTGAACGAAGAAACCGAAGGCTGGGCGAACCAAATCTTCAAATGTGATGGGAATTTAAATGCATGGGTGCTGCACAAATTGCTAGTGGCTATGCAGACACGCCGATACCTGCGTCCAAAAGTCCCATTCGGGAGTCCAACGGCTTTGAATCCTTGTGGTTTCGCTATCTTTTTGCACCCAAAGAAGAAGGTCATCTAGAAAGGCCTCCCCAAAATGCGCGATGTAAGATTTTAGAGCATTTAAAGTGGCCATTAAAAACATCAAAGCGCTCACTCCCATTTCATTGTCGCCGTCTATGCAACGTGAAGCCCTCAAAAATGGAATATGATTTCCCTTCACGAAACTTTTCTTTTCTTTTCTTTCACAACCAAACAACGCTATTCTAGGTCAATGTGTGCTTGTATCGTTGTTCTGTTGGCTAAACCCTCCAGTTCAGCAGCGTTACAATAAAGGTATTGCGACACGGTCAACGTCATACTATGTATCCAGTGGTTGGACTTTAACTTGACGTCGTAAATCATGAGAGATAGGATGGCAAAGTCTCACACTGGTTGCTTGCCCCCCAGGCAGCTCTGGATGGTAGTTATGTAAGCTGTGGACCAGGCGACATCTTCATTCCAATATAATGTTGCTCGGATCTAAGCCCGCTCTCTGTGGCAAGACGCCGTTAGGGACCTTTGCGTTGCAATCACAACTGAGCCATAACGTGGGCCAGACTCATATGAGCGTGGAGAGTGTGCTTTTGAATCTATATTTTGAGAAAACCTAAAGGGTTTCACCTCGTGAATTCCTCAGGATCTATGCTTCACCCAGTCACCAGAGTGCAATGCTAGTAAGCCATCATGAAATTAGCACTGCGATCGCTATGAGTGAATGTACTTTCACCCGTAAAGGAGAGAAGAAGAAAAAAACATATCACGTGTTTAGAACGACAGCTACTGTTTCACAGATATTCATGCTATGCTACGCTATGTCTACTGATAGGATTGTCTCCCATAAAAAGTAGGACGCGGATGTAGAATGTTAGTTCGTATGGACTTCATCATCTGACTCAGCAGGGCTGACGACGGTCATGAATGGGGCACCTGACAGGCTCCTTGGGCTTCTCGGGCTCCTCGGCATTCTAACCCAAGTAAGAGGCCTCGACAAGGAAGCCAACGGTAAGCTTCGAGTGACGGAGAACAGCGTTCCACTGAATGCTCTCGTAGGTCTGTATCATAGTTAGCTCTGTACCGCCTTCTCGACATATGGCTTCACGTACGTCTCTGGAGCTGTGAATATTGGGGTTGGATGTGCTGAAAGGCTCCTCGTTGACAAAGGCGGCAGCTATTTCCCATGTCAGCAAAGTGCTTATTATAAACCCAACACTGCTACTTACGGAAACCGTTGGAGCGGGCGCTTGCATGGTCGGAGCAACCGTAACCGCAAGGCGAGCTAGCAGGGGTGGCACCAGTGAATTGAGTGGTGACGAGACGAACGTAGGCAGTGAAGGCGCTGTCGACGTAGTCGGTGTAGACGGTAGCACGGCCGCCGGGGGAGTAGCCAGTCATGTCCTGGTTCAGCATACCCAGGACGCGCTTGCCAGCGGATCGGTAGTTGGAGAATATGGCCTGGGAGCCGAGGAGACCACCCTCCTCACCTGCGTAGAAGTGGAACTCGATCGTGTTCTTAGGTCGAAATCCGGCAGCCACAAGTACGCGAAGAGCCTCAAGAAGGTTAACGGTGCCAGTGGCGTTGTCATCGGCGCCAGGGGCACGGGCAGTGGTGGCGCCAGCGGTGGAATCGAAGTGGGCACCAACGATGACTGAAGAGCATGTTAGGCGCAACCGAACCATGATACGGGCAAGTGGAACGCTTATGCAACTTACTGAGGTTGGAGCTGGTACCGGGGTACTTGACGATGATGGAGGGCTGGTTGAAGGAGTGGGTGAAGCGCGACACCGTGATGGCCGAGTAGCCAGAGGCGATACTAACGGCCTGGTTGTAGAGCCAGGTTGAGGCTTGAGTGCCGGTGGTAGAGCGGTAGTGACGGTTGTTGAAGCTAATTTGTTTGTTAGTGACATGTTTTGACGAGTTCGGTTCCGAAGTGGGACGACTTACTCGGTCAAGGTCTTGAGCCAAGACTGGGGATTCGTGTTGCTGACACGGCTGATGAGGGAGTTGGCTTCGGTGACGTGGGTGAGGGTCGTCGGGTAGGTGATGGTTTGGCGAGAAATGAGCGAAGTGACGTTTTCGGGAGCGGTTGACAAAACGTTAAGGACCTCCTCATCCTGGGAAATTGGTTAGCATTTCCCCCTTCTCGCCAAGAACGATGTTGGGGGTAGTGCCAAGCAAACTTACAGAAATGTCGGTGATGTCAATGAAACCGATGCCCTTGGAAGTGTACTTCTCGAATTTCTCATCCTCGGTGACCCAGGCGCCGGCATCATCTTCGGAGGTCTTGACGAGCCGCAGGCCGGGGTTGAGGTGCACATCGCCAGTAGCGGGCGCGGCAGCAGCGAGGCCGCAGGAAGCCGCGACGACAGCGAGGGTGGTGCTGAAGCGCATGATGTCTGTTGGGTACCTTGGTAGTATTGAATGAAGGTGGCGTTGACAGACGGCTTGAGAGAAAAGCTCGCGAGTGAGGAGGAAGGAAGGAAGAAAGAAAGAAAGAAAGAAAGAAAGAAAGAAGCTGTAAACAAGGTGGAGCGGAGGGTTGGTTTTTATAAACCGACGTCTTGTTACCGCTCCGCTCTTTCCCTTCCAAGGATTCAGTGAATGTGGCAAAGGCGAGTAAACAATACGAACAGACACCAGACGGAAGGAAAGAAGAATCTGACTTGTCAGGTGTGAGCCTCACTTGCGGGGGATCATCTGCAAGTCCGGGCTGGGCCGCAAGTTCTGCAAGAGCTTCCACTGCGCCCGGCTGCCGAAAAAGGCATCTTGATCGACCCCCAGGTTGCAATGATCAGGGAAGCGAAACATAATAGTTAGATTGGCTTATATGAATGGTGGCATTTCATCGGAGCGAAGGGAAGCATGGGGCAGGAGGATCATTGACTTTAAGCTTATCTGGGCCCGCCAAGCCAGCACCTTGATATCAGCTGCCATATCCAGTCTAGACTCGGTTGTTGAGCATTCAGCCGTCAAACGGCAATGCGAGGGGTTGTACTTGATGTGGCTTCGTTTACTTATGCTCGCCATGGAAAACAGTAGTCACGCCATTAAGATATAAGTAAGCATAACCCACCGCCATACCAAAGACCCCGTTTCTATTTAGGAAGCTCCGTGCCCTCTGCTGGACTATGTTGCTTGGCGAAGCGCCCAATCCAGCAGGCCAACTTTGACTTGGCATTGCAACTCGCTTAACCAGTGCATGATTCTCACAACTTCCTAATCAGCTTACATTTGAGTTCTCAAGTATCGTCTAGCACACTCCCATAGATTTAGAGAAAAAAGCAACTGGTGCCAAGCCGTCTTCCGTGTGCGCAGTTGGCCTTCATTACATTTGACAGCAGCACGATTACTTCGAGACAGAATGCATTGCACAATAAATAGCAATTTTAATGGTGCCACCTAGATGTTCATAAACCCATCTTGATTACGATCGGTATGGTAACCACGTCAATGTTGGTGACTAGGGAGCATCATTGGTTCCTTTGTGAGCGCAGTAATGGGGGCAAAAAAACAACCGATATCCAACGTCACAGCGCCAAGACTAGGTAGGAACATTTTTGCCAGGTTTAAGATATAATTGACGGCATATGGGCTTTGAAGTTTCGAGTTCAGTTTATCTAGACCGCGGCCTAGCCATTGGCTGGGATACTACTTCTTTCCAGATGTATTAACCCGTAGTCCAACTACTTTTCTGCAAATCCAGCCCTCGTCCTATCAAGGTTCCTGCATTTCAGCCTAGAAACCCTGCTTCTTGACCTGAGCCGCTGCCGCAGCGATGGTTGCCGCCTTGTTAGGGTCGACAAAGTTGCAGCCGTTCTTTCCGTTCTGGAACTGGGCCGCCTCGGCCGAGCACACACCAACGCCACTCGCATCCGCGCAGCAAGCAGACGAGCAGTCAGCGTTGTCAACGCAGCCTCCAGTGATGAACTGAGAGCCGTCGCCCTTACCGACGTTTCTGGCGCCGGCGTTGTTGGGCGTGATTGCGAAAGCGGTGGCCGCAACTACGGGTTGGAGTCAGATCGTATTACGGACGGGTCAAGATTTAAGAGGTATAAACTTACAAGCGACAGTGGCGAGAAGAGAGATGCGGACCATTTTTGCGAGTGTAAAAGTGAGTATAATTATAGATGGTTGTATAAACTGAGTTGCGACGCCAGGTCGTTGAAGCGAATGTAATTGCACTGAAAATTGGTTGATGGTTGTGTAGGTTGAGAGACTGGAGGATAGGAGAATCTTGAGATGATAACGTCTTGGATACATATACATTTCGACAGAGCGCGCATGTCTGTCACAGTTTCGCAGTTGTGGATAGTCATACCCTGTTCCCCGGTTTGGTTTTCAGCTTCGGCGCCGTGACACTGAACCGCGACATGTGCGCCGAAGAACCTGAAGTCGCTTGAAGGACTGAAACTCGCCTGTCAAAACCCTCGTGACTACCGTCGAATCATTGTGGGAGTCAATCCGCATAGTCTCCGGGACCCATCGGGTTCGCATCATGGCGTGTGTCATCCGAACGGCTAGATCGGTAGGCGTTCAGTTTGATCGTCGTCTGAACCATGTTTGGCATATCACCTAGTAATGCGCACAGGGCCGCTACAGCTCGACTTTGATACAAAATTGACGATCTACCCTCCGAGATCTAAATGGGTTCAAGTTCTGAATGATTTGACTCCTGAACAACAACATTATGTTGCAGTTTCCTGTGTGGATGAGGGAGTTTGTTCAAGTTGAATAGACGACTTTTAGCTCGGCTCATAATGCGATGTGGACTGTTTGAGGTCCGGTTTCATTGTCCTGTAGAATTGGAGCCGAACCCGTCGCACTGCCTTTGCCTTTGCTGACACTCGCCAGCCCGCCGTGTTCATCCAACATCGTCGAGTACTCATGCAGGCTTCTGCCGATTTTCCTCATTATTGGCCAACCACCGCTGCAATGTTCAAATGTTTTGGTGAACAACCTGATGATCAGGTTCCCAAGAGTTTCCAAAGGATGCGAAGTGTCAAGTCGTGAACCTCGATCTCATCCCGTGAAACCAGCTTCTCGTCGACCATGCATTCTATCCACCGTGCAATTTACGCTCATTTGCTGAGAAATACGGTTAGTCATAATCTTGTCTGAGTCTCGTGGTACGGTGCGACCTACTGTCTGGCTCCACCGACCCCTGGTCTGCGACGAGCAAAAAAAGCCATTTACTGAAGAAAATAGCTGCGTCAAATGAACAAAAATTGTATTGCAAACTCCAGAAGAAGGCCTGACAGCTCGCAAGTAGTCAATGCCGAGTTGCACGGGGATATTCAGCGCATGAACTGAATGTAACAAGGCGTAGGCAAGCCGAGGCCCGCGCTTTGGTGGCTTCGCATCCCAGGCTTCACCTCCCGGGCTGCCGAAGCAGATCTGCTGCTGCGCCCTACGGGCAAAGTATAAGCGAACATGAGCCAGCCAAATAAGAGATGTGGCTGTCCAGGAGAGGGATTCTTTCGTGTTTCTAACGAGTGGTGTGTGTTTTACAAGACGGTAACGTACAAGACGGACTCTGGGGCATTGCACTATTGTTTGCGCCATCGATGCAGCGACAGTTCGAATTTGCACTTTCTTCACCTAAAAACTTTGAGTCTGAGGGTCGAGGCAAAGTTGCTTCATAGCCATGAGACGTTGCAGAAGTGCGTGTAGAAGGACAAAATTCCCGAACGGCGAAATGATGGGACCGTCTTCTGAGTGCGGTCGAAACAGAGCAACAATAGCCTCTTAGAAGCGAACCGGCGCTGAACCCTTCGCTCGAACCTGTATCCATATTGACGAGTCGTCGACTTGCCACTCGTCACATCTTACTGGTAGACGTAGATCAAGCTCGTTTCCAAACCAGACTGGTGGTACGTTGAATACCAGACTCTGAAGGCTCAAGAAGCAAAACGCGGAGAGTTTTGGCCGGCGATCTGACTCTTCCCTTTTCCAGACGTGCCAGTCGTTGCCGCAATTGGAGCTCCGTCTATTCTCTTTCATGTACCAGGCGAGCATGCCTTCATATCCGAGTGACTGCCGCACGAGATTCTGGTCTCTTGCCAGCTTATCTTTCGCTATGAATTGTCCCGATATCGTCATTACCTTTGGGAAATGCCTATTTTAGACCGTTATTATAGGTTCATCACCAACGTTCCATCCTACCCTTCGAGGAACGTTGTTCTCATCGTGCCCGAACGTCGGCAGCTGATCGGAAATAAGGAAGGTTTATTAGTGCAGTCCTTAACATAGACAAAAACTCTCTAAGTGATGGCCCTGTTGATGGTCTATGATCACTACAGCCGACTGGATCTAGTATGACGGGGGGGGGGGGGGGACTTGCAGGGGGCGACGGGACTTTTTCTTTTAGGGACGTGATGATTTCTAAGTTCTATGCTGTCTAACAACCATTAGAGGGAAAGCGCTCTTGGTTGATAATCCCTTAATTAGGCCCACAGCTGAGGGTTAATCAATCTCACTCTCGACTACCATAATCCTGCCCTACGGACGACAAGAGTCTTTGCCGTTCTTCGGTGGCGTCCAATGCGGGCTTCTCCTTCTTGACAAACGTGCGGCCCTTGATGGCAACAAACACGGTAAGAGCGACTCCAATAATGGCGCCCGCACCTCCGAGCGTGATATTGACTGGTGTTGGGTCGCCATGTAGAGGACCATGTGTAAGTGCATCAAGACCGGATTGAGAAAAGTTAATTAGGCCGGACACACAGACTATGGTGCCGTAAATGCGCCCAAAGGTTTCGAAACTGAAGACTTTCGTTGCGTAATCACTGGAATTGGTTAATAATAATTAGCACAACCATAAAGTAAGTGATAAATGCATGACTTACGATATAGCCGAATAGTAGAGAGGTCTGAATATGACGAAGAGGACGACCGTGGTGTATCCTGCCCAGCCAAAGGGGAGACAATTGAGAGCCCCAATAGCAACAATCAGGACGGTCAAGACCCCGAACGTTATGGGCACGCTGAGGTTGTTAAGTAGGATGCCAATAAATGGAGTAGATACTAAACCACCGATTGGTAGAGCAACATCGAAGAAGCGGTTGATAGCATCGGCATCGGCCTCAGAGCCCAACATAAACCGGTACTGGGCCCGAATTGTGGCAATAAAGTAGTTCATTCTCAGCATCTGCACAATGGTGAGAAGCAGAATGAGAATGAACCATGGGCTCTGCATTTGCTTATGAGCCGGAACACCATGCAAAACGCCCCACACACCGCTCGCTTCCTGACGCTCTTCATTGACCTTGACGCGCTCTTCACGTTGCCCAGCATCGCCAGCAACCTCCTCAATCTGGTCTAATTTGGCCAACCGGCGATCTGCTCGAGCGTTTCGAATCCTCCGAAGCTCTCTGGCGTCCTCGATTTCCTCGTCCGATTCGTGACAATCGCGCGTCTCGTCTTGAGCTCGTTCGATCTTTTGCTCTAGCTGAGGGGTAGTGTGATAAGAACGAACCGGCATGTACGTAAGCTCAGCGATAAGGATTAGAGCAGGAATGGAAATGTATGCGTAAAAGAACTTTTCAAGTGAAAGGTTTCCGTCTGTCGCTTCGTAGACCATGCGATAGAGGAGGAATACAGCGGCAGACGCATCAAACGCACCCGTAACCAGTGCGATGATAAGCCCGCTGTACTTGGGGAATGCGTTGGCGAGCTGGAAGCTGGACACGAATACAAAGGTACCACCCAGGGCAAGAAAAATGTTGCCGAGGAAGTATCCATCAAAGCTGGTGAAGTTGTGCGAAGCAGCCATCAAGACGCAGCCGATGGCGAGGCAGATGGATGACACGATCCAACAAACCCGCCTGCCGTAGCGATCAAGAACGGAACCAGCCAACAGAGAAGAAACGTTCGTCGTAACGGATGCAACGATGAAGAATAGGTTCAGACGTAGGTCCTGCTCGACGCATGGGATGTACTCGCCATCTTCAAGTGAATTCGGGTCATTGGCATCGCATAGCTCGCTGTATACTCCTTCAGAGATTAGAACAGGCTTGAGAGCGGCGAAACCGAAAACAATGCCCGAAGCGAGCCAACAAGTCACAATTCCGGTTGCTACCTGCACTGTGAGATATTAGCTATACCATGAATAACATTCTTCAATTACAGCTGATCACATACCCCATCGCTTCGCGTTCGAGACCTTGTACGCTGCGATTGGCTTCTCTACGTGGTCTGTCTTTAGGGGGGCGAAACTCAAACGCCGCCATTGTGGATCGTCGTTGTTTATGTCTATCGCTCCCGGCTGAAGTGTGCCACAGACGGCCTCACTATTGTCGTGTCCGACCTGCTTTGCAGGGCGCTCATAATCAAAGCCTTCGGCCTGAGTGACATGCTGAGCGAGCGACATTTGACAGAGGTAAACCAAAAACTGACGTATTATGCGAAGGGGAGAATCGCGACCTGAAAATATGATCCAACAACGGGGAGACACCAAGGTGGTTGGAGGGAGAAAATGATGAGGCTCTATAGGATGGATATGTACATGCATCAGAATCGAAGAGCATCCTCGCGCTTCTATCAGATCATAATCTGGAGACAGCGGCCTGCCGTAGCACACGCATACCGCTGCAACATGCCGTATATGTGACGTAACAGCGAAGGTAAGTCTAGGGAGGGGTGGGGAGATTTCGAGGTTTCCAGCAATTTCCAAACTCTCCGAGTGCTCGGACCAATGTCCGACAGTCCGAGTGGGGCCGCTCGGGGAATCCATCCCGTTGCCACGATACCGGCCCGGTCCGTGAGTGGGGAGTCGGGCCGTTCTTTGACTTATTGGTGGCATGCTCGTTTTTAAGGACGGGAACTGGAAGGTCTCGATCGAACGTCACATTCAGCTCAAGATTGTCAATAGCATGATATGCCGACATTGCTGCAGAGTTTCAGTAAGATGTCTTTGGTTGAGCCGAGAAGGACGAATAATACAGTTGCAGGTAAAGATGCTGAAGCGACCAGGAGGTAGTCGCCCGCCATTTTTCAGTAGCAAAAACATATGCTCCGCAGGATTTGCGAGTCGACTGGCTGGACTCGACGGTGACCTTAGCAACGTTGGTGAACATGCATGGATTTCTTTTCCAGGGATGCCAAACAAGCTTGCGCATCGATTTACGCCACATTATGTAATAAGAAAATTAGATGGTTTATTATCACATCATTGCCGCTTGTGATGACTCGAGGTAAAAGTAAGCTTGCGAGATTCCCTTGTGATAGGCATCTTATCCACAGACGATGAAGCCGCGGCTTCGGATCGGGTCACGTACCCATACTCACCAGCGTATAGAGGGCACAAGGATGGTTCCACTGAAACGAAAACTCAAGCAAAGAAATATGAGAGATTCACGATATGATATTCGGACTAAAGTCAGAAATCCAATCTTTTCTCTTCTATTTAGAAGTCATAATGCCAAAAGACCGCTTACGTAGGTACAACGACCCCATGTCTCCAATTCTCCAATTTCTAGGTGGGTCAGCCCCAACACTCGCATCTAACCCACCTCAGCTCCATCCATACCTCTGATCTTGCAACTTGGAGACATTTTGGTCAATTTGAAAACGGTCTCGGCTTTCCACACCTTAATTCTGAATGTGGTCGTCTTTGGCATACTGGGCTTTCCACCGAGACTAAAAAGTTACGCAACTACTGCACTCCTCTGACTGCAGAGCAGCTTAAAAACTGCCCGAAGGCTGTTCTATTTGTAGTCTATAACTTTAATCTTGCCGGATCAGAAAAGATCATGACGGCATAATATTGTGCGTTTTTGTTTGAGGGACTACGATTGAATTCTATAAATATGACATGTTCAGCTCGCACAAGTTCAAGATCAATCGTTCTCTCAGCATTATCAGAGAATCAAAGTTCTTTTTTACCTCTCCCCTGCACTCCTCATTCCTAGCACGGATCACACAACGAACGAAGACATCAATGACAAAACTCTCCATGTCGACATCCACGATGTCTTTATACCAGTCCTCGGTCCAGGCCAAATTTTGATCAAGACTATCATCTCAGGCACGAATCCTAAGGACTGGAAGGTACACAAAGCCTGGGCTCCGCAACTCGGCCTTTTGAACCTGGACGGGACATTGCAGACTATGTTGAAGCGGTTGGCGAAAATGTGCTAATTAAGCTTCCGCAAAGGAGATCGAGTCGCCGCTTTCCACGAGATTCGCACCTCGCACTGCATTTCTGCCGAGTCCTCTATCGTGTGGGCTAGCTCTACTTTTCACTTACCCAAGCACACTACTTTCAAGAGTAAGTATCTACAATACAAAAGCATCTGTCACACATATCACCAGTGTTCTGACCTGGAAACAGAGGCGGCTGCAGTCCCCGCTCGCTGCTATAACGACTGGCCTTGGATCGTATCAAAGGCTTAATCTCCCGTTGCCGTGGAACCCTGACAGTAAGAAGTGGACTATCGACATTTATGCGGCATAGGAATCTTCATCCTCCAACAGGTTCCAACAGGTGCATGTGGTGCGTGTCCGGGTGATCCATGTCGCAGTGGGGATACGGCCAGGGTCCTATTGCCATATGCATCTTACTTCCAGGCACCTATTAATCTATCAATTTCTGGGACAAACACCGTCTCTGGTCTGGTTCACAGAGAGCTTACCTGCGCGCCAAATTTAATCCTTGGTTTTGTCACGGAATAAAAGTGCTGCCTGGTCGCCCGGCTGACCGATCTTAGGCACCGAGTTTTGTCAGTTGTGGCTTCGGCGCCGACTGGCTGGAATTTGCAGGGATGTCACACTACTGTCAACAACACAAACTGGGCTGAGACGCTCTTTATAATCTCCTTTAGGTGGAAACCAGCACTCCAGTAAGGTATAAGAGACCAAGTCTTGGGAAAGAGAGATTCAATTTGTGAGCATCAATCCGGCCTGCTCCTACTAGCATTGGAGTTCCTCGACCACCATGGACGAGTATCACATCAAACACACTCCCTGGTACCAGGCCTCCGTCGAAGCTTTTATCGCCAAGGCGATGAAACAGGACCTTACTCGTCCCGATGACCCGAACAGCACATCCAACCCAGATATGGTCGTTGCAGCCCGACTGCGACCGGTTTTGGAGGATGAAGTGGCTGCTGGTCTCATCCGGAGCGTATTTCCCCGGAAGAGCGGAAACGGTGCCATCGACATACACCAAATTCGCAAGCACATCAAGCCGCTTGGGCCACCAACACTGATTGTAAGCTACTACCTTGCGACTCCAATCTCGCCACTTTGGTGGTTTGGGGTGCTGACAGTTGGTATAGTCTACATCAGTCCGCCTCGACCGAGCTTACGGCCCGGAAGACACCTCCGAGCAGATTTATCAAGACTTGGTGCAGCCGCTGGTCCCCTGGGCATGGGGTGGCGGAGTTAGTACAATGTTCGCCTACGGCCAAACAGGCTCCGGCAAGACCTTCACTGTCAGCGCCATCGAGAAGCTGGTCGCCCAGTCACTTATGAGCAAAGATCTTGAGGGTGAGCGCAAAGTGTATGCGTGCATTATCGAGCTAGCGGGCAATTCCTCTTTTGGTAAGCCTATCGAATTTGGTCTGGCGAGAAGCAACCTGAGCTGACAGTTGTGGAATATTCTCTTAGATCTACTGAACTCCCGGAAGCCCATTTCCATCTTGGAAGATTCTTTTGGTGTCACGCAGCTTGCTGGGCCATGGAGTTCGAGGTGACTGAAGCAGCTACTTTGCTCGACCTCGTTGAAAAAGCAGCAAGCTTTCGCCGCACTGCATCTACGATAAAGAACGACGCGTCATCACGATCACACGCCATTTGCCGGATCCGCATCGAAAACCCATCTATGCCGAATGACGATGATGGACTGCTGTATCTTGTTGATTTGGCCGGGTCCGAAGCTGCTCGGGATGTTGCTAACCACACAAATGACCGCATGAAGGAGGCTCGTGAGATCAACACAAGCTTATCAGTGCTGAAAGACTGCATCCGAGGCAGGGCAATGGTTGATGCGGCGTCATTGACGGGGAAGCCCAAGAAGCCGACGCATATCCCATTCCGCCAGAGCTCTCTCACCAAGATCCTCAAGCATGTGTTCGATCCCGCTGGCCGGCGTAGCTGTAAAACTGTCGTTGTGGCATGCGTAAACCCTAGCCTTCTGGACGCCGGTGCCGGTAAAAACACACTGAAGTACGCCGAAATGCTGCGCGTACTTCTGCCTAAGGCAAAAACTCAGGTTTATAGTCCCGATGTTCCTTCTACGTGGTCGAACGAACAACTAAAGAGTTGGATAAACTCAAACGTAAGGATAAGTTTCGTCTCGTGTAAAGATCTGGCTAACGGCTCATAGTCCGGAAGCCCTGCAATCTCGGGCGAGATCCTTGCTCCGTTCGAGACCGGTGCGCTGCTCCTCCGTCTCCCCACACCAGAATTTCTCACTCGGTGTCTGAAGATTCATGGGGTTACGGAGGATCAAGCTCGTGCATTCCAAGCCAAGTTCTGGCGCTTGCATGTTGATTCGCAAAAGTCCAGTGCAAAATTGAATGAGATCAAGACCGAAGCTGAACCTACTCAAGAGGGCGTTGGTAGAAAGACGGTTATGAATCAAGAAATGCTGTCATCAAGCGCTGATCCTGACCCACAGACTGCTAAAATGCCTTTCAAAGACAGAATTCGTCCCGGTATGGTCGTACGCTGGACTCCGCCATCGACGTTCCCGCTTGGACTTCCTGGCTTGAACATGGCTGTTGTTTTGAGTCCCCAACCTGCCGTGGGGCCAAACGTGCGAGATGTCAGCCGTGACTTAGTCAATGATGCAAGCAAATTCACTGGCGGGGGCAACAAGTACCTCTGTGCGATGATTCTTCCTGGGTTTATGGCTGACTCTTATGAGTTGAGTATGTGGCGTCACGTTGTTGTTGACGTTGACCAGATGGAGGCCGAAGTGCTCTTAGAGTATGATGCGGCAACGAGGTACTACTACATGACAGTCTGAGGCTTATCTCAATTCAAAGAAGGCTCTTCGAAAGGGATGCGGATGAAAGAAAAAGAAAAGGCCCATGACCAGCAGCTGAGCTCACAACCTCTCGAGAGCCTGATGGCATAAGTGAATGGCCAGTGATAATTATGTTGTTCTGGAAACAAACGATTGCGTGGACAACAGTAAATTGAATTGAGAACAAAATTAAAATCTTCATGTCGAGATTAAAAGCAACTACGAGATTAGGACCACCACTTTTGTCATTGTATGCCTGAAGCAGCGGTAGGAGTATTGGAGACCAGCTAAGAAACCGATGACGTTAATTGCGCCCCCACAAGGATGCAGTGAGAAGACTGTCGAATCCTTGCGAGGTAATGGACTGCAACGACTTCGCTTGCCGCATCAGAGGCTGATACGCTAGAATTCTGCGTCAGATGTGTTCACCACTGGGTTTGTCAATACGATAAAGTCCAGCGTTATGTTTAATGTCAGAATTGATAGCTCTGGGAGTTGAGTGAGATGATGATGATGATGATGATGATGACACCAATGTCTATGCTCTATACAAAACGCTCCGCTGTGATAGGTCCCGTTTGTGCTTGGAATCAGACCGAAATTCAACATGTCTGTGTATTGACGTTATCTATCCCGACCTAGCCTCTCTTCATCGTCTTCCATCAACTCGTACGCTGGCCGGAAGCCAGCGCCGTTATCTCCTTGTTTCTTCAACTGAGGGTTGGGATGGGTATCTTGCGTTCCGCCTAAACTCGTGTATCCCTTTGTGAAATATCAGTCATCGTTCTTCAATGGATATTGGGTTCGGCTTACTTGATCATATAGAGGGCAATATGGGATGTTCAAATGCCGAATAAACTGACGCCTTGTTAGCCATGATCTTTACCTAAACCTCCTTGTACTTGTTTGCAGCCGTTGTTCAAAGAGGTGGGTACACCCATTCGCGACTTACTGCCCAAATCTCAGCTGCAGGGAAAACGTTAGCCTCAGTTCAAAACAAAGCTTGGAAAACTCCATATCTCCGAAAGGTTCAGAACATAAGTGAACCGAAAAGCTCAAGAATCTCCCATGAAAGCAGGAGCACCATTAAACATACCATAGTGCCAGTCAATCACTGGGTGCACTCGCATAAAGTCGGGCCATCCGGAATCGGTAGGATCGAAATGTGTTAGCTTCTCTCCGTGAGGGTCCGTCCTCCTCGTCCCTACAAAGATGGCTTTTACACTCGGCCGGTCTGCTAGGTATGCGCCCAGTCCTTCTTTCATTGACATGGCGTATCGTTTTACGTCTAAGTGGTACTGAGAGCTTGTCGTCTCAACGAAGTCGTCTACTTCAGCAAAAGGATGTTTGGATACGATGTACACGGCTTGAAACTCATTGGGGAAGGGTGTCGTGCCGTTCGAGTCGTTCGTCTGGGAGGAATTGGATGGCGAGGGATATCGACGAGCGAGGCAGGCGAGAAGCATAATCAGTAGTACGAGACCTATCATAAAGGCTCGATTAGCATTCTATACATCATAACGTTATGAGGGTGATTCGCCGGGTGACACGAGCTACAATACACAGCTCTAACACACGCAAGCCACAAGGTGTGTTGGTATATAGGCATGGAGGATATAGGGAGAACGCACAGTCTTTTCCTCCATTATACGAGAGCGAGATCTGCTCCAAGCTGTTGTGGCGCATCAGCGATCCATCAGCATTCAAAAGTAGGGCTAACATAGGCGCAGACGCACCTGTACCTCGCCAAGGCCTCTTCCACTACACCCATTGACACGCGCAGCTGCGCCTGGACATTGCGCAACACCTCTGTCTTCTGCTCCTCGGCCAAGAAGGCGTCGACCCTATGTCGCAGCTCGTCGCACACATCGTGGAAGCTCCGCGGGGTCGGCTCGGAAGAGTGGGGTTTGGCGGGGTAGCCGTTGGAGGCGGCGGCAGCATGCTCGCCGTTCCCGTGTGCCATTATGGGTCGCTTCTTGTACGGGTATCGGGGTGTCCAAAATTGTATAGTAGACGAAAGGTGTCGAGAAGGGAGAGGTGGCGGCGGCGGCGAGTGGGAAAGGCACAAGGAATGGGACGGAAGAGGGTCGATTCGGTGTCCTCTCGGCAGGCGGCGATGGCGGCCGTGCGAGCGAGCGACGTTCCCATTTTGCCGGCTTATCTAAGACTTCCGCGTAGTCTGACTACTCGACCGCCTTCCAAGAAGGAGCTAGCACGGCACGTGAAAGTCTCCATCCAGACTAGCGGCCCGCCCGGCTCTAAGACCCCGAAAATCACAAGTGCGCCGAGGCCACATGTTCCTTGACTCGGTAGCATTCTTCATTGGTTCAGGGTCCACCTCGGATTCTTCTCCCCGTCTGCAGATAGCCTACATGGTAATTAGTACCGGCAATCATCCGGTTGTACCGGATATTGAGATTACATAATTAACACGAGCTTTCATCACAGAGCATGTTGCCAGGGGAAAGGTATTTCCAATAATATAAGCGCTGCTGGTTGACTCTACTACTTATGCTTACAGAGGAGGAACCATTGAGCGACATAGCGACATAGGCTTAGTTGCGTGAAGCTTACTTGTACCGCTCTGCCCAGGTTGCATGATAGCCCGGATGCTTCATCACGTTGAATATGCACAAATCAAGAGGTTCTACGTCTATGCGAATAGACCAATAGACTCTGTGCCTGCTAAGCCTGACTAGAAACTGACTTGTCAAACAGACATTGAATTATGAAACTCATTATGTCTTCACTCATTCCTCAATAGTTGACTGCGACAGCGGTCGAGATCGAGAAAAGTGTCTATCTGGACTGGCATAACATTGCGGCGGCGGACTCAACGGTGTTACGACCTCCATGTCCACCGGCCCAAACTCTTCAGACCCATCGTCCGACTCACCAGCCGTCAATGCAGGACTGACATCCGCCATTACCCTAAGACCACTCTCGTTGTACAGCTCACTTGATGGCATCTTCAGCTCTGGATTCGGCTCCATCCCAGGCTCGGCATCTATAAACATTGGACTCGGAAGGCTCTGCTGACTGTGGTTCCCAAAGGTCCCACCATTGAAGGGCTTTCGGTTGAAACGAGCCTTAACGCTTATTACTCCTGATGCTCGACGGTCATACGGATACTGCGTCCGTGTCCACTTGTTGATACGTAAGAGAGGCCGAAGGGTCGGAATGCACACGCAGGTGACGGCGCAACACAATTCAACTTCGGACCAGACCAGTGCTGGAATAATGTCCCAAGTTACGTCCTTAGTGAATACATGTGGAAGGGTTGACATTCTGACGATGGAGATGCATGTTGTGCTGGCGCATGTGTTAGCCGCCCAATCTTAACATCCAATGCCGATGTTCACTCACACAAATCCAAGCCCGAAACTGACGAAGAGCGCAACCTTCTGCATTTGTTTCAGCTTCAACATGCTGAGCATAGGTATCGGCATCAAGAAGATGATGATGTCCGTTACCAAATGCACAATGGCTGTCGCAAGCCACCACATTCCCTGGTCATACTGCAGTTGTGTCTTCGATTCTCCCCTCCATCTCGGAGTGTTCAAGACAATAGATGACACAACAACGGCGATGCCGAATATGCTGATAAAGCCTATCATGATGTCGCAAAACACAACAAACTTTGGGAGGACAAAGACGCGACGGAATTGAAAGAGGAAAGCCATCTTGACCACGATAAAGGTGATTTGATAGCTCAAGGTTGCCGCAACTACCAACTTTACGAAAGTCAGTATTTGCCATGAACATCTGGACGGGTGTTTGACTTTTACTCTGCGACCTGCCTGCTGATCGTCTACTGGAAGTGCCCAAAGATGCTTCCCAAGGCCAACTGTCGTAGCTTTGTTTCAAATTTCAGCTATCACGTTCATTATCGTCAATATTATGGCAAATAAATAAACTCACAAATGGAAAACACGATGCCCGTAAACAATGCCAGAATCTGAACCCATGTCAGGGCTGTTACGAAGTAAAGTCAGCCTAAAGACTTACATATGAAATCACGACGAGAAAATCGTCCGGCCCCCACTTCCTCATCACAACAGCTCGTACATAGACTCGAAGCCCTACAAATACGAGGGTGAAGGCTAGGAAACCAGCGCCCATACCAATAAGCAGCGGTGCTCTGGTATCATCTACGCCTGGTCGTGTCATTTGCCTTGCCAGTATCGAGGCTTCATGCATCGTGGCTCGTCGGTTAAGTCCGGTGGAGGACTGCACCCTGGAACGATGTGCGGCACAGTGGAAAAGGTTTCTGTCAATGAGCCAAGATCAATTGTAGTCCAGAAGGGAAGGGGTGAAGTTTCGTCGAGTGTCAAAATGCAGATATCAAGCAGGCCTTAGAAAAAGCTGTCCCGCAGGCCAAGGAAATGGGAATCTGAGGAGGATTATAAGACATGCAATGCAATTCTGGAACAGTCCTGATTTGGCGCTAGAATAAGGGGCTTACCAATTCCGGTAATTGCAAGATCGCTAATTGAAGACACATTGTATGACTGCCGGATGCATCAACGCCACAGATCGCTTCAGCCGCCACAGTGCACTCCAGCTGAAGGAAAGACCGCCGCTTCAACCGTCCACACCGTCATTCTAGACTGCTGAGACTTTATTAAATTAGAAAATGATCGACTATTAACGCAGACTTTTCGAAGCTTATTCGCTCAATGAAGCCTCGGACAGCGACCATGTATCGAGTTCAAGCCTCTGTCAACAGGGCAAGGAGCTTCGTTCCGGTTCAGCTAGCTGTTTATAACGATTCAATACAAGCCACCTCTCCACGACCTCCGCTAAGAGCTAGCCATTTCCGTTTAATAAGGTTGTCAGTAACGCCTGTGGATCTGGAGTTCCACTGTCCTGAATAACCTTCAAGCCAAGGCCGTCTCAAATGGCAGCGCACTCTGTTGTTCAAGTGCGGTCGCCTCACCCAACTGCTCACCTTGGTTTAGCCCCTGTTAAATTGTCATGATATCCTCCTGGTGTAAGTTGATTCTGCCCAGATAGGTAGACTACCTTACTTTTCACGCGACCTTGCCTGGCTATGTCAGCGGCCCTGACTTTAGAAGCAGCTTCGCGTTAGATTGCACTTGGAGAATACAAGCTACTTTCAACCTTACAACCCTACTGCGCACGGCAGGCTGGCAGCGATATAAATAGGCTTAGTCACTTGATGTGTAATGGATGAGGGTGAATGTCGGGCTACTCATATTCCTAGGATTTAAAGAGTGATGACCTTAAATGAAGCTATCATCGTAAATATATATATATACATATAGACTTTCTGTTGGAATAACAGCACCAGCTGGTTGTACGACACGCACGACTCAGGGACACACATCATGGCAGAGGGCACAGACTGGATATTCGGCTCTCGGTTATCCATTGAGGGGATCAAAAGTATATTCATGCCGAACTGACTCAGGGACGTACGAGATCATATATCTCGTGTACGAAAGCCAAGTCTTGTAGTTAGGAAGATAATCACGGAAAATATATCTTTGGTTCACCCTAACTTTAACCCGAGTACGATCGTACAAACGGGTTCTCTCAGGAAGAGAGAATCCATTCAACACTTTCGGAAACTGCTCATGTACGTCGAAGAGTATTGAAAATCTTCCGCAGGAAAACAGAGATTAGAGTATGCCACTCGCATGTGTCAAAGACGTGACGGAACCATGCTTCAACCCCTTGGATCAACCAGACGTGCTCGAAGTTGGAGCAATTTGCGGGCTTATCATTGGTTTTGCCCCTGGGCTTGTCGCAAGACAAGCCCATCAGAGCAGGGATAGTAAGAATCGAAAGACGGATAGCTTCTCTATGCCACGACTATTCGTCTAGGCCCAAGTCGGGATAGTGGCTCTCCGAGTTGTCGGTGTGAGCAAGTACATCGCCACAGATGGGCCAATCGCGTCCGCCCACGGGATTCACGCATGGAGAAGACAGGCTTTCTCATGGAGAGAACCCCTCTTCTGCTTCTGTGGAGTGCGGGCATCTGGAGAAATCCGCAACCCGAATGCCAAAATTGCTCACATACTATGCCCATGATGCCACCGTGTGGGTTGCCGAATACATTTGTTGCTACAATAATCACATGAAACCACAGTGGTAGCCCAATTGACCTTTCAAGCACTAATAGTCTCAGACAATGATTAATTCTCTACGGACGATCCAATTTTACTCTCTCTCTCATCTTTAGCTCATTTCCTGCCTCTTACATCTCTTGTTTTGCTGGATCAACCTGGTATAAACCTTTCTCCGAGGAGTACAGAGTGAACTTGCAGGATAGTCATGAGGCAGAATATTATCTTTCGGTCACACATCTGCTCAATTCCATGTTTCTAGAGCTCTTGAGTTTGTGCTATAGCTTCGGTTTCTATGGGGCCCTTAAGAAAGCGCTTTCGTTTTCAAAGTTTCTTTGGTGCGTCATTCTGCCATATTCAAAATTGACACTTATTCATCATGTACTCGTTCGGAGTGATGCCGTCTCTGCTAACGCCTGTAGCGATCTCGTCCCATTAATTACAAAGACGAAGTTGTTCCTGGCATTTTTGCCTGATGATGGCCACAGAGTCAACACCAATAGGCACTCTGATGGGGAATGTCTTGTTTGCTGCGAGGCCTTCTCCCTTCAAGAGGTCCCATACTGCTGCTCGAAGTTTTTCTGCTGAATATGGGAGATTTGGGGTAATTTCCGTCGCGAATTTTCCAGATGCTTCGCCGAATGACGTTTGGTAGTCTGAAATTTGTGGTGGACCAGTGGCCGTTTCGTCCCCTGACGATTGAAGCATTCTTCTGCCTGTGTCAACGCCGCCAGGTTCGAAAATGACGGCCTTGATACCAAGATGAGTAGTCTCCCTTTAGAGACCCTCTACGAACACTATAAAACTTTGTCAACGTATGTTCATCCAGATAATGGTGCAGCATTCAATGACTAACAAAAGAGCGCCACCTTGGTCATGTCATAGTACGGCAAAAACGGGAAGGATGACCAAGCAAAGGCGGCACCAGTGAAGCCAAAGCGTCCAGCCTTTCTGTCATGGAAATGTGGAAGTATAGCCTGAACAATCTTCATTGCACCGAATGAATTGGTGTCAAACACTTTCTGTACGGGTTTCCACTAACACTCCGTTAGTATTAGAACATCATTTAGGCTTAGATCCATCCAAATCCCATACTCAGCTTCTTTGATTGACGACAGAAGTGCGTATCTGGCGTTGCTGACGATAATGTCGACGTGGTCGAATATCTCAATGGCCTTCTCAACTTGTGCTTGGATAACAGGAAGAGGTGACGTCACGTCAAGATCGAAGGGGATGTAGCTGTGTGTTATCATGCCTGCAAGTCTCTTGCAGACATTGCGGCCTGATGCGATGACTCTATCTCATCTGGCGGCGAACTGCTCTGTCGTGACCGCGCCAATGCCAGACGTGGTGCCCGTAATCAACCAAACCGATGGCTGAGTCATTGTTGTGAAGTGGTGTGATGATGAAATTTTCTGGTTTGAAAATGCGCTCAAATCAGTATTCTAATGGGGATTTTGTTGATGCGAAGGTGGAATTTTGTGAACCTCGATCTAAGATACAAGGACAAGAGCAGGAAAAATCTTTGAGGTGACGAAAACAAGTTGTTTGTACGTTGCACAAATTTAGCGTGAAGTCGATGTCAACATGTAACTAACTCAACTCCCCTACTTTTCACGCACCACGCACTCTGAACAACAACGCGTCGCTGCCAAACCTACTCCTCTTTTCTACCTATTGCAGCATTTTATGTTTTAGTTGAAACAACGCTGTTTTAAATGAACATTTCTTTTTACAAAATAAAGAAATATAACAAATATAAGCTTCATTAGGCGCTTGAGGACGCAAATGGGTACTGGAAAGGGGCAGGGTTCAACACCTGGATGTCTGAGTATTTGGTTTTAGAGCCTTTCTGCTAGTCAGTCAGCTAATTATTCTGATGAATGACGTCTAGATAGACATAAAAAGGGATCGGAAAAGCAAACAGAGAAAAGAAAGGGGCATCATCGAGGAAATATCACCTATTCATGTCGAACCTTATTGATACTCTGACAGACAAGAAGACAATAAACACCATTATTATAGCCCTGATCAAATCAATATCTATTCATTTCAAGATGCAGCATGTATTTTCAGAGTATATATTTGCCTACAGAATATATTCTCTATCATTTTCCTGCTCGGGTTAAGGAGCTCGGAGATCATCAAGTGCCGGATCAGTGTCAAGTTGGGCCATAGAAGTGGATATTTTGCAATTAAGTAGATGACCAAGACGGGACCGGATTCTTGGGGCAGCAGTCTCAGTTCCGGGTCCATCAGAAATATATCATTGCCCGAAGGGTCACTGACACAATCTTTTGTTGTAATGGAAATGCGTTGGCAAACGTAATGGGTAGTCGACTTTATTCATGGGGTTCACTGTCAGGACCGAGGTCGGTTTTGTATTGTCGGAAATTCGGGCAGTCCTTTGATCTGATCCTATCACAATTGCGTTGAAACATGTGCTAGCTCATACAACTACAAACCGGAATACACAAGCGACATAAAGTTTGAAATGCGCTTCGTCCATTAAGGCTATTCAAGTCTTGATCACGTTCGAAAAATAAATAAATAAATAAAATTACGAAGGCTTCTATGAGGGGATATGCATGTCTCCCTCAACGACTAAGCTATGTAGTCCGGGTCCAGTTGTGTCCTCGAGTGGCGCAACAAAAGCCATTTGGCTCCAACTGAACAGAGAATTTCGTCCGCCATACACAAAAACCTCGAACCTCCCTGCGAACTGCCCATCAGCCCAAGCGATGCTTCCGTGCAAATCGTCTGTTGCAATAGTAATGTTCGTTGGCAAGGTTGAGAAATACACCACCTCGTGTGACGAGGTAGAAACGTTCGTCCAGATACGACCAGGGTGCCCTGGATCAAGATCTAGTGCGTCTCGTTCACTTACAGACCGTAGCGGGTACAGCCAACCGTCCGTGTTAAAGAGGAGGCTACCATTGCCGTCAAGAGAGAGTGTGTTGTCTGGGCCATGAAGCACAAAGGGTCCTGTGACAGATAACGTCAGGGTGTAATTCATGCCCTTGCTGCCGTGGCCAAGGTGCACTGTCTCAGGGTCTTTGGCGGAGCGAGTCCATGCAACCAGAGGTGCCGAAGGGCTAGTAGACGGCACCACGCGGTCGAGATTCTGCCCCGGCGCAAGAGGTGAGAAGAAGTCAACGCTGGACGCCACATCATCTGCGATGAGCTCCGGACCTCGGCTGCCGCTCCACGCGCGGGCTCCAGTGAGCGCTATACCCCGACGCATTGCATAGTATGCCTCGAGCTGAGTGGAGGCGTCGGGGCCATTGTCGTTCCACGCGGCTAAGACGGCACCTTTGTTGAAGTGCGATCCATCAGGTACCTGCATGGTCTTATTGAAAGGATTGAAGTCGGCGGGCGTCCACTGCCATCCGGGCTCCTCGGCGAAGTTGAGCACGCGGCTCTCATTGAAAAACTGCGGGTATTTAGCGGGGAGAATGGGCATGTGGTCATTCTTGAGCGACATATACGCCCACCAGTCCTCCGAGTTGACAATGTCATATCCGGTATTGGTAAGTAGCACTGGGTCCGACTGGCCGTACTGCCAGTGCTGGATGATGACGTCCTTGGAAATTGTGACATTTTGTGAGGGCTCGTTTGTGCCCCAGATACGAATCCGCTTGCCAGCTGTGGAATTGATGAACTCTGACATTTCATTCACGAACCCAATGTACACATCAGCCAGCGTTGCGTCGTACTCGTCCGCCCCAACGTGCACTTCTTTCGTCTCGAACCATGGAAGAAACTCGGACCATATGCGCTTGACCGTTGGAATTGCCTCGGGATGTGAGAGATTCAGAAGGTCGCGCTTCGCCAGAGAAAGTTCAGGCTTCCACTTGGTCAGGTATAAGCAGTGGCCAGGGGCCTCGATCTCGGGGATGACTGTTACACCCCTTGCCGCGCAATGACTCTGAAGATCAGCGAAATCTTCACGAGACAGCGTCTCGTTCTCGCGGCCATGAAGAATTGGTAGCAGAGATTCATCTTCTGGTCGCAGCGAGAAGTGCGAGTAAACATCCTGCCAGGAGTCATTCTGTCCGCGATTGAGAGGGTAGTTGTCGCTCAGGTGGTAGTGGAACTCGCTCATCTTGAAGAAAGAGGCGTAGCTGCACAGTTCCTTGAGAAACTTTGGTGCGTACCACTTGCGCCCAGCGTCGAGCATGAAGCCACGCGTAGCATATGCTGGCGCATCAATGGCACGTCCTACAGGGAGAGTCCCATTCTGCAAGAGCAACAGTTGGAGTAACGTCCTGGTTCCCCACCACATGCCGCGGGCGCCTGTTCCGCCGATGAATGCGCTGATGGGTGAAATATCGAGTAAATAGCCCTCAGACGTTGGGCTGCCATTCTCGTACGTGATAGATGAAGCGTTGCCGTTGAATGAGCCAAGAAAAATGCCGCTTGCATTAGCAGAATTTGGAAGGCGATCGACGCGCTTCAAAGTCCAGTTGACGCCCGTGAGCTGGCTGATGTCTTCCTGGAAGAGGCTGGCGAAGTCATAGCTGCTGGGTGGGATCAAGGTCAGACCATCCGTATCAACCTTGGAGGCGAAGCTATTATCGATGTAGATGATCTTTGAGCTCGATGCGACTTGCCAGGCAGCTCCTGCAGGGGCACTCGTGGCTTCGAGAGTTGGCGGGAGGAGTTGGAGACCCCAAGCTAAAGCTGGGGCGCAAAGGACCGCCGCAATGCGAAACAAATCCATGAGGCACAACTTCCCAAAGTAGCAGGCTTTATCGATTTATGAGCATCCAATTACAACTGCAACAGCTCGTTTCTACTTATACAGCTCGAATACCGGGGCTCTCCGTGCGTCCTCGTCTGAATGCCCCTCACTTTATCTTTTGGACAGAGATCATCATAGATAAGCTGTGATACCCCGCATACTGGGATCCTAATGTAACAATACAAGCGATGCTCGCGTAACGTAACCGTGACAATGGGCCATGCTTCTACTAGTTTACGAACGTAGCAGATGACAAGGTTAGGGGTTCTTCGTAAAGTTTCTATAGCTCTATCTTTCCTATGTGACTACTTTTTGTTTCGACCAATACTCACGACTAAAACAATGGTCGGTCTTTACATAGCCTCCCCGACCTACTCTTCATCGGAATGGAAACGTGGTCTGTCCGCACTTAAACCAAGCGTCTAGTGTACTTAATTACTCCAGATAGTAATTATTCAACGGCTTTTCGATGAGACTATTGCTGATCAAGCAAAATTCGATCCGAAGTGACAAGCTGCAGGGTTTGAGATTAGGGACCATGCAGACACTATACATTTGAAGAAGAGAGTAATATATCGACCCATAGTCTTTATTATAGTGCAGAAAGCACGGCGGTTCTTGCATATAAACTACCACCAAGGCGATACAAAATTCTCAAAAAGTCAGCAACTTGTTGACTTGATCAAACTTCTCAGCTGCATCCAAGTAACGGACTTCAGAAAGCCTCAAGTCCAACTGATTGGGGGCATAGCGTAGACCCGTCATACTGAGATTGGTTGTGGTGCACCAGGCTGGGCATTGTACGAAATTCGACCAGCGGGCAGGAAGAAAAGCGCAACCAGGGCTCCTTTGCGTACTTCCGGATAATGATGCGTACCTGGCCCAGGTGACGTCCACCCTGCACCCTGCCACCCCTGCATCCCTTTTAGTTCAGCATCAGGGTCAACCTGGACAACGCAGTTAATCTCTCCATAAGGATGAGCGTGATACTGTCCCCTGAATTCTTTTTCGCTGTTCATGTAGACCGTTGTGATGCTGAAATACCTCGTCACGGCTGAGGGAAGGGCAATTTTACCCCGCCGATACTTCCGACCTTCGATCTCAGTTTGGGCCACCCATCCCTCTTCAAGACCCTGCTTGATCAAGCTACAAAAGTCCTCATAAAACTGATTGCCTGGGCCGTAGTCTTTGTTGAGTCTCATCTCAAGGGCTTTCCCAGGGGTTCTGGTAATTGATCGAAGTGTTAGTTATCTCCTAGTTTCTGGCTAAAATTCTTTGGTTCAGTCAAACTTCTAAAGGAAAGGACGACCTACAAGTCCTGAACTTCATTCAAGAACTCACTGCATCTTGACACAAACCTCTCTGCTGTTGGCCATTGAGATACGTCCAGAACTTCAGCAATCTGAGACTGCTCCATATTTATATACGTGCAACAGAGAACTGCTGACGGACCATCAAGGGGAATGACAGACAAGAAACTCTTATTAAGGAGGAAATGGAATATGGTCCGGTAGTTGGTGTCGGGATGGTCAAAAGTGCGGGGAAGGCGCCGTAGACTTCTATTCTATGCAGCGCTATGACCCGGTGACTGAGCAATCATGGTAGTTATGTCAGCGCTTTCAACGTCAAACACGCGCAGTATCACATCGACTACCAACACATTCCAGGATTTAGTACTCTAGTCCTATTTTGCTAAGAACCTGATCAAACAGATACGGGACCAACTCATCATTGCTTCGAAGTCGCGTGGGTTCGCCGATTTGAAATGAAACCAATCACGGATACGCGTATGTCTAGATTAGCGTTCTGTACCGATGTTTGTTGTCATCCTGTGAACCAGTATCTCTACATGTAGGCGAGACTCCAAGCTGGACAATGGGTTTCACCAAGGCCAGGTTGCCTTCGATGGCGGATGACGAGAAGTGACTGATAATAAGCTTCAGTTATGTACGTAATATATCTGGCTTCGGCTCATAAGGACTAGGTGGGATTTGCCTGAAACAGTCCTTTATACACTTGAAAGACGGCGTCGAATACTGCAATGCTTGTTGTATTTGTGAGAATCTCGTCTGGGTCGGGATTATCGCTTTCGTATGCTTGAACCAGACAAAGCTCAAGGGTCACAACTGGTTAACTCTACTCGCAAAGGTTATTCCATCGCAACGTGCATCATATAGGTGAGATGGATCTTGTATAGCTCCCAGCAGCATACGTAGCATTTCCACATGACCTAAGAAGGCCGCAATATCCACTGCCCAGCCTAGTATGGGGCTAGATTCATTTAGCATGGCATCCTGGCCACTGTCTCATACCCAGGGTCTGAAATGGGCTAACTTATGTTCATGTTCACCGTTTTGGTAGATCATATGCTCGCAAACCTGCATTGAGGAAAGTAGCTCTCGGACGAGAGCCAGGTCTTCTGTAGCTGTCGCTGCAGCAAGCAAAGTTTCGATGAGATTGATGTCTGAATCGTGAATAGGATCTATCTGTTCAGGTACCTCGAACTAGAATCGATACACCGGCGGGGATTGGTTGCTCTCTGAACAGAGCTGGCAGATCTCCCAGAGGTACTCTTACATTGCGTCATGAGTCTCGGAATCTGGCTCGCCGCTGCGGAAAGCCACGACGCGCTGCGCTACCAAGCGGATGGTGCGCAGCGGCCGTGAGAGCAGGTTTTCTCTCTGTCATACCTTGTGCATGAGATACTTGGGCCAGAAGAAAGACCACGCAACCCTATCGGTCAGACCGTCGAGAGTGCCTGGTTCAACTACAGCGCAAACATCAAACCATGCTCATCGCCATCCTGAGCGCCAGTGTGCTTTTGGCTACAATTTTCATGATCTACATATTAGTGCAGCACGGTCGCAGTGCCCATTTCGACCCTGGATACGTCATGAAGACCGCCGCCTATGACTACGGACTTTTCAGCCTAGACGCCTGGGCGTGCGAAACTCCCCGGTATGTCCCGAAACTCAGGGACTATGACCTGGAGAAGCAGTGTGTGGGCGAAAGGGCTAACCGCAGCTTGGTGGTTATATTGTACTTTTTCTCTGATATTACTGATATTGCTGATCCGGGATCTCAAAACCACGCAGGGTATTGTGACAAAGAAAGAGCGGAAGAGAGACAACAGCTGGGAAGATGATGATTGGGAGTAACACTATCCATCGACTGCTGCATGACACCGAGCTATCTCAGGCATCACACGATCGCTTTCACAGCAGCTGCAACTGGGAGAGCAGGTGGGTAAAGCAACTGCACCGGAAAAACAAGGTCAAGTGCCAACATTCGCTAGCTTTCCTCAGATCGACTAAGCCAAGTCTTGTGCAACTGACAGCTTCCCGATCAAGATTCATACTTCAGGTAGAAAATCAATCATAATACATCTCAAGGTTTATATTGACGCGACCTCTTCAACGGTTGAAATTGAAGTTCAGTTTCTTTTCTCCCCTCTTCTGACGCCAGTAATTGGTTCCTTCTGCTATCTCTGGACAACCGCGAATAAGCCAACCCCATTTCTTCCAAAACGCCACATTCGCCTCCCATCCTCGAGGGTCCCAGGACTCACCCCAGACCAGTAACCGAGGTCGTTGTGCATCCCCGTCTTTGTCATCCATGTTAAAGATGTCATTACAAAAGTCGTCCTCATCGAGTAAGCCAAGCTCCTCGGCCCGGATGCCGTTCTCTCGTAGTGATGGGATAGGAAACACATCCAAAAAGGGATGGTGGGTTATCTTAAATTGTGCTTCTGTGGGGCGCAGAAACAATGGCCATGAAGATGCTTGCCGAGGGGCGCAAGGAAGACCGGGACCTTGCAGATTGAATGGCGAGATGAACTCGTCTTCGCAGATGGAATGTTTGTTAAAGCCCATTATTCGGGTGTTGCGTGCAAGAGCAGTGAGAAGGTTGAATCTAACAATGACTGGCAATTGCAGAAGCTGAGGCGTTCCCAGCACGAGGTTCCTACGTGCTTCTTGTACAGCAATCCTCAGCTGGGCCCTCGTGTCCGGGCAGGGAAGAAGTATGTATCCGTCATCGGCTGCATCGCCTTCAGTTGCATCGCTGGCGGAGGGCCCAGCTTCTATTAACTTTTCGTCTGTCATGCCTTCTACCTGGCGGAAGAACTCCTGCCTCAGTCTTCTACCTAGAATACAAGAGTTAAACGTCAGGCGCAGGTCGGCTTCATATTGAAGATGCAGGGGGGACTAACGACGCGCCCTTTGGTTCAAGCGATTCTGGAGTTTTCTCCTCTCCTTGCTTGAAGCCACCCCGGTCCAGTCTTCGCCCGGTTCAATTATCTCGCTCTGCTGTGGCATTCTGTCCAGCTGGAGCGTTGTTGTCGCTATCACGGTCGTCTCTTGGGGTGGCCTATCCATCGTTGCAAGCTCCTATGCTGTGCAATGAAATTTTGAGTAGAATTTGGGAGAGGAAGACAGACCAGTAGAGCTACAGGAGCTGTAGTGGTCGACTTTATGCTTCCGCTTGCGACACTAGTGAGCCGAAACCCCGACCCAGTTGGTGCTAGGGCCAGGCTTGGCTTCGATCGCTTGGCCAGTCCAGATCATTGATCAATTGGAACTGTTCTCCTCATCTGCCTTTTGAACTACGTAGCAAACTTCCTTTTTGTTTCCTTAAATTTAGATTACGATTTAATTCTCTGGCTGTAAGCTTTTGTTCCGAGCTTATTTTGTGTAGTGAGATAGCTATATGGGGCGCTAGGCACCCTTCTGCTTCAAGTCTTTTTCACAGGTTGCCTCATGTAGAGGCATCACTATCTCCGGAACAATGCCTAACTCCGCTGACATAGGGTATAAGATTTCTGGGCTTGGCATATGGGTTATGTGCGGCCTCAGCTATTATCTCTGCCATACCTCATCGATGAAACACTTATAATGTGCACTTACCAATTGAAGTTGGTCGGTTTGATTTTCGAAGTTTGCACATTTATGAACCGCCTTTTTCAGCCCATTTTGTTTCTCACGCCAACCAGTTGCCATCTTCATCTTCATATCCCATGTCAACGTAAGTCCAGCCCTGCTGAGTCATTTTGCCGTCAATTTCCATGTGTTGCGATGCAATGTTATTGGAGAATCTCTCCTTCTTGATTGTTTTGTGCGCTTCGTTGATCTTGTTCATCTCCTCGTCAGTAAGGGTGACAAGACGGATGTTCTCTTCGATGCGAGACTTCTTGGAGCTCTTGGGGATGACTGCAATGCCCCGCTGCACCGCCCAAGAGAGGGATACTACGCCAGAAGAGACATCATGAGCCTTGGCAATGCTAGTGAACAGCTCGTGGGTGAGAATCTCGTTCTGCGCCGCGCGCGAACCGCCCAACGTACTAGCAAGGTCAGCATTCATCCCCTCTACAGCATACCGCAACGTGTTTGGAATTCTCACCTCCAGCTTGTGACGACAATGCCCTTTTCCTGGCAGTAGGGCACAAGCTTGAGGTTCGGGTTGAAGGCATGAAGCTCAACCTGGTTAACGGCCGGTACGATCTTGGCCTCTGCAAGCAGCTCGTCCATGACCTTTGGCATAAAGTTGCTGACACCGATGGACCTGCACTTCTCGCCGACCAGCGGCTCCATCATCTTCCAGGTCTCGATAAAGGTCGGGCTCTCCCACTTCTTCAGCACCTTCTTCTCAGGAGCAGGGGTTGTGGCCCACGGCCAATGCATGAGAAAGACGTCAACGTAGTCAAGCCCAAGAGCGTCCAGCGAGATCTGCAGCGCCTTAGCTGGGTCGTGGTGCCAGTTGCCCCAGAACTTGGTGACGACAACAATTTCGGACCGGGGGACACCGCTGTTGCGGATAGCCTTGCCCACCACCTCCTCTACGCCGTAGATCTGGGCGGTGTCAATGAGGCGGTAACCGATCTTCAAAGCATGGATGATGGACTCCTCCAAGGCCTTGGCATCATCCGTTCCTGGCGCACCTGAAAGATGTGAGAAACAATGGGTCATGATAACGGAACGGGACTTGCTTACCTTGCCAGGTGCCTAAACCAACGGCCGGAAAATCAAGGCCTATCGGGCATTAGCACTCCTCACTACGTATCACGACGTCAGCGACCCATTGCATGGCTTACCATTGTTCAACTTGAACGTCTTAGTACAGATAGGCGGCGCCATTTTCTTATGATTCCTCAGGGTAGAAATAGGATGATGGTTCTAACTTCACCAAACCCATCCCAGTCAGTTTCAGCCAACCCGATATTTGTACCTTGTGCGCACCTTTGGATGCGGGGACATTGCATTGTACGCGGGGCTCAAATGACGTCATTCTGGCGGATGAATTCATTACCACGGGCTGCATGAACGACTACTGACACCGTTATCCGGTCGGTCATCTTATACTTGAGATAATCATGTAGACAACGGCAGCTGTGTTTCGCTCAACTATGAGCTCCCGAATAAGGAATGTTTTCCCCAAACACTGAACTCCCAGTCGACGCCGATGATCATATCGCCACCCCACTGCCATTTTAACCAAGTCATTCTGCTACGTACGGTTTGAGCTATCTGTACAGTCCAGTGTGTAGATGGCTGCGTTAATTATTCATTGCATCTGTGTGACACTTCTTGGACGACCCGGTGAGATCTAAAGAAGCATGGTCTATCACAATGCATCTCGCAACAGCTCTTCTCCATCATGACACAAACCGGACACATTGTGCGCCGATACATAGTCCACCCCCAAACCAGCTTCATGTCTTCCAAGAAGGCCGCTGCAGTCGCAAAACCCTTTCCCATGACACCATAGAGAAGCTCAGTCAACCTCTTCCTGTTCTCATGCGTGCTTGACTCCATACCAATGCCGGTGAGAATGATTAGGTAGCTCCACGCCTCCATCCCCACAACCGGCATCCTCTGCGCAATTCGCTCGCGGACGAATTCGCCGTGGGCCTCGAGGTCGGGCATGTCCCCAACATGAGGCAAGTCTTCATCGACCAGTTTCCATACCGGGTCCCAAAAAGTACGGGTAAGGCCCATGAGGGAGTAGTGGTAGTAAGCCTCTCTCAAAATGCAGAAGTCAGTCGTGCCTCTGTCGTCGTCTTCATCATTATAGGCTCCTCCGCGAAGGTTTTCCATTACGTCGATCGCCGCCGCCGAGCTTTCGATGATATCCTTTCCTTTCTGCATCAGACCCGTGCTTGTGAGCGTCTCCTTCAGCTCCTCCTCTGGCGCTTCTCCTGTCAGGTGGCGGTCCTTGATAGCGGTACGAGCTTGCTGCACCCACTTGAATGCCCTTTCTAAACTGTTAGCTTATGCCCCTAAGGTGGGCCCCTTCCATGAATAGAAACCGCTGACCTGTGATGTAAGCGTGCAAACTGCTCCATGAATTTAGTGTAGTGATGGAAGATCGCAGAGTTGATACGGATTTGGCTACCGAGCGAGTCTACGTTCTCAAAAGGCTCGGAATCGTAGAGTTCGAGGTCGACCAGGAACGTGTTCCCGAAGGAAACTTGGGCGTAAAAAGTGGCCATCATGGAAAAGTTCATGAGTAACCCTCTGTCAAGGTAGAGGAGTGGCTTCCGCTGTTCTTGTTCAAGTTGTTCCCGGATCTTTGCCGAGAGTTTTCTAAAAGCTGCCTGAAAATAGACCCAAGTCTCGCTAGTCATGAGCTGTGTGCAAAGTTAGTTTGCATCGCCTGTAGATGACCTTTTGTTTGAAGCGAACCTCAGCATAGATCATTAGAATTCCATACAGCAGTATGACATGCTGATCGTGGCTGTCTGGCGCAGTTAGGCGTTCCAGAAACTTGTTTAGCTTAGCGCGGTCTCTTGCCATCACAGCAGCCGCTGCAGCTTTTTTGCTCTCCAAACTGGCGCGTTTCTGAAACTCCAAGCAGATGTTTCCTATAGTAGATACAACAGCTCGAACGGGCATCGATGTCCTGAGATAGGTTCGCATAAAGGACCTTGAGAAGATGTCTGTTATAGGTGAAGGCGAGTCACCGACGAACGCGAAGAACGCTGCTGTTACTGCTGCATGGAGGGGCTCCAAGGTACCCGGTGTGAGCAAGAGGTCTGATGGACTGGTGGCCTTGGACTCGAGCGTTTCAATGGATGACTGGGTCATTGGAGTTGTTCCGGAGGACGAGCTTAGTTCATTTCCCAAGTGGGAGCCGTGTGAACGCCGGCAGTCGCACTGCGATTCCGGTTAACAACGTGTTCTATTCATTAGCACCAGCATCGGTACATGAGGCCTTACCGTAATCCATTGTTTGCGACATGACAGGCAGCGTCGGGCTAGTGGTCGCTCAACTCGAGGTCTGGCGACCTTCTTGATTCTGCTCCGATCCATACCGGCGCGCGTCATCTATAAGTGACCACCTCATGTCAATTGCTGATGGAGAGAAGCCGGGAAGAAGCGTTGATCTGTTGCGATGCTCGATGCGCAGAGGCTACAAATTGATTTAGATATGGCCGCCGGAAGTATGTAAGCCTAGAAGATGCAAAGTTCTTGTGGCAGGTGGGGAACAGGTTATAAAGCTTAGCTGTCAGTGAACTCGGCTGATAATTGGAGAGTAGGCTTGCACGACACGGAGCAATCCAGCCCGTAACTATGATCGAGTCAGTCTTGACCCAAGGACCTCAGAAACATAGTCTTTAGTCTGCCAGGCTACCTGTTGGGACTGCGATGCAGTTGGTGAGGGGGAAGAAGACAAGAGAACCTTGACGGAAGGCCGCGCTGACCTATGCAAAATGGGCGAAACAGGAAAAGAAGAGCATGAGAGCATGAATGACTGTACTTAAAATGGAAGCAAGGACCTTTCCGCAATGGTCACACCGTTGAAACGAATAGAAACCCAAGGAGCCCGTGGTACTGATCCGTGCAGCTTGGTGGTCCCGGATCGACGTTTAAGCTTTTACTCAATCCTCTCTGATGGGCCAAAAAACGATTTTGTGATGCGGGGTTTATAACTTTCGTCCTTCGTGTAGCACCCGGTTTACAAAAAAAGGCACAAGACATAAACTGAATACCCGCACAATTTTGGAGAAACGAATGAATGCTAAGGTAAAATGACTCATTGGTAGTTAGAGCATTATACTGTTAATCTGTGTTTATTTGTATAGAGATATCTATCAAATTAATGATGGTTTGGTTGCTGCAAAGTAGGTGAATTGAAACCATTCGTGGTGGTAGGCGCTAAGGTGCCTGTTTTTCTTTTTTTGCAAACCGGGTGGTGTAGTTAGCAAAAGAGCAGCATTTGACAGGACAAACCGACACACAAGATGGTTGGTTTTGGGAATATGTTGTTAGACCAAGCGCGCAGTTGACGCTACAGCTAGTTCCTGCATACCAGTATTAATTAGTATCTTCAGGTCAGGAAAAGCTATTGCTATACAAGGAATACGCCTCTACTAACATATACATAGTCTAGTTGAATGACACTATGGCTATGAACAATTGATGATCATCCAATCTACGAGGCTCGTTTTCCGATTGATGTTGAGGGGTCTTGACCATGAGACATCTCGCACCAGGAGCTAGAGCCGCAGCATGGCGATTGATTCGCTGCCCCAACACCCCGGAACTGCAAAGTCGGACGCTGAACCCTAGCTCAAGCAACAGGCCCGAACGAAGATGAATTTTGATTTGCCAAGGGCAGAGAGTCCAGAACACACTGTTCCAATTCACATTGCTTGTCTACTGTACGCATCAAAAACCTGCCGCTCTCAGTAATTGATTGGCTTGGTTACGAAGATCTCTACATAACCCATAAACCTGAGTACAAAACTAGGTAAATAACCTTGAGAATTCAGTTGGTGAGACATGGCAATATGGTTGCCCGATCCCTGGAGGGGACAATGTCGGAGATAGTTACGTCGACAATCAGGTTGATACCGCCGCTCCCCATGCCCTGAATAGCACGGCCGGCGATGAGCATGGCGCCGCCGCTGATGCCTTAGCCGAGTGTGTACAGCGCCACAATGAAGATTGTGAGGTATTATCATCGGCCGAAAAGGTTGGTGAGTTGGCCAAATAGCGGCTGCACAGTAGTACTAAGAACAAGGTTTCAGGAGTGAGGAGCAAGGTTGGTTGATAGTTGAGGACCAACCTTATAAGGAAGATTATGTTACCGAGCCATACGTAGCTACTTCCAAAGTTCAACTTTTCAGCGATGGTGGGTAGCGAAGTCACGACGACTGTGTTTTCCAGCGATGCAAGCACGGAGTCTATTCAGAGGGTGAATAGGATTGCCCGGAAGCGGCAATCCTTCTCATAGGCCTGTGGTGGCCTATATACAACTGGCGAATTTCCCACCTGCTAATTCGGTAAGATGGACGGTGTCTTTATTGGACCGCCATAATCTACCGCTTTCTCATGCTCGAAGACTATCCTTGGTTGATGTAGCCGACAGGGATAATTTCGGCTTGAGACGTTGATGTGAGAAAATACAGTACCAGCTTGTTGATATGCATGCTGAATTTCAACCTCGATTCGTGATGGTGTAGTCGACAAAGTATATGATCTCGAGTCAGCAGAATGCTTTCTGGTCGACACAAAAGGCAATTCGCATGCTTTTTCTAGGTATCGGTGCTGATCGGCATTTGGTCGACAGGTAATACTTCTAGATGAGACTCAGAAGCTTTTCATGACGGACATCTCAACCGCTGATTGGACTGCTTGCTTGTTGGATTACACGCATGAGGCCGATTCCTCGAAGAAAGAGGTGGAATTCAACATCAAAGACCAGCCGGAAAACACGGAAATTGTTACAACCGAACTCATACATGATCTAACAAAAGCTTCTTTGTATGTTGAACCGGCCGCATCACAGATACTGACTGTATCCATAGTTTGGATACTGTCCAACATCGACGTCGTAGCCGCTATACGCATACGAGAAGGCAGGCCCAGAGCTGACACCGACGAAGCCTCCGCTCGCGCTCTCGCCCCCATCAGCCGGGTTAACCAACCGACCGCCTTTGATGCGATTTGCGAGCTCTGTTAGCTCTTTAAGCAGAACGCTAGCTGCAATCACCTTGAAGCTCTCCAAATGGGTCCAATGTTCGTACTCGACGTCGGTGTTCTTTAGCAGCCCCACCATTAGACAGGCGTAAGACATCTCCAAAGCCTCCCTGTTGGGCGCGAGAAATCGGTCAATATCGTCAACAGGCGTTGAACTAACATCCTGCTTCTCCGTGGTAGAGTCGACGTTATTATACGCTGCCGTGCCATGCCCCTCGGCATTCCGGACTCTCCGTCTCATCTGCTGCGTCATATGATCTGCAAGGCGATCGAAATCTTGCTTAAGCTTCTTGGAATTGTCCTTTTGACGTCTCGTCTGCGAGCCTGTTTTGTTGAAGATCGAGCCGCAAAAGACCTCGACTTCTGTAAGCTGCTTCATGTGGCTGTCCGAGTATTGTATCATGAAGCCGTTGACAGTATCCTCGTACCTAGGAAATTTTCAGCGACATCGAGACCAAGACCGTAGCAATTACTACTCACACGTCACGCAGACTTTTGGCCTCCTGGCGCTTCGTCTTCCAGCTGATTCGTCCTTTGCTGTATTCTTCAATCTTGCGCTGCATCAGCCCAACGAACTGGTCCCAGACGGATGGACCAGCTTTCGAGACAACGCGACTGATATCTTCATCCCAAATCTGCCTTTCATTGACATTCCGGTAAAGTTCACCTAGAACCTTGACCGACGGGTAGTACTTATGATTCGGCCCGAGCTCATCTTCGTCTTCATCAACTGCTTCGTCTTCACCAAGGAAGTCAATCTGGGTCCGATCGTAAAGCTGGGCCGGAGGGGCTGGTGCAAGGCTAGTTCGCAGATAAGCAGTGTTGTTGCCAGAGCGCAAAGGATATACGTACAAGTCAGGCCGGAATCGGGAGGCCTTTGGAATATTGCTCGGTTCGACTGCGATCCCTGTCTTGGAGAAATCAACGGCTGTGGAGTGCAGCCCAGCAAGCTTGAGGCAGTCAAGCCCAAGCGTGCCATTAGGGTCTTGGTCTGACAAAATGAGATGTCGCGTAGCAATCAACCCGAGGACGTCAGACTTCATGAAGTCAACGAACCAGTTTGCCATGTCCTCTCTCTGCACCGGTCGGCCGAGAGGTTTCGGTATTACTCTAGGGTAGTCAGCGGCTCTGTACGTCCATCGTGGCATGGCTTGTTTATCCCATATGATATTGTAAAGATCTCCATCAAGATCGCCGCCACTTAGCTGACTCGGTAGATCGCGCTGGCCGAACTGGCTAAAAGCAACACAATTGCGGAGACTTCGCAGCGGATGGCCCGGTGGCGGTGTTTTCATGTTGACCTTCTGTATATCGCCAGGGTGAAGAGCAGGTGATCGTGTCACCAATAACTCGCCGTCTCGCAAAGAATCGTCAATGTGAGCTTTCCCGGGACGTCTGTAGGTGTCGTAGCAGACGTACACCTCGCCTTCTTTAAGGAATCCCGACTCGTCCATTATGCCAAAGAGAGTGGCACCACCGGACACAGGAATTCGGGCTTTATGCTTGAGCAACCGCAGTTCCCTTAACACGGTAGACTCGACGACCGCTTTCAGGAACTCGTCTCTTCGGTAATCGATACCATACCTTTCGAGGCTTTTGATAAAGGTCGGAAGAAAGAAGGCCGAGCCCACACCCTGTAGATGCAGAAATGTGCCGGTGTTGTAGGCGTCTGCGGTGACAGCACGCAGACGATCGAGCTCCTTTTTCTGTAATCGGAGAAAGAAGTTCTTGTCGACACCCATATCCTCCATGATCTTGATCATCTGTCGGTTGAGAACCAACTTGAGAGGCTTGGACGCCGCATCACAGATTTCGAGGTTCGTCACATCATCGCTCGGGAATTTCTCCATGGATTCCCTCCGGATGCAGATGGCACGGCCGGGCAGCCGAGAATCCAGCGAAAGCATACCCTTGACGCCACCCCAGCGGATCTGCAGACATGTGGGAACCAGCGACCCTCTAGGGAGACGCGGCCAAATTAGTTCGACAGCTTCTTGTGAGATCGTTCCCACGCCGTCGCTAAAAACTCGTTCCATGTTCCTGTCGCATGATTTAACATCTGGTATGTCCCAAGACTGAATGCGATGTTCTGGAAGATTGATGAAAGCAGGCGTCTCGGAAAACGCCTGTCCGATGCGCGCGGCGCACTTTGCGGGTATTTGAATGTGCTCAAAGTCGCCGAGGGATTTAATTATGTTTGCGTACAGCTGCAGTTTTCCAGTATCATCCACGAATGGGGCTGAAAACCAAGCCGAGTGGGATCGGAGAGAGGAATGGGAGAACCCGAGAAACTGGTACTTTCGGCCAGCGACCTGAATTCCTCCATTCAGAACCTCCCTGTAGCGATCGAAGATCTGGTCATAGGACACCCTGGGGTTAAAAAACAGATCACTGCCATCTTCGTCGCAAAAGGTAACCCGCATAAAATAACTAGTGTGGTTCGGGAACCTGCGAAGCACTCTATTCAGGGGCTCTGGTTCTGGGCCGTGGAGCGTAATTCTTGTTGGTGTCACCATAGCCTTGAAAACCCACGCGTGATGATCCGCCATCTCAGGCCCAAGCAAGTTATTTCGGTAATCTTTTTCGGAATGTAGGCGCTTTTCAATCACCAAGAGGTATCGCAGAATTTCAGTCGGGTCTAGAATCTTGGGATCTGTGTCATGGCATGGGAAGGGTATGCCATCTTGCATATTCCCACGCAGGCTCTTGAAAGCCTGTTGTGAGATTGGCGCAGGTTTGTTGTCCGCTTTTTTTGTCTGAAACATGACTTGAAGAGACAATAACATTCGATGTGCGCTGCGTGGATGCAAGAAGTTGTTCCATACCAGAGACTGCAGCTGAAAGAGGATACCAAAAGGGAGTATCTCGCTCTTTCCAGCAGCAGCCAGATCGCCGTAGAAGTAAGTCCACGAACTGTGATGGTCTTCTTTGCGGAAAGCAGGCGTCTGGTTAAGGGCGACCTTGGAGTGAGCAATAACCAGCAAGCCCTTCTTCTCAAGACTAATCATCTTGTGGTCGAAGTCGGGGTCAAAAACACCGAGCTGGTAGACAAGACAATTGCCAGAGTATTTGGCGTGCTCTTTGGCATCGGGAATGCCGAGGCAGCGGGCCAGCGACTTTTGCTGTGGCATGCGAAGACCTAGGCTCAACTGATACATCTTCTGTTGAATCTCGAGATTCGTCTGGTAGAAGTGCGGGGGTTCACTCAAGACAAGTGTAAAAGTGTTTGGGGTCGAGCTGTGTATCATCTCGACGACAGACGAATAGGGCATTTCCACTTTGGCGCCACGACTGGAGTTCAAGATGAGCCTCTTATTGCCGAATTTTGCCAGGCCTTGATCGCTGAAGCGGTACTGCTCGTTGAATATGAGGGCTTTCTGGCCGTCCCCAAATGAGTTGTGGCCACATGCCAAATGGGTGAAGTGGAACTTGATAGTATCGTTATTGGTGGAAGCACCTTGCTGGTTGCGTTGAGAGCACTTCTCTTGCAGGCGATGGTTGAGATTTTTGAGCACGAAAGGGTCTGGAGGTTTATTGCTCTGAGAGACAAAAACGGGATTGTTCATGAGATAGAGATTTGCCTTCTCTCTTGGGCCCTTTCGGTTCTTAGGGCCGCCTAGTGAGGTGAAGATGCGAGTGGCCTCAGAAGTAGTGATGGACTGTTTCCCATGGCGGCTCAAGAACTTGTGACCATCGTTTTGATGGAGGAAGGTCACCCATCCGAATTTGTTGTCTCGCTTGGATGAGCATGACCAGTCAAGAATACCCAAAGCATTCAAGTACGGCTTCAGTTCTTGCTCCAGCGTGCGGTCCGTCAGGTTCAGAGGGACGTTGGACAGGAAGACTTCCATGACGGCGAAGACTGCTGGGACGACTCGGTGCAATTGGTGGTCGGGGGGCCTGGCCTGGTTTCTGGACGATGGCAAGCGAAGTGGCGCATGCGGCAGGCGTGGATACCCTTGGGTATAGCCCAAACAGATTTGGTTGCTGAGAGTGAAGGTGGTTATTGGTGATGGACATCCGCGGCGGCAGAGCAGGTTCTAGAGTGGTGATGATCAAGCGAGGCGTAGAAATCGCATCGCGTTGCGGGTGGGAAAAAAAAAGGGATCTCAGAACAGAACTGCGTGGTTTCAATGAAGAACGGGCTCGACAAGGCTGTGCGGCATCTCGGTTGAGTGTCAGCCCCAGATACGGTGTGGTCTGCGGCGTGATGCAACAGGAAGCGGGGAGGGCGCGCGGTACCTTTACGCGCATGGCCGAGTCCAATCACAGTAACAAACAGAAACAGTTGAGTCCTAAGAGGCTGGTGGTCGGCGGCCAAGGATTACATGGAAGCCGGGTGGCAGGGCAAACGAACAGGCGCAGGGGTAATGATGGCTTCTAAGTCGTCTATCAGAACTGATAATAAAAACGGGTGAGGACTTACTGACTGCCGAACCGAGTACTTTGGCAGTTAGGTAGTGAGATGAGGTGAGGAAAGGAGCTGTCAGGTGAAGAACGAAGCTCTACCTACCGACCTACCTACCTACCTTACTTAGACGAAGCTTCAAACGCTGAGATGGGCTTCACAAGCCCGGCGGTCCAACTGAGGAAGCACATCACCTAGGTATCTTACCCCGCGCTAGCCGAATAGAGTCTGAGCTTGCTTCCCGAATAAGACTGATTGCATTTTTGATGGGTCCTCAAGCGCGGTTTTTGACCAACCATAACGGCGGACTAGCTGATGATTGGTCGAACCCTTAGCAGCTGCCGAAACGGTACGGCCAAACGCGCCGAGCTTGACAAACAGTGCCTGCTGTGCTGGCGCATCCCGGCCGTCTCAAGCATCGCGAGGCGGAAAGAAGCTACAGGCATGGAAGGCTGGAAGACTGAGGAGCACCTACCTATAGACACTTCACATACAGATGGCATGAAATGAGGATTGGAAACTTCTAGTGGCTTCACTTCTTGCTTCTCGTGTGCGGCAGTCCGTAGCATCTCTGCCAAACTGTCGGTCTCCCATCGGGGGCGTCTCCTCGTCCACCCGCTCTGTCATTCGACGATGCAATGCCGCAAAACTAAATTAAAAGAACGCAGGTAGCCAGTCGTCAATTGACTCATAGAGCAGGCAGTCGTTCAAGGCTTGGCACGACTTGCAGCGACTCTTCAGCACATAACGACACGACCCGATGGGGACCGACATCGCTATTGGCCGACCCGGTCTGGAAGAATCATCAATCACACGAAATGCTCTGGCAGAACACTTTTCCGCCACGAACCGCGAGAACCTAGGTATACTTGTACAACCCCCAAACCCCAGCGAAAACTCCCCGTTCGCACAATTGACCCCGTCTCAAACAGCCCGAAGCAAATGCAAACCGACCCTTATTAACGTCCTTTACCACTCCCAAAAGATTATCTCCCGGTCTAGTTACGACGCAGTCGCTGTCATAGAGGTCGCGCTGCTTGCCGAGGCAACATCCCGAGAGACGCCGGACCCTCCCCCAATTCCGACCCCGCGTTCGTCATCAACCCCACCCCACGCTTCCCACGGTACCTAGCCAGAGCCGCCCTCACTTGGAGCATCTGCCAGCGGTTTCTGTCGACTTTTCCTCTTCGAATCCCCATTTGAAATCAATTCGGACGCCTCAACATCACCAACAAGGCCGATTGACCCGAGCAACAAGATGGCAACTCCCGGAATGCTCTACGTGACTATGCAGCCGAAGCCTGGCCTGGCTCTCGAGCAGTTCCACGAGTGGTACAACAACGAGCACGGCCCAACCCGCCTGCGTCTTCCCCAAATCTTTACCAACGGCTTGCGATACCGCGCCAACGACGGCAAGGAGCCGTCCTTTCTCGCCGTCTACGACGTGACCTCCATGTCGCACCTCGAAACGCCCACCTACACCACCCTTCGAGCGAACCGCTCTGCCCGCGAGGCAGAGACCATTGGCCAAGTCGAAGTCACGAGATACTTCTACGACCTGGTCACTGAGCAAAAGGCCCCGCTGTTCCTGCCCATCGAGCAACTCTCCGACAAGGAGGCCGAGGGAATCGAGCTTGTCGCCGTCGAGACCACCCTCAAGGACGAGTCCGCCGAACCCGAGTTCAAGAAGTGGTACGGAGAGGAACACATTCCCATGGTGTCAAAGGTCCCGGGCTGGCTGAGGACCCGCCTCTTCAAAATCTCCTCCATCGGCGACGGAGCCGGGAGCAAGACTACCTACCTCGCACTACACGACTACGCCCGTACAAACGGCCTGGGCGGTCCCGAGCACAAGGCCTCCGTGGCCACTGCCTGGGGCGCCGAGGTTGCCAAGTCTGTCACGGCCAAGAACCGCCGTACTTATTCGCTCTTCTACGTCTTCGGACCAGCCCCCGCGACCTGTCCAACCTGGCAAAACTTCCAGCCTCGGCCGGCACCTTTACCGCCCCGGACGGCAAGACCACCACGATTCCCGGAGAGGACGAGGTCATTAGCTCTTACATCACAACGGAGGACCAGCTGTCGATCCCCTACAGGCTGGAGGGCAGCGCCAAGGACGACGCGCCGACGGTGGCCTTCTGCAACTCGCTCTTGACGTCGCTGCACATGTGGGACCCGATCGTGAAGCTGTTGAAAGAGCAGCGTCCCGACCTGCGCATCTTGCGATATGACACGCGTGGCCGCCACTCGATCCCTAACCCACCTGTGCCGGCGACACTGGATCTCCTAGCCTCGGACTTATGCACCGTTCTCGACGCGCTGCGCATCCGCAAGCTGCATGCCCTGATTGGAGTTTCCATGGGCGGTGCGACGACGACCAACTTTGCCATCACGTATCCGATGCGGCTGAAGAAGTTCATCGCCTGCGATTTCAACGTGACGTCCAGCGCCGCCAACACTCAGGCGTGGAAAGATCGCATCGCGGTGGCGGAAGAGAAGGACGGAGCCGGGATTGAGAAGTTGGCTGGGCAGACGGTGGGTCGCTGGTTCCACCCGGCCACAATGGAAAAGGAGAGCGTCGTCAAGTCGATGACGGAAATGGTCGCAAGCAACAACGTTGAAGGGTTCAAGTACAGCTGCCAGGCCCTGTGGGACTATGATCTCAAGCCGGCGCTCAAGTTTTGTCAAGTTCCCGGGCTGCTGGTCGTCGGTGACGGTGACGGCAAAGGCGCGCTTGTCAAGGCGATGGATGGGTTCAAGGACCTGGTGGGAGACAAGGGGGCGGAGCTGAAAATTGTGCCAAACGCCGGCCATCTTCCCATGTGGGAAGACCCTGCGGCGTTCTGGGAGGCGATCCAGGGATTCTTGTAGACCGACTGCTTTGATAGACGAGGTTGCCAAAGAGGCCAAAGCTTCAATGATTCAATCAAGAGTTTGTCCCATATAATGCGTAGCTTCAAGGGTTGAGAGGGGCTGCTAAGGACACTGGTTGCCAGACCGAGCAGAGGTGTTCCCTGCAGACTACCTTCACCGTCGTCGTCGTCGTCGTCATGTCATATTAGACAAGTATGGAGTGTAGTTGAGCCAAGCAGAAGCTCTGAGCTGCAGAGATCCCTGCAGCGTGTAGGCTTGACGAAGACGAAAGTATCGGTATATCTCAAACAAACACTAACTCAATCAAGGTCGATGGTAGGGGCACGATTCGTGGCGTTGAGACTGTCAAGTGACCAGTCCCGTCGCATGTGGCCAGAATTGAGACTCCCACGTCGTAACGCCGTCTCAGCGAAGCGCTGCATGAGGCGGTCTCGTGAACCACCTAACCACACATGCAACGTAAAGGACGCGGGAGCCTGAAGGTCGCATTCTGCAGGAATGGCGGTTGTACGCCGCCAGACGGTCGGCGGACTTGCGAGATCGCTAATCATCGCCGACGGCGGACTGGTATGCAAGCACCGTTTCATCGATAGTGCCCACAGACGACGGCAGCGCTGGACGGGACGGAATCGCCAATGGGCACCAGCCTCGGCGCATCAAGAAGAAACGGCCTAGCGGCAGTTGTCTTGGCGGGTTCATCTCGACTACGCGATCGACGCAAGGCAATGCCCAAACGAGATCACCATGATGCATCACCCAGGGGTGGGCAATTTTCATCAGAAAAGGGAGAAAAAAACGTGGGTGGCAGTTGTGGAGCATTAGCCAAGGGGGGGATATGGCGCCAGGAACCACACCTTAATTACTTCAACCTTGATCGAGGTTTGAGCATCGAGGCGCAAAGAATCTGCATTGGGCAATCAACGGCCCCAGATAAACTGCATGACGTGGGCTGTAAATCACTTCGTCACGGCCATCACTTACTATACAAGAGCGTCTACGGCCTAGCCTCGAATACCACGAGGGCATGTGCACCCCCCTAGCTGGGACAACTCGATGAGACGCAACGTCAATATACACTATTGGCAAGACGGCCGACCGGGCCCAAATTCCCAATATTCGCAAATTGCTTTTCTCAAGTTGTCAGATTCCCAGTCCAGATCGGGCCAATACGCACGCAAACAAGAATGACAAGGCACGCACTGGCCCGGCGGCTCTCTCTGCGGGGTGGAGCATGTCGTGCCTTTTAGGTAACGCGGATCCGATCTTGTTATGATTTTCCTTTCCATATTAAGGGCGACAGGAGGGTCCGTTTCATGCCCGGCGCTACGTCTGAGATTCCGGTACGCCCAGCCCGACGTTATCGCTGCGCCTGCATGCGGCCACACGCGCTCTCTACGCGGCAACGTCCCGTCCTGCGCGCATGACTAAGACGACAGCGCTTCTCACTTGGGCAACTTTGCTTGGCTGCTTCAGGTGTCGTGGCCGGGATGGCAGACTTGCCTTTTTCGTCTGTCAACTTTCCCAAGTCGCCTACGGTGACCCCTGCGGCTCTGTATCGTTTCCGAGCGAGAAGACGTGCTCACAGGGGGGGGCCTAGGACGGCTCATCATCTGAGCAACCAATTGCCCCCGAGAAGGCCCTGAGTAAAACTGTCTTGGGAGAACCAACCGACTAGCAACGGTCCACAACCACCATTGTTGAACCCGTCATGACCGTCACCTCCCCCGCGCCTGCACTACCCCGGCCCTGATATCGTCCAGCTCTAGGCCCTGGGCCCAGAACATGCGTCAATGGGATGACGGCAGAGCGCCCAGGCATGCCAGGAACCAACGGCTGCGCTGACGGAGCCAAGCGCTCACGGCCTTTGAGTGGAACGGTCCATCTCATCTTTCCAAGACCGGTCGCCCTTCCAAATCGGAGCACATCCGAGAGGTGTAATGGCCCCCCGGCCTGGCCCGGTGCCCACCCCTCCAAAATTCCACCACTCCGGTATGCATATAGGTGTTTCGGTCTTATGAAGTTTCTATCAACTCCACCTGCAGTCTCCTCCCAGTCCGCCGGGGTCAAGGCGGCTCAGTTCTTGGCGCCTGCGACGATGTCAGGATTGTCTGGGGCAGCTACGACGGGAGAAGGAGAGAGAAGGAGAGCAACGAGGTCGAAAGGGGTTGCTGCTTGTAGCGTGCCGTTTCTCTGGCACTCCCGATGTGATAAATACAGAGCCGAGTCCCTCGCATCGTAATCCCGTTCCTTTTTAGCTCAGCATCCAACATTGCAGGTCGCACACATTCTTTGGTTTCTTCACCACTTCATTCTTTTCCAACCGTCTTACCGTCAGTTCTTCACTGTGTGAAGCTGGGACATTCTTTTGCAACTCTTACATCCAACGAACAAACAAAGACTCTCACTCCATTTCACTTTCTTCTCCGTTTCTTAGGAACATTTCCAACCCTTGCTCTCCAAAAATGTCTTCCGTCAAGTCCACCCTTGCTCTCGTCGGCGCTTTCGCCGCCGGCGCCCTTGCCCACGGCAAGGTCGATGGCTACGTCTTTGACGGCACCTACGCCCAGGGCTACAGCCTCGACTACTACTACCTCAAGCAGAACGGCGGCACGCCCCCACCATTGCCGCCTGGTCCGCCGAGAACCTCGACAACGGCTTCGTCGACGGCACCGGCTACGCCACCGCCGACATCATCTGCCACAAGAATGCCGCGCCCGGAGGCACCTCGGCCAAGGTCGCCGCCGGCGGCAAGGTCGACTTCCAGTGGTCCGCCTGGCCCGAGTCGCACTTTGGCCCCGTCCTGACCTACGCCGCAAAGGTCGACGGCGACTTCGCCTCCATCGACAAGACCACCCTCAAGTGGGTCAAGATTGACGAGGCCGGCATCGACGTCGACACCCAGGAGTGGGCCGCTACCAAGCTCATCAAGAACAACAACACCTGGACCTCCACCATCCCCTCCGACCTCGCCGCCGGCAACTACGTCCTGCGCCACGAGATCATTGCCATGCACGGTGCTGGCTCCCTGAACGGCGCCCAGAACTACCCCCAGTGCGTCAACGTTGAGATCACCGGCTCCGGCACCGCCAACCCCGAGGGCACCCTCGGCACCGAGCTGTACAAGGCCACCGACGCCGGCATCCAGTTCAACCGTAAGTTTACTTCTCGATCCACCTTTTGACACGCAACGGTAGCTAACATTCTCATCCAGCCTACACCACCATCTCCGACTACACCATCCCGGCCCTGCCCTCTACGGCTCCGGCTCTGGTTCCGGCTCTGGCTCTGGCTCCGGCTCCACCCCCATCACCAACGGCACTGCTCCCGCCACTCCCTCCACCCCCACCACCACCCTCCCGTCTGCTACCCCGGCCGTCTCTGACGCCGCCGACGCCGACGACTGCGCCGCCAAGCGCACCCGCCGCCACGCTCGCGCTTTCCGCTTGTAAGCGTAGGGAGCATGTCCACCGGACACACGAGATGAAGGCCTGCCGCCCTCCGAACCCCCTTCCGAACGGAAAATGAAAGAGCTCTTTGTTTTTGCTTCGTTTCTCAACAACCATGTAAATAGATTTATACCCGGTGTATATATCACTGCAACACCCCTTTTTAGTCGACCACCACCACGGGCGTCCAGGGCACCCTTTTCTTTTTTTGTGGTGCACCTGGGCGTCTTGCAAATTTTGCAATGTGCATATTTTCAAACAACTTTGCTGTCCCTGTTCGAATGCGATTGTGACCTGTGAATTCGGTGTTTGTGGTGGTGGTCATGTTCTTCCGCCGGACGCTTGACGCCGGTTTTGATCATTGTGTCAGGGGCCCATGAGGTTGGTCTGGCACCTTTGCCGCCTAGACGATACTGCTCAGCTGAGTCAACAGTGTGGAAGCAGATGATGAGACCGCGTGTCTCTGCTTGCTCTTCATAGCCTAGACCTTTGGGAAATTAGTGAGTGGGCTAGATTCGAGCCTCGAATGTCTGCCATCGGCCCAGTGGTCATAATCGGAAAGCTCTGCTTGAACAGAAGACTATAGGAAATGGTCAACTCTTGCTCTGGTCTCGTGAATGACCAGGTTCCAAGTAGGTGGAAGTGTAGGGTCGAGGGAGCCGGGTATGCGCGACGACTACGAAGGAGTTCATTGGGGGAGACTAGGTTGGCGGGCCGTTTACTGAAGGGACGGATACGACGGGACTCGGCGCCATCTGCCACTCATTTGGCTTCGACTTTTACGACGAAAGGGGGAAATGCCAAGAACGAAGGGGCAATGGGTCCCCAGATATATATACCCGAGTCCGCGTGGGTTCCCTGGAGGGTGTGGGGGTCTGATGTGAGCGGGTTTGAGGCGTTTTGAGAGGGCAATCGGGAACAATCTGCCGCGGATGGCATGTGCCGACCGTGCCACTATGTCGATGTGAGAATTGTCCGTATGTAGCCGCGTTGCTGAGGGTTTTTTGAGCAATTTTGCAAGAGTATTTGGTGATAAATGTCGCTTACACGGAAGGTCGGCGTGATTAAACGGGGCGGCTGTGTGAAATAGAGTGTCTTGCAACGCCAGACGAGGGTGTGTGGTTTCCCGTTTGGGTACCATCAAAGTGTTCCGACACCCGTCTCGTCCAAAAGACCTGCGAGAATCATACGGTTGAATCATTTTGTAGAGAGTTGGAAACCTACGAGTCTGCTGCTATGACCATCACTCGGTGGGTTGCGTTACCCCGCGGAAGCCGTTCTCCTCTTTTATCGAGGCGCCTGTCACATACAGCTGGTGATAACATGGACGCCCACAAACTCCAAAGACGTATTGTGCAGTTGAGCTAGCTAGCTCATGTCTGTTGCGCCCCGGTCAAAATTTCCTGCATGCCTTTAACGTCACTCGTAAGTTTTGCCGGTCGAGATATGTAATCCACGTTGTCCGACTTGGTCGAAATAGAATGCTCGTATAAGGTGTTGCGTTTTCTCTATGGACTGCGCAAACGTTGTGGAGACCCGCGAGGTCCTCGGTGAAATCCTGAGAAGCAACGAGGCCGAGTTCCGTAACGGTGACACCGCCAACGCTGAGTGGCGAGTCCGGCTGTGTGAAGGAACAAAAGCCAACACGTTCTCCGTTGATGTCTACTTTGACGACATGAGAATGTAAATCCACGTTGATTTTTGACACCTTCATGAGAGCCTCATGCTAGGTAGCTGGGTTTATGTCTAGATGTCTGGCGAGAACCCTGGGTAATTTGTGATGCGTTTCAACCAAGTCCGTCTGGGCGTCTGGATTCTCCAATTTGGCACTTGGGATGCGGCAATATCGCCATTTCTTCGTCCCGGGGGCTCTCGTCAAACAGGGCGTTAATTGTTACATCAGGGTTGAAGGCTGAGTCATTGCGTATCGTTGTTGTCGTTGTCGTAGTTGCGGCTCGTCCCTAATCTATAGGCCAACAGTCGGGCTTGCGGGAGGCTCAGTTCCGGTCCGTGATTCTGTGCCGATGGCTGTAGCGACGTCCAAGGATAAGGTCTGAGTGCCATTGGTTTGACGTATCGGCTCCACCCTGCCAGTAGTCGTGCCCTGCAAAGGCCTTCCGACCCGGCGCTGCTGACCGGCGAGGCATTCGGCGCCGAGTTTCGCGCAGCAAAAGCAGCGATTCTCGTCAGTTTCCTAGCGGGAGCACCGGAGCTCTTGTCCTCGGCAGCTCTCGCATGCAGATCGCTTTTGATTTGGATCTGCTGTGGAAGCCATGATACCTGCGTTGTATGGATGTTACATGATCATTCGATGTTGTTCTCTTTGGGTGGAAGCGACGAGTCCAAAGTTTTTGCACTGGTCAGACGCTTTTTACCCCCATTTTCCTTGAGTTGCGGTAGGTGTTCGGAGGCTTTCTTAGCGACTGACGAAATGAGACTGGGTGAGGTTGATACTGGAAGGTCTTGGCTCCAAAACCGCTTTGAGAGTGGTAAGCTTACCTACAGTCCTATCATCATGAAGGAGACAGAAGTATTCAGAACTTAATCAAGGCAAGAAGGCTACATTCCATCAAAATCAACCTCGAAGTGTAACTCGACTTAATACTTCCATTAACATAGTTGCTATTGAGGTGAACATTGACATTGAGGCAACCTTACTGGACACCAGCGCAGACTCCCGGCGTGCCGATTGTGTTCTTTGATAAACACCATGGCTTTGTTTATGTATCAAGACTCATCAGCTCCCCAACATCAACTTAGTATGTATGATGGCTTCAGGCTCCAAGACATAGAGCCATGGTGTAATGATGAACAAAACTACATTCTGAACTTCGAGGTTGGAAACGGGTTGTCTTGTTTCCCTAATGAGATGAGACGAGATGAAGAAGGAGGCGCAGATCATCAAGGTACTCGGGTTTCGGCTCTTGATTACTCACTCTAGCAGCCTAGTTCTTCCTTCCATCCACGTGTCTCGACTTGATTTCACTCCGCCGGAGTAGGCAGCTGCAACGTCTTTATGCTCGTTCTTTCCATGCCGATGCACTTTCCCTCCGAGGCCGAGTCATGCCGTTCATTCTTTGTGGTTTTCATCCGGTCTCCTTCCATGTCCTTCCATCAAGCTACGACCAAGGAGGAAGGAGCACGACTTTGGATCGGAGCTACTTGGTGTGATTCGATCTTAGCTTGGATGAATCACTGATTCACTGTTGGCGAGCAGCTCTGGTAACTTCTACCTCCCCTATTTCTACCATCACTCGGCCATTCTAAGCGGCCGGCACTACTCTTAAAACTCCTCAAGCAACACCTGGTTCAATTCACGGCAGGCATAGAAGCATGTCACCTTTCTCAACACTTCGTTTACTCCTATCCCACGACAGTCTGCCCTCTAGTCTCCACATACTATAACCTTCTCTCCAGAGGGTGTCATGGCCAGTCTTTTCGTCAGTCTCTCGCCGCCTTCGTTATAATCAGCCACAAGATCCCGACAGAAATCGCCCATCATGACATCAACTATCAAGTTCGATATCCCTGCTTCCGCGCGCTCGTTCCACCCCTTCTCGAGACTGCCCCCGAAATCCGGCATCAGATCTGGGAGGATGCCATCCTCGATACCGGCATGCATTTCCTCCGCCTCAAGACCGTAGCTCGTGCTGCACACCTGCCATCGCCTCTTGTAACTTCTCCCGTCGGCGATAACGAGGATGAGGAACAGAACAACCCTATTCTTGACTTCAATCGCGAATCACTTCCCTCCAAGCTATGGCCGGCGACTCTAGAGCCTCGCTACCCAACTCCTCGGGCAAACATGTCCAACTACGTCGCCCTCAACCGTACCTTGTCCAAACTTTCAGTAACCTGCTTCGAGTCAGCGAAGGTTGTCCAACGTCTGGTCAACCAGCCTGGAAGCGTCAAGTTGAACGGCGGTCGCATCGTGTCTCTTGCCTCCTCTGAAGACGTGGTGTGCTTGGAGTATTTGTCTGCCGACAATTTCCGCAGCTGGTGTCGCATGGCCCTGGACGTTGAATGCCCAGAGCTAGCCAACATCCGCCATGTAGCCATACCCTACTGCCATGGCTGGGAGGCGACGAGCACCGCGTTTTGTTGTAGCCACTGTGGCAACCGGCACAGTTCTGGTGTCAGCAAGGTCTATCCCGTCCATTTGTACGAATTTCTTGCGCGTCACCTACCGAACCTGCAGACCTTCTACTTCATCGACTATCTCATCGTGAAGAAGACCTTGGGACTTGATTCGACCGCGCAAAGGTCTAGAGAACCCAGCTCGTCATCATCCGAGGCCCAAACCACAACTCAAGATAAGTCCGACAAGCGTAAGAATCCTTCTCTATAGGCCTAGCGATGGAATACTGATATGTAACTCACAAAGGCAAGAAGGAGGACGCTATCGATGACGACTCGTTGCCAAACAAGACGGCCGCCTACCATGATAGTAATACATCAACCACTGAAACAATTCAACCTACCACAGGCAACAAAACAAGAGCCCCCAGAAAGGTATTCAGAAGCGAAGGCAGGGTATATTGCGAACTCACCGAGGACGAGTGGAACGTCAAGTCTAGGGTCGTTGATACCTTGTCCTGGATTCGAAAGAGGTTTACTCTGTACGCTACTCGAAGTAAACTCAGCAAACACGCGCACCCCGAGACCGTCAAGTTCAAAGTACTGGCCTGCGAATGGGTCGACAAAGAGTCAGAAGCTCCCCCGAAACTGAAGAGAACAGCCCCGGTAGCAATTGCGCCTTTGAGGAAGAGATTACGGCCAGTATCAGAAAGATCTCAAGGGAGATCGATGCCAGTCAAGCCGACCACCATGCATTCATCGACAGATTCATTCTCGTCCTCATCTCTGCTGGCGGCTACAGACTCGGAAGACAACTTCAGTTTCATTTTCGGACAAGGGGGCAAAAGTCTTTTCAATTTCACCGCGGGTTTCGTTCCTGGCGTTGTTGATGGTGCGGAAGGCAGCTGTTGTTGAACGCCGAGGTCTTTGAACCTTCTGAAGGGGTTGTTTTGCGTTTTGTCTCGACTTCACAGTGATAGAGGCAGTCTGAAACTCTCCTACTACAGGAGATGATACTCGCAATACCCTAGAAAGAACATTAATAAGTAATGAAAACAAACTAATCTCAAGCACTTTCAATCAGCTATACGATTCTGTTTAGTGAGAGACCAGTTGATTGTTGAGTCCAGCTGCAGAAGCGTCACAAGTTGAAGGTTGAGTGAGTCTCGTTGGAAATTTCACAAGTTAACTAGAGGCCTGGGCTCGTTGGTGAGTGCACCACAATCCACTTGTGCTGACCGGGGCGGGCAGTGCAACTTTTGACGTCATTAGCTGAACCTGCGCCGCTTGCGTCATTTCTCCCTGGGCCCAGATCATCTCCATCAGCCTTTTCATTGCCTTGCTTGAGATTATGAAAAAGATGTCACGGGTAAGGAATCATACGATGTATATTTTGTCACATGCACACACTTCGAGATGTACACGAGCCAAGAATCGGATGTTTTTGATGGCTTCCGTGTCCCTGCGGGGCGACGCCGGAGGATCGCCGTCGATCTGCCCTCGTTTGGGCCAAATGTGTATCCGCTAGGCCCCTGGCTTACAGCTTTCAGGGTCCAACCATCACTTTAGAGGATGGCAGATTGACCGCTGTGGATGGGACTTCTTTTGGAATTCGGTTTCCCACTTGGCTTTTCTAGCTGGGCAGCTGGATGGGCATCAGTAAATCCCATCCTGAGGGCCCTTTTGCTCCAAGAACCATCACCATCGATTGTGCGAGTTGTGAGCCACACCACCAAGGGCCCCCCCCAATCAAGCACGGCGAGAGTAGGGCGTCGGACGATGACAGCAGGTTACCGAACAACAACCCGTCGGTTCCTCAATTTTCAAGCTCAGGAAAAGACGATGAGCCGCGCACGTCATTCGTGGTCCAGACTCACGAGCGATGAACCACCTCAGCTGGGGAATCTTCTGCGCTGCGGACCGTAGCCCGCTGCCGGCGCCTGTTGGCTTGACGGCGCAGTCAGTGCAGGGGTATGGGGTCTAGGCCCTTTCGCCATCGGTTCCCCAGAGACCCCTGATTCTCCTTGGGATGCCTCGCGCAAGCACCCTGTCTCCTCTCCCCGTCTTCTCCTGACGTCACTGTTTAAGACTGCCACACTTTCTTCTTGGCTGGAGGTTCTGGACCGGGCTCTTTTCTCTGGATCATTGGCGGTTGCCGATTGTTGAGTGCTTGACGGCCACTGGGTCCGCATCCATTGGGTCGCTTGGGGCATGGGACTCCAGGGACGCCGGAAGCCATCGCAAAGTCAGATTGCCTTTGCTCGGCGCTACGGTCTTCAGAGTGCCTGGTGGTCTAGACCACTGACGCATCTCTTGATCGCCAACCTGCCTCCCAGTGTGAGCAGAGCAAGGGACCTCTCAGTACACTCGTAAACATGCCTATGCAACTGCCTTGCGCGAGCTGCTCTTGCAGTGGTGATGACGGGACGCGAACCATTTGGCCAAATTTGTTCAGGCTGTAATCGGGGGGGGGGGGGGGGGGGGGTGTCGACGACTTGCAAGATGATGCGGCGCTCAAGACCGTAGCGGGCCTAGAACGGTCACCACGTCACCCTCCCCTTGATGCTTGCTTTCCATAGGTTTTCCCTGGATGATCTGGAGGAAAGCGTTCCTACCGGCCATCCCACCATCTTTAGCGTAAGGCTGCCTCCGTGGGCTGCTTGCTTGCTTGACGACCCCCTTGGCCTCTGCTCAGCTGAATGAGAGTGTGTCGCCGATGGGTTCCGTTTCCTTAAATATGCTCGATCGTCCTGGCTCCGATCCCTATGATTAGTCTTGGTCGCGTACATCGTCCATTGTTTGCAGCTCACATCACCATTGCTTTTGCATCATCTTGCCTGAAGCTTGTGTCGTAACACCGTGCCCGACATCCGGCAGTCTCCTTGCAAACCGGACCGCCCACACCAGTACTAGCCTGCGCGCGAGCGATTGGATGGGTCCCACCCCGAACTTCTACCCGAACCAAGCGACAAACGGCTCCCCGCCGGTCCCCAATCACATCTTTGAACGGAGGCAAGATCGACCCGTGCAGTGCCAACAGCATCGCAATCGTGCACAATGCCCTCGTCCTCGACGGCCGCGGTGCGTGGTTCTGATCACAAGTACGTATCCAGACAGGATCCCTAGTCAAAGGGTGCCTCGCTTCCGAGAGACCACCTGCTGACCCGTGCTGCCTCCCGCAGGACCCCCGTAGAAAAGCCCACAACCCCGCCGTTGGCCCCGACCCGGGTCTCCGAACGCCCCGCAATTCCCGTCCCGTCGGATCTAGGGTACTCTATCGGCCGATTCGCCCAATCGCCGAATCCTTCCGACCGGTACAATCGGCCCCCGCTTTTCGCCAGTGCGACGCCGCCGCTGTCGCCCGAGAGTGCGGAGGCGATCGGTCGAGCGCGCATGGAGGAAATGTTGGCTGGAATACTTCCGCCTTCGTCGAATTGACTGATAATGAGGGCCGGAAATGTACTTTTAGAAGTCAAAGTGCGCATCCCGTCTGCGCTTCTGTTGAGCGTAGTTTTTGATAGATTCATCAGCCAACATCGATGCGATTTGCCACGCGCTGCTGCGTTGGCGCTCACTTCAACATTGACTCTTCACTGCAACATTCGTTAGCCGGCCAAATGATAAAATCGTGACATAGTAATAGAACAACAGCACCGGCATTGCAAATTGCCGAAAATTGCTGGATACCCTCTAATAACCGAACGCAATATACTTTTGGTCCATAGGTGGTTCACTGGCTGGCGGAAGTGACAAAACGAATGACCGGTATGTCAGCGCCGGTCTGACGATGTTTTATCCCGGAGGTGACCAGCACGACGGCTCTCGCCTACTGATAGTCATTGGCCGGACCTCACCAACGTTGGTCCGCCGGGAATACCCCAGATTAAGCCACCCGCCTTGACATTCCCTTCAGTGACCGACGGACATGTGATGCCTGTCGCGTTTTCCTGCTCTTGGTCCCGCACAGACGGCCTTGACATGTCTCGACGCCGAGTAATTTCGGCGCAGGCCGAGCCACCGTCCTTTGCCGCCTCTGAGAAGGGTCGCCTTGGACCAGACCACTTCGTGAGACGAAGGGCACGGGCTGCTAGTTCCCACCAAATTTCTCATGAGGGTCGGATGCAGTAGCCCGTAGGCTTCTCCCAGGTTCTCTTGCTCGGAATTTTTGCTCCAGCCTTGGTTGCGAGCAAACCATGCAGGCATTTGACGCTCGGTCTCGCACTGAGGACGAACAACTCTAATCCCCTGACCGGTCCCCCTCCTCCAACCAGTAGGTGGTAGTGGATGCATTTGCTCCGATGACTCGGCTGTTGAGCCTATGTCCGGCTCAAGGCTTCCATCATGGCCTCTCTTGCTTTCCAAACGCGGGGTGCAGCGTGCAGCAGATGTTTGGATAAACCCTCTCCCTCACTCCGGTTTGGGGCTTGGCAGTGTCGAGGAGATGCAGACCTCCGCCACGATGCTGCATGCAGATATGCTCCGCCACGAGCCTCGACGACTCAAGTGTGTCGGGGAATTGCATGGCTGTGACGTAATTCGGCGAATAACTAGTCACCTAATAAAAAATTCCAACTCCTTTGCAAAGCAGGAACCACTGAGAACTTGAGATGGCTAGAAGCTTGGGGCAAGGGAGTGGCCCGTTGAGTCGCGGGAGGCGAGCACCTTGGACGAACTTGCCATCTCGATGGACGCCTCGTACTGGTCCGAGCCCAGGGTTGAATCACGGCATAAACACGTTGCCGAGTGCGCACAACTCTGTTCATATGAGTGATGAACGACAGGAGACAGTCATGTTTATGCGACATGTATTCGGCCCGGGTTTGACGACTGCCAAACCGCATCTCATGCGAGAACAATGACAAGACAAATTACGCTGAAGCTAAGGAGTACCGGAATGTGACTGGGGACGGCTGCCTCCAAAAATCCAAACGGTTCAAGGCAACGGGACTAGAACTTTGATCGAATCTCTCGCGGCAGGGTGGCGCCGACTAGCCTGATGATGGTGACGGACACTACTGATTAAGAATTGCCTAGGTGACCAAGCTCCGATTCTTGAAATACTTTAGCGGGGTACACCAGTATATTCTCCAGTAACCAGAAACGGCCAAGGTGTCTGTTTCTTCGTGTGTTGCCAAGATGAATACTCTTTGGACTTCCTCGCCCTCCTCACGCCCCGAGGAACCAGGCCGCTCTCTGTCCGTTTCCGCGACTCAGTTTCGAATAGGGCTAAGAAGTCGTTCCCTAGCGGATGCACAGACAGCATTTGTTTTCCGACAGCTTCACGTAACTAGTCACCAGTCAATTGAAGTAAGTTGCCTCAATACATGCTCAACCCCAGACGTGGGTCTTCCAACGGCTGCACCGGAGCCACATATCGACCCCAACTTGGATCGGTTAGCCGGCACCTCGGTATGACACAACTGCAGGATTCAAGGGCAACAGACATGGTTTCCACAATCACCGGACGACTTGGGGAAGTACAGAGCCGGCTGTGGCAAGGCCACGCCTTAGTCCTTGCGCACGGCCCGGTGCTACGGCGGGACGTGAAACGCGACAGCTCGCCTACGAGGGGATCGTCGGGACAATGGAGGAGGACTGAGAGCGCCGTGCGATTGCCCAGTTGGGTTCGGGAACTGTAGGTAGCGAGACTCGAATCGAAGATCCAGCAATCGATCTTGTGGCTACCCGCAGCTCTGCGCCTAGCAGGAGAGTGCCGAGGATGAGCAGTCATCGTTTTCTCTGCAGAAGAACGAATGGTCGGCTGTTTGACGATTTGATAATAATGATTGGCCGATGGCAGCTGCCCAGTGTCTCTACCACAACTTCGCGGCGGGAGCACGCTCTTAGTACAAGGGGGGCGCACCGGTCATGGCCATGATCACTCTGAGCCTTGATCATACTGCCTCCCGCTGCCAAGAGAACCCTTCCTAGCCCCCTTGTTACCTCGACCCTTTCTTTGAGGATGAGGAGGTTCAACATGGACCTCGAACTGGTACTGACAACGTGAACCACACGATCGGTTCTTTGCTATGCCATTGTGGGCCCTATTACGGATGGACACGCAGGGGATCAAACGGACACAGCAATCACTAGGGGCCTCTTTGGAAAGACTCGTGCTTTGCATCTGGTCTTGCCGCATCATGTTCTTCCGCGCCCGTAATGCTCAGAGAAGCACCGTCAGTTCGCTTAGTGAGTACTGCGGCGCGCTAGCATTCAAGGTTTGAGCGGAGACACTAGTCGACGCCGTTCACGTGGAGGGGAGAGGCGACAGACCGGTGACAGGCAAAGATGTTGTTTCACGATACGATGCTTCGGCAGATGTTGTTCTACGGGTGCATGGCTCTTTGACCATCCTACTTCTGTGCTGCGCCCACAACGGACAAGTTCCTCATTGCCTGAGGACATACTGTCTGACCCAACAGGTCAGGAATACCGATAGCGTCACTAAGCCTCTCTCGGTCTGAGGCTTGGACTGCTCGGAGCTCTGAGACGTAGCTTGGCACTGCCAACCACAGCCTGCCTCATGGGTGAAGGTCTCCTTTCCCCATCAGTGTCACGCTCCTGTGTCTTGTCATGGCTCAGCGTGCTCGCTGTTTCGACGCCTAGGGCTGCCTTCCATGCCGAAGCGGATATCCGGGCAGAGGGGCGAGGAGGGTTCACACAGGCATGAATGGTTGAGCCCGAGGACATAAATATCCTATCACGAGCCCATCAGTTAGGTCTCTTTCTCTCATCAGATCACACTCATCCAGCTTCACTTCGCCTTCGACAGCTAGTCTCTCGCCCTTTTCGACTCTCACAACTTTAGCAGCCTCGGCTCCATCCACCACTCGCTCCAACAACACCATCTTCTTTACCAACTTCACCCCTTCAACAACCTTCAAAATGCACGCCAAGGCCGTTGCTCTTTCCCTTGCCGCCGCGGCCGTCGTCCGCGCTGATCTCCGCATCAACAACAACGACATTCCCCAGGACTGCTCTGCCATTTGCCGTCCCATCCGTGACCTCGGCAACATCTGCACCGTCAACTTCAACATTGGCCAGGGCAACAACAACAGCGACCAGGTTCAGGATGAGCTCGACGCCCAGTGTGTCTGCACCAACAACTCCTTCGACCTGAAGAACTTGGCTCCCCAGTGCAATGCTTGCATGATCGAGAAGGTCCCCCAGGACCAGCAGCGCAGCCTTGAGGGTAAGTCTCCACATCATGAACGCATTCCAGTATAAGGCGATCTAACTGGTTCTTTATAGGTATTCAGAGCATCATGAACGTCTGCGAGCTTCCCAGCGCCAGCGGCTACGCCTCTTCCTCCACCAGCGTTGCCAACACCGTCATCGTCCTCGCTACCCGTCTGACTGCCAGCTCCCAGCTGACCACCACCTTCGGCGGTGGCCAGGCTACCCAGCCTCCCTCCAGCCGCACTCGCTCCAGCGAGCGTTCCACCATCACCACCACCTTCCTCACCTCCGGCAACGGCGGTCTTCCCTCCATTGCCACCTCCACCATCGTCGGTGGTGGCCGCCAGACTGGCAACGCCGCCCCCGGCCTCGTCGCCCCCGGCAGCAACGGCCTGCTCGGCGCTGTTGGTGCCATCGTTGCTGGCGCTTTCGCTCTTGGTGCCTTCATGCTCTAAGCGACTGGTCCCCACCAGGCGTATATGAGATTGTGTAAGCTACGACAGGAGTTGGAAAGAGGAGGATAATTAGCATGGTAGTTTGTTATGTCTGACGATTGAAACGGTTGCGCGAGATGAGGGAGTATCATGGTCTGCGTCACTCCTTTGGTCTTTTTTGGGTCTGGCTGTATCGCGAATATGATATCTTTGTACTGCTTACAGGATTTGCTTGCAATGGAACGATAGATGCCGTACTCAACCCTCCGTGCCATATTTTGCTTCCAAGTGAAAACAGTTGTGATTGTCTGATAACTTCCATGCGAACATTTACCATTCGGGTCGCTAGCGGTTGGTTATCGCCATTGCTGAAGACAATTCGCTACGTCTGAGAGTCAAACGTGTAGTTTGAGCCGAGGGGTGTGCACACTGCCACGAATACGCAGGCAAGAGATCAAAGCGATTGGTCAAGGGCCGAAGATCAGACTGATTTAAATCCGAAGCAAAGGTAGAAATTGTACAACACGGCCTAGCAATCTTTATCTCGACATTCATGTTATAAACTTGCTCCTCAGCGTTCCGGTTAGCGAGCATGCGAAGACAGCACGAGTCGACAGTCAGGATCACCATCACAACAACATTCGTTGGGATCATTAACTGTATATAAGACAATACTCGACAATGAATTGGCGAACGGGTCAAAGCACATTCTTGGTGATAAGACTGGCCATCTGAACTGATTCGCCGAATGTGGTCAGGTTCTACATGCCGATGATGAGTCAGCCAATCGGGCTCAGAAGAAAGACGGGGAATTACCTTGCAGGGGGATATCACCTAAGTCTTGTGTAGATGCAGTGGAAATGCGCAGAGAGCCAGAGGAATTCACCACGTGGGGCATTATTTGATTTCGGGAAAGAGAGGTTTGTCGTTTCCAGAATTGACTAAATTCATGTATGATCTTGTCATAGGAACATGGCAATCCGACAGCAAACATAAGCTAGTTGATGATATTACACAGTATCTTAACATCTTTCAAGATATCAACCTGTGAATTACCTGTTGGAAGCCTCTATTTCTGGATTTCACTTCAAATTGAACCCTTAGGCTGCGCATGAGTAATTCCTAGAAGATATAGCGAACTATTTGCAAGTTGAAACTTAAATCTGCTCGTATTGCAGGCATAGAATCACCACTAATGATGACTAGTGGGAGGCGGTCCAGGGTGATAAAGCCAGAAGTGAGAGATAGCGCCGTCTGAAAAGATCCCGAGAGAACGAACGATGAGAGAGTAAAAATCAAAGTCAAATATGGTGCGGCGGCTTGTCGATCGACAAGAGTGACGAAATGAGACAGGGGTAGCCCAGACAATAGTTCGGGTTCTCCATCATCAGTGCTTAGCAGACTGAAGATCAGACGGCTAGTGACCTATTCTGAAAGTACGCAGTACCTAGGTACAGGCCACGATTCATGAAAACCCCCTTTTGCAGCATATGGTTCACCGGATCAACCAACGAACAGTTAGAAACGATGACAGTGGTTGACATTGGATGTTTGAGTTTGTGGATTTGTTGATCCGGGACTCATTCCTATCTTTATTCGTAAATCCTGAAAGAACTCGCACCACGATGTTGACAAATCCCCATGTATGCCTTAACACAGTGATCCGAACGACGCCCAACTCCTGACATTGACCTCTTTTCCAAACCCGAGATGCACGCTACCTTTTCTTTAGCAGACCCATTGCAAGCATGGATCTCCCGGCTTGGTGCAGACGCCGCATGGCGAGTTGCAACAGGTGGTTCCAGTCGGGCAGATGACACTTCCGCAAGTTTCCGCATCGGCCGGGACAGTGCCGTTTGCTTGGCATCCGACTGGTTGCTCTAGACGGAAGTCGAAAACTTTACAGTACGAGTTTTCCGGGCAGGTAACGCCGGCGCACCGGTCTTCTGCGGGTTGTGCGGGGGTTTCGGTAGCTTGAGGGCTCGGGCCGGGACAGCGGAGGCGCCAAGGGCGGCGGTAGCAACAAGGATTGCACGAATAAACATCATTCTGAGAGCTGTTGGTAAAGAACGACTGGTTGAGTTGGACAGCTGTTTAGTACAAGCCGAAGGCTAAACTTGAAAGAATGAATGGCTTTGCAACGTAATCACAGTCGACAGCTGAGATGTGGGAAGCGACAACCTTTTATGGTTCCGACACAGGGAACCGTTTAAATGAAGACAGACAGTGAGTTTAGCGCGACTCGGGCGATGATCCTCTTCCATTGTTCGAGACTGATTAATTGACGGCGCCGACGACCGTCTCCTGTGTATGACGCGAAGGGGCGTACTCTAAGACCACGAGGCTTATAATCTGTTAAATTAAGTTCTATTAAGGGCGAAGAATAGACCTTGGAGGTCAAAGAGTCAGCAACGGGAGTCAGCAGAACCGGGAGGTTCGGACGAAAGCGATGATCGCCGCTTGGCAGTTTGCGATATAGATGAACTGCATTAGGTATTGAGCAATTAATAGAGTCATGCCTCAGGGGTGATAAACTTTGACGTTTCCCCCTTCCGCATTACACGTCTTCTCTACTGCGGCCCCCTGCTCCGTTTTGTGCGGAGAAGCATCCGAGCAACGCCGCCTCCAGTACCCATGTCTCCTCCCCCCACCCTCCCAAAAACGCTTCCTTTTCCTGGTGCCTGCACCTACATCAACGGCGCGTCCGTTTACTGCGGGCTCTCATCGACAACAGGAACAGAACGGATTCCCGGGTCTCCAGATGGCTTAAGTGGTGCAGTCGAGTTTGACGGGAGGTGGCCGCAGGACTGCTGGGTGCACATGACACCTTTAGGCGTGCAGACACTACAGCTAGCGTTGCAGCAGCTAGTATCATACGGGCAGAAAACATTGCCGCATGGAGTCCTGCTAACGCAAGCGGGCCGGCCCTCCGTTTCCCGGCAGACATAACCTTCTCTGCAGAGGATGGTTGCGCAGGTGAGGAATCCTGAAGGGGCGGGAACCAGAGTCAACAAGGTAGTTGGCTTTTCTGGAAGAAAAGTAGAAGGGCGGGGTATCGAAGTCGGTAGAGCAATTGGCGTCCCCGCAAGAAGCAGACCTAGAGACGTCGGTGATGTCGCCATGAGGATAGGAAGCGCAGGGGTCTGGATCGGAGGCAGCGTCGGAATCGCCACACTCGGGATGCTCAAATCCGGTAGAGTGATTGAGAGCGACAACCCATCTAGCTTGGTCGAGACCTGTGGGATCTTGGGAAGCTGCACGTTTGGAAGCGCCGTCACACGCGGGAGAAGTTTGGCCGTAGGAGAACCCTGATCCGACTTGACATCAATGCTCGGCAGAGCTATGGAGACGTCTGGACCCTTGACCGCGATGCTGCTTTGGAGGGGCAATAGTGAAAGAGAAAAGGGTGCGACCTTGACTTTGAGTTGTGAAAGGTCGTCGACCAAGGCAGGCGCAGCTTCGGGTATGGGAGCGGGCGCAGGAATAGCTGCGACGCCGAGCGCCAGGGCCAAGCTTGCAATAGTGCGAACAGAGGCCATCTTGTGATCTTTCAAGCACTTATTCAATGAAATCAGGTGAAGAGAATATGAGAAGACCAAGGTGCAGGGATAAATCAGAAGAGTTTGTTGACGGGAAGAAAATCGCCTCGATCTTATACTCGATATAATGCCTTGTCATTCTCAACGAATCCCGCGATCTTCCCGTTTCGGACAATGTCAACATACGAATGCAGTCACTGTCTAGGACTAAGATTGCCCTGACCGATAGCCAAGATTCCGAAGATGGGGCCCACAACTGTCTGGCTTGAGCGGGAAAGTGAAGATCTTTGAGCTCTCATGGAAAGACTTTACAGCTGGATGGACCACAGAACATACGGCCCAGGGCCGAGCGGGGTGGAGAGCTCCCAGATTGCACGAAGACCGTTAGTGCGCAGCTTAGCACACGGCAAGGTCCACCAAAATGTCTCGTACAACTAGAGACATGGCTAATGGTCTCTTTTTGACAGCCTGTCGGTAAATGCCGTTTAGTCAGCTGCAGTTGCACTCCCATGGCTGCTGAAATGACGGAAGTGAACCACACAGGTCGCATGCGGCCATACTTGTCATTGTGGGCGGGCTCGACTGCGGCTCGAATCAAGTGCTGAAATACTACCACCAAGGTCAGCGAGGGCAATCAAACACTTTCAATTAGCAGCCTTTTGAGTTTGCAGCTCGGTCTTGGAGTCTTACGATAGGGTAAGGTTGACGTAACTTCGAACTCACGCGTGTTGCACACAGCATTGGCATGTCGATCAGCCACAGAGGGGGCCTTTCCGATTTGCAGCTATTTCGAGACGTGAAGTACAAAGTCGACACATGTAACCATATCCGTTCTGCTTTCATGATCTCGTGGCTTCCACATACCCACCATTGCCTGAGACAAGGACGGCCTAGATCAAGCCAAAAGGCGGGTTCTCTTCCGCCCACCTCCGCACGTCAGGCTTTCCTACTGTCAAAGAAAGCAGGTACCGTTCCCAGTATCCTATCATAGGCTCTTCCGGCAAGGTTCTAGCATGCGGGATGGCGTTGCGCTGCTTGTCAACACCGGCAAAGGCCCATGTCCATTGGCCATCTTCCTACTCAACCGGATAGAGTCTTGCATTATAGACCCCGACGTCAAGGCCCAGCTCTTTGGGCTTGGATTCTTTGATGCTCTCCGCCGGCGAGGCGTCCTGCTTAGGCATACGTTCTAGCTTCCAAAGCTTGTTTCCCTCGTCGTCCGTAGTCAGAGGCTTACAGTCCCATACCTCGGCATCGTCCATTCCGAGGCCCTGGCAGGCTAGACGGACCCGCACGCTGCTATGAATTCTCTCGTTGGTGTTCAGCAAAGGGTATTAAGTATCCTCATTGGTTTCAGGGTCTGTACGCATGAAGGTCCCAGGGTGCCGGATCGTGGCTCCTGTCATGGTCTGGAGGCGGCTGGTGGGATATCGGGTCTGGCCTAGCCCCCAGGGACGAGCCGTTTTCCAGAGCTCTTCTTCACTGCCTATCGGATGATGGTCTTTCCCGTCACATTCAGTGTCATCCCGGCGTATGCTCGATACTTTGACTGGACAGATTTTGGGGTTTGCCCACGGCAGTTGTTGCTTTGATCACAGCCATGACGTCCAGGGGCTCGAAGGGACATACGAAAACGGATGTCCAGCAGAGGACCGGAGGCCTTCAGTAAAGATATCCTTCATGCGACCTTGGTTGATCTCAAACCCGATGCTCGACAGCTGGTCACACATCCCTGCTCGAGTTAGCTGTGATTCAGATCGGGCTACTTCTTCCAGAATTGCGTGCTCCCTTTCGTCTCGGTAAGGTAGCATCTCGGGATCCAAGAAAAGGCTCAAGTCTCGATTGATGTCTCCCATGCTCTCATAATCTTCGAAGACTGTAGAAATGGTCCAATCCTTGAGGGGTAAGCAAGCCAACAGTAGCAATCATGTCGGCGACCGACCGCGCAGTGAAAGCACCACGGGAGAAACCGAGCAGGATAATTTCGTCCCCATCCACATAGTTAGTACGAATAAAGTTGTAGGCCTCTCGAATATTCTAAGAGGGCGATTAGCTTCCTTCGAGTCAACTTGCTTCTGCCTTCAATTTACATTGTCAAGTCCGACACCAAACAACCCTCC